AACTTTGGCCTGTACCTCCAGCAAAAACGTTCCAACGTTCCAGTCCATAACGTTGATATATGGGTGAAATAATGCCAATGCGACATTAAATTTTAACTCACTCCCACTCCAGTTAATAAGATCACTATTGGTGTCGGAAAACATATCCCTAATGTAAGACGACTTTAAAACAAAGTCTGCCAAAAGGAAGACTTGTACCTAGTTTCACTGACCTGCAGCAAATCTTCCGAGTCTGGCAGTAAACAAACCTTTTGACAAGGCTATGGCCATGCAGACAACCTTGACAAGACAAATCAATGTGTCAAACAGAGGATGTATTCATGACATCAATCAGATGTTCATGCAGTGTGGTTAAAAGTGCAGTGGGGGCGAGGCAGCAATGAAATTCAGACAAACCCTAAAAGCATTCACATTTACATGGAATTGCTTAATATCCAAGAAAATGCACTTGAGTATCAGAACTACTTGGCAAAAAACAACCTAAAAGAATAAACATAGTTTAAAGTATCATACAGCCAGAGCTGTAACATGAATTTTGCAATTGCTTCAGAAGTCAGTATCCTACTTGAGAAGTGGACTGAAAATAATTCCATATCAGGACATACAATCTATCATACAAATATTTCTTAACATAATGATATATACAATGATAATACATGTGTTCAATATAGAAAATATACAATGACAGATGTTCATGCCCTTTTCAGTATTATGAGTGGTGGACACATGACAGCCAGGGCTCTATTCCACGAAGACATCTTTGTGTGATGATGATCGTGAGTGAGTGAGTTGGGTTTTTAACGCCGCTTTTAACAGTATTCCAGTTATATCACGGCGAGTCAGCTTAATGTTCGAGGAAACCCGAAGTGATGCAGGTCTCAGACAATTACCTCTTCGGTGAAACCCAGGAGCATGGGTATGGTGCTGACAAACCTAGAAACATAATCGGGGCGAACCGGGATTCGGACCCACAATCATAGGTTTCTGGAGTGTCCAAGGGACGCAACTCTGCAAAGTGAATCGCAGCGCCTTAGACGACTGGGCCACCCGTGCCCCCAATGATGATTGTAACTCTAATACAATAACATAGGCTTGTGATAGTTGTAGTGCTAAGATCGCTCTGTGGAATGAGGCCCAGTACACAGAGAAATCCTTGAGGACCTTGAAACTATGATCCAGGTCTCTGTTCCACAAAGCAATCTTAGGGTTATGATCGAACTCCCACTCAATAATATAGGCTTACAATAGTCATAGTGCTAAGAATTCTTTGTGGAATGAGGCCCTGGATCATAGTATCTAGGACCTAAGGGCATTCTCTATGAACTAGCTTACATTTAATAGCACTGAGCATTTAAATCCATCTTTACAACCTTGAACAGTACACCAACATGATAAAATGGTGTTGGAAGTCATCACTACAAGTATTTAAAGAAAGAAGTTGAGTGTCAATGAAACACTATCCTGCTGTGGTATGTCTGCAAGATTTTGCCAGTTGTCTTGGTTGGTATTATTCAAGTAAAACATTCAGTGATCTACTTGAAACTAAAATCAAATCTTAGGTTGACATATTGACTGAGATTCTATGATTTTATCATTAAACAGTATTTTTCATGTCACGTAAGCCTGATGTGGATAAAAGCCAAAGTGATGCAGGTCTAAAGTGGTATGATGATGGACTGAATCACAAGTGTTACAGCCTGTGCTGTCACTAAATATAGTCTTACGTTGCAGATATGTAAGTATCAAACAGCGGAATACCGGTAATGAATGGAAGTTTAAAGACCACAGTTGCATATTGATTGTGATGGGAAGGTCCTGAAGTTCGAACAGCTTGCCAATCAACTGTACGGAACATTACTCAACTGATCAACTAAAGATGATTAACTGAACCAGCAAACATGATGAGTGAGTGAGTATGGTTTAACGCCGCTTTTAACAATATTCCAGCGATATCATGGCGGGGGACACTTTAAATGGGCTTCACATATTGTACCCATGTCGGGAATCGAACCCAGGTCTTCGGCGTGACGAGATAACATAAACATGATGAAGCTGTTACGGGCATGTAAGCCTGAATACATATTGCTTACCAATAGATGGATAGCTGATGACACCAATGGTTGACTAGGAAATGAATCCACAAAAATTGCACCTTAATGTTGACATGAGGAATAACTACACCATCACAATCTCTTACCACTAGCATGACTAGTAAATTCCTCTTATCATTACCATTCTACATGTTTAAGGATAGGATTCATGGATGAACAACTTCTTGATTACAATTAAGAGCTACGTTTCAGTGTAGGTTCTAACACCATTATCACAGTGTCACAGAACCTACACCGAAACATCGCTCTTAATTGTAACAAGAGTTTGCCACTAACGTGGCTATATCCCCCGCCCCTGTTGCAGAATTTATGACATAATTAAATCTAAACAAACCCTTACCCTTTTTAACCGAGGTGGAACTTGTCATGGAAATTGTAAAAAAAAGAAGAGTTTGGAACCTGAGTCCATCTTGTTGCCATGGAAACGTAAAAAAATAAAAATTTCTAAAATTGCTAAATTGGAAAAGGCACCAGTTCAGCATGTACCTGACAAACCTGTGAAGTTTCATGAAAAAATTTTGAACGGTTTATGAGTTATGCTCCGGAAACAAAGCCTACCCTCAGAGAACCTAAGTCCATCTTGTTGCCATGGAAACGTAAAAAATAAAAAATTCTAAAATTTCTAAATAGCAAAAGGCACCAGTTCAGCATGTACCTGACAGACTTTCAAAGTTTCATAAAAAAATATTGAATTTTGTTGGGCAGGGGATAATAAAGAAGTTGTCCATGCATAAATCCTATCCTTACTTAGTACTCCAACTTCTAAATGCCTATCAAAGAAGTTATTCTACATGTTTAGTATAAACAAACAGGTCAATAATGAGTGAGTGAGTGAGTGAGTTGGGCTTACCGCTGCTTTTAACAGTATTCCAGTTATATCACAGCATGTCAACTTAATGTGGGAGGAAAGCCCGAAGTGATGCAGGTCTCAGACCTTTACCACTTCGGTGACACCCACGAGCACGGGTATGGTGCTGACAAACCTAGAAACATAATCAGGGCGACTGGGCCACCCGTGTCACCGGTCAATAATGAAGTGAGTGAGTATAGTTTTACACACTTTTAGCAATATTCCAGCGATACTACAGCTGGGAACACCAGATATGGGCTTCACACATTACATCCATTTGAGGAACAGGACTGGCATCATGAGGTTTCCTGGGGTATAAGTATCCCTGAAGTAGCTATAGATATACAGCTAATCTTACCAACACAATAATCATGATAATAGCTATAACTTCACAGACTTGTGTCTAAAAGTAGAGACAAGTACATATAAATTGAACCCAATTTACAGTAAAGTATGGTTACAACGAACTCAAGGGACTACTAATTTTAGTTCGTTATAACCATAGTTCGTTCGTTATAACCATAGTTCGTTCGTTATAAGCATATATACAGCATAATTACAGCAAATAATCGGGACCCAAAAAGTAAGTTTGTTATATCCGTCAGTTCGCCATAAGCGTGTTCGTTATAACCGTAGTTTACTGTACCACAATTCTCGATAATTGCAGACTGCTAAGGACATACCAACAATACAAATCCTTTCGGTATCTTGCTAAATTCATTTGGTGTAAATAGACAAACACTTTTGACCCTGTCGGCAGAGATTTATCTAGACCTGCTCAGAGGCCGATATTCGGAGCCAAGTCTAGTCAATTTCAGTACGAATTCCCAAATTTGAATTAAACATTTCCCAATTCATGAAGTTACTGTTATAAATCATGATAACCAATGGTATGGCTTTGTCGAGCTGACATGTATTTCACTGATAACAGGACCAATAAAGAGCAGTCTGAGCCAAATACTTGGGAGTCTACAAGTCTAAACTTGTATTTTGGCATTATTTTCAGAAGACACTAGTCTTAATATAGAATAAGTTGATCTTACTGGACCAGAAGAAATTGTAAAATACTCGGGCTTCAGACTAGTGGCTGCAATCGCAGACTGAAAGAGGATCGAAAAAGTTTCAGTGCTTTGTTATACACAATTCAATGCAATGTTAAAATACATGTACCACCCAATTCGAAAAAAATATTCATTTTAACCAAAATTGCAATTTTGAAAAGAAGTATGTGTTCTTCAACTTGGGAATCCTAGATAAATCCCAGCACAGTGTTGATCAGGTATTAATTCAAGGGAGACTACTTTCTACATTGAAAGAGGCTGCTCTAAAATCCCCACAAAAAGATGCATCACCTCCTCAATGTATAACTATCACAGACACACACAGGCTATTTGATTTTACATTTCATTTTCCCCTTCATGGAAACAAAGAAATTGACACTACGTTAAACAAATCAGAACCCTGATTCAAATTATGCAGTGGTAACAGAAGAACAGCCATCACATAATCTGACATCCAATCCAATACAAACTCATATTGCAATGGAGATACATGGGTGTCAACTTTGTCACTATATGCTCTTGTTCTGTCCTGCATTATCTGTCAATACAGGCAACATCTTAAAATATTTACATTATGTACATATGATCTGTTACAGGCCAGGACCCGCTGAGCGAGTATGTCGGATCGTAACCTGTTTAGCAATGTTCCAGCAATGGGCTACACACGTTGTGTATGTGGAGAATTGAACCCAGGCACTGGCATGACAAAAATGGTTTAACCACCTAGCTCTCCCATATCTCCCAGACAACAGGAACTGAAATGACAACTCATTTCAGACAAGTGTTTCTCATACATTACTAGATGTTAAAAGTGAGTGAGTGAGTTGGGTTTAACGCCGCTTTTAACAGTATTACAGTTATATCACAGCGTGTCAGCTTAATGTGGGAGGAAAGCCTGAAGTGATGCAGGTCTCAGACGTTTACCACTTCGGTGACACCCACGAGCACGGGTATGGTGCTGACAAACCTAGAAACATAATTGGGGCTAACCGGGATTCGAACCCACAATCATAGGTTTCTGGCGTGCCCAAGGGATGCAACTCTGCACAGCGAATCGCGGCACCTTAGACGACCGGGCCACCCGTGCCCCCAGATGTTAAAAGAAAACAACCAGTCCTTCAATACTGTCTGTAATCTCTTGCTATAGGACAAGCAGCCATAACCCAGAACAAGGCGTAAAAGGAAATGAACATTATTGAATTTTCTTACTAAAACCTTATTCTTATCAGTTCCTGTAATTCATTTTGGGGAGTGGTACATAAATCAGACCATATATTTGAAAACTGCAACTAGATAATGCCGAGATCATATGAACAAGAACTATAAGCTAGACACAACAGAAACTTCATAACTTCAGCCACGGGTGAGACTCGACCGAGGACTTGCTGCGGTCCCCGTAGTCATAGAGAAGCTCCTCCCCTTCTGAGATCTCGCGTGACGCCACGAGAGTGAGGTATGGCAATTTCTTGATTTCAATTACTTTAGGTTGGCAGTTTCCATTTCGACTGTGGTTGATGAGTCGACCTAATTTTCCACTTTCGGCTGTGGCATCGACACTGGAAAAATATAAATTCATGTTTCAAAACAGTGGCTCATATATCCTTAAGACTATGTAAATTACAGTATTAATCAAAGTATTTCAATTCATAAGTAGCAAAACATAATAATTGCAGAAAAGAATAATGTTTGCTACATCAAAGGTCCAAGAAGGAAATTAAGAAGGCCGATACTATAAATATTTTTACATATCATTCAAAAGACAAGAAACAAGAATTTTAAGTTTGTAAAAATATATTCTTTTTCTCACACAGTGCTTGAATAAGTAAACACTCTAGAATTATATGTTCACAAAACCCCCCAAAACAGAAAGAATTCACCACCAAGCCCCAAAAGTACATAAGAGTATAGAATATGTGATATAAAGATTGATAATGTACTCCATGAACTTTTTGGAGCTCACTTGTGCATCAACCCTGAGGAGACTGACATGATTGGAACGTTTTTTTAATTGCCATCTCTCAGAAGTCTCAATGCCATGCTATATCAACAAGAATTTAAACACCTGAATCTTAACCACGGTCAAACTTAATTAACTGCCATGACCTACCAGAAGTGCTTGTTCTTGTGGATGAAGTAGTACATGTAACAGCCAACCTTGGGGTTACCAGAGTAATATTTTTCTTTCTCCTTCGCCTCTCCGATATTTATTAAGTCACCAGCATACTCCACAACAAATTCTCCCTTGAAGAAAGATCTTGTTGCCATCACACCACGACCTTTCCCCTCAAAATTCACAACCTGAAAAGAAAAGGTAAATATTCAACAGGTTTCATATACCATGTTATTAGGTCTGGTTTGCTTTGTTGTTTAACGCCGCACTCAGCGATATTCCAGCTATATGACGGCGGTCTGTAAATATTCGAGTCTGGACCAGACAATCCAGTGATTAATATCATGAGTATCGATCCATGCAATCATGGCAATTGGGATCGATGACATGCATCAACCAAGTCAGCAAGTCTGACCACGCGATCCCGTTAGTCGCCTCTTACAACAAGCATAGTCGCCTTTTACAGCAAGCATGGGTTGCTGAAGACCTATTCTACCCCAGATCTTCACAGGTCACCATGTTATTAACTGCAACCCACAGTGTTAACTGATACCGGAAATATAAGGGACATTCTTTCCAAGTGTGACACAGCCATAATGACGTTTTGATGTGCCTTTCGAATTTTAGTGTACAAATAAGAACAAAACTTTCGATCCTCCTTCTTTGACCATTCCTTTTCATAGGCGAGGTGAGGTGAAATGGGGATTAACTTCTCGTTCAAGATTATTGCACTTATATAGCGATGTTCATGGGTGGCTGCTTGTACTAGTTTGGGCTAATGTCGATATATTTAATAGTGCTAGCCCACTGAGATACAGTGCTGCAGTTTAATGTATGAATACAACACTTAGAAACAGTATACTGACTCCAAGTCAACCAGTAATTGTTTTAGCCCCCTAATGCTGAGCCACAGGCAGGGTAACAACAAGTACCATCTTTGTGTTTCGGTATGACCTTCCGCTCTCCGGGCATATGCTCCATCCACTACACCATGGAGGCAGTCTCTTTTCATAGAAATTGATAATACTCTTCCCAGTTTCTGAATTCCCAGGGCAGTTAAGAATTGCTGATATAGTAGATCAAATAAAGGTGTCCCTTAAAACTTGATTTGTAACATAAGCATGATTACATAACCTGGATGGATCATTTCCCTTCCATGCCTAACTTTGAGTGAGTTTGGTTTAACACTGCTTTGAACAGTATTCCAGTCATATCACGGTGTGTCAGCCTAATGTGGGAGGAAAGCCTGAAGTAATGCAGGCCTCAGATGTTGACAAATTTGGTGAAACCCACAAGCATGGGTATGGTGCTGACAGACCCAGATTATAGGTCTCTGGCATAACCAAGGGACGCAACTCTGTACAGCCCATTGCTGCACCTTAGACAACTGGGCCATCCATGCCCCACATGCTTAACTTTGAACACAGGGTAACTGTTCCTCACCACCATGATGACAGTCTCATGGCATAGTTAGTAGTTCAGTGCCAGATTTATGACAGCACCTTCTTATAATCTTTTGATGATCTGATGTGGAACCGATGCACCAAGATGAGTTTGATGCATTATTCTTTGGACAGGTAATGTTTACCATTGCGATTAACTGTTATACTGTTTTGGTTTTTTTTGGTTTGTTTAACGCTGCTCTCGGCAATATAACAGCTATATGACAGCGGTGTGTAAATAATCAAGTCTGGACCAGACAACCCTGTGATTGACATCATTAGCATCGATCCACACAATTGTGATACGATGACATGCATCAACAAAGTCAGCGAGCCTGACCACCCGATTCTGTTAATCGCCTCTTAAGACAAGCATAGTCGCCTCTTACAACAAGCATGGGTTTGTTATATATCTGAACTTTCAAGAATGTTGCAATAATGCTGCCTTGAAGTTTAACAAATTCTTGTCAATTAGTTCATCAATCTTGTGATGGAGTGAGTGAGATTGGATTAACTGAATGGGTTTTTCAGTTATATCACAGCATGTCAGTTTAATGTGGGAGGAAAGTGACGCAGGGCCAAGACATTTACCACTTTGGTGAGACCCACAATCATGAGTATAGTGCTGACAAACCTAGATATAATCTAGGCTAACCGGGTTTGAACCCACAATCATTGGTTCCTGGCACATCAAAGGGATGCAACTCTGCCCAGCTAATTGCAATGCCTAAGACTACTGGGCCACAAGTGCCCCACATCAGTCTTGACAACTACAGAAAGAGATGGACCTACCTTCAACCCCTCTTCACAGTGGGAAAGAATTTTCTTCTCTACTTCTTCAGTTTGTTCTTTCTGCAAACCCAACATATTAACTGGTTAGTTACATAAAGTGTGCTACCATATACAATACCACCAGCAATTCAACATGTCTTGTTGTTTTAATGCCGCATTCAGCAATATTCCACTATATGATGGCAGTCTGTAAATAACTGAGTCTGGACCAGATGGCTGATATTGTGAACAACAATCCTGATGAAGGAGTAGTTATATACTCCCAAACGTTGTGTTCCTCATAATAAAGAGGTTGACATCCACAAATTCTCTTCCTTAACAATCCAGTGTCGGGTTATGATGAAACTCAATCAACCAAGTCACTGAGTCTGACCACCCAACACATGGGGCGCTCTTACAACCAGCACAGGTTGCAGGGAACCTATTCTAACCAGGTTGGTTGGTTATTTAACGCCGCACTCAGCAATATTCCAGCTATAAGACGGTGGTCTGTAAATAACTGAGACTGGACCAGACAATCCAGTAATCAATATCATGAGCATCAATCCACGCAATTGGGATCGTTGACATGCATCAACGAAGTCAGCGAGCCTGACCACTCGATCCCATTAGTCGCCTTTTATGGCAAGCATTTAGCATGGGTTGCTGAAGACTAATTCTACACCAGAATCTTCATGGGTCTTCTAACCAGGAAAACCCACAGCAAAAAAAATAACAACATACACCAACATGATCCAACCAACCATGAATGAAAAATCAAATCAATACCTGTGGACATTTCCAGAAGAGGTGAGGTGAAATTGGGTTTAACGTCGCGTCCAAGATTATTGCACTTATATAGCGACGTGCATGCATGTGTGTGTGTGGCTGCTTGTACTTGTCCGGACTGATGCCGATTTATAGTGCTAGCTCACTGAGATACCATGCCGCAGTTTAAAATGAATACCCCACTCAGACACAGTATATTGACCCCGAGCCGACCAGTCCTTGTTTTAGCCGCTTAATGCCGAGCGCCAGACAGGGTAACAACAAGTACCATCTTTTAACGTCTTTTGGTATGACGCTGCCGGGGATCGAACCCCGAACCTTCAGCTCTCCGGGCGGACGCTCTACCACAAGACCACGGAGGTGGTCCATTTCCAGAAGAACCCATGCACACAAATTAGAGGAGCAGATATCATCACAATGATTCTATTCCATACCTTGAGTGAGGACAAACATCTGCGACCACTTCTTCTCACGGGGAAGTAGTCTGTAATTGTTTTGTTCTGTGTTGGAGGTTCAGTTTTTCTGAGAAAATAGAAATTAGAAGAAATTAGATACAGAAAACAAGAAGACGTAAAATCATGAAAATGCCTGCCGATATTCATGATACTAATGATAAACTTAAACAATGATCCATGTAAAGTGTCAGTACAAAAATATTTGCAAAATCTTCTACAATGGATGAAATTGATGCCAAAATAACCGTGATAACAAGATGGTGCCTGATTGACTCGTCTCGCTTGGCAAGGAATTATCACTATACATGTAACAGTTGTGTAAGAAGACATGGTCATGTAACCGTCCAAGTGTAATCAGAAATAAATGTTCTCAAAGGTAAGATGTAATTTTATTTTGGGGGGATTGTTATAAGACACGTAATCAGAAATACTTCTTAGGGGCTCGAAAAAACAGTACACGAGGATATATCAAACAGCTAAACTTGGTGAATCCCAAATATGAAATGCCTACTTCCTCCTTCCTGGCCTTGGTCTTGGTGGTGTGAAGGACTTGTCATCTACAGACGTAGGCTTCACCTTCCCTCGTTTCCCTTTCCTCTTCTTTGGCACAGAACTTTGTGAACTACTTGTTGACAAAGGACTCTCAGTCCCTTCCCTGAGCTGCTTACAATGTGAGGTAGATTCAGAGTCTGACAAACACAGTTTGGGCTCTATTTGGGCATATGTGTGGTCGACACCCAATGGTGACCGACTGCCTGCATTTGACGTCTCCACACCATTGTCATCACTACATGCAGCAGGCTCTGAGACGGTGTCTTTGTCTTTGACGGGGGATGCCTCAGGAGTCAACAAGACGGAGGAGGATTGAAGGGACTCATCACCATCAGGAGTCTTGTCCTCATCTGAAATTTAGGAACAATAGTGACTTGCCAAGAGCATATCCACCATTTTTAGTGAGTGAGTGAGTTGGGTTTAACGCCGCTTTTAACAGTATTCCAGTTACATAGCAGCGTGTCAGCTTAATGTGTGAGGAAAGCCCGAAGTGATGCAGGTCTCAGATGTTTACCAATTCAGTGAGACCCACCTAGAGCCTAGAAACATAATCGGGACAAACCGGGATTCGAACCCACAATCGTAGGTTTCTGGCGTGCCCAAGGGACGCAACTTTGCACAGCGAATTGCCTTAGACGACTTGGCCACCCGTGCCCCCTCACTGATGGACATAGGGCATCAGTCCAGACATTGATACCATAACATACAATCAACCAAGTAAATGAGGACCTGAACTCACTGGACCAAACAATTTTGCTCTGGCTTCAAATTTCAAAGTTAAAGAATAGTTATCCAAAGATAGATAAAGCCACAAGTGAAAATCTAGAGACTGATTTGATTCCTCTAGTCCTGAATGAGCGTAACCGTTACCCCTTCTTAATTTACCTTCATCCTCCAACTGGATCTTGCTTTGTATTGTCTTAGTGTTGATGACAGTCTCTGAATCAGCAGTTTTCTCCATTTTCCCCTAATACTGATGGCTCATCTGAAACCAAATGATAGAATGCAACTAAAGTTATGGAAAGGTTTCTGCTCGTAATCCCTACTTCACATGGTTACGGGCAGAAGTAATACCAATCTGGGATCATTGTTGGCACAGGCAGTACAGCAAAATGTTCTACAGCAAAGCGAATTATTACACTAAATTGAGAAGCCATGGTCCCAAACACAACACACCATCAATGGATGAAGTCATAGAGCTCTGTGTCAATGAAATTCTGAAATGAAAGTTTGGATGTGACATCTGGAATGTACACAGATTGGTACCTGGAGCACATTTCCGGCCCAAGGTACCGTTTTGTAAACACAAACGTTATCTAGCAAGGCAAAAGATTTACGGCACTTACAAAACTATTTTCTTTCTGTCATCTACAGTGTCACATGTGTAATATACCCGTTTTTTAAAATGTCATACCTTTATGATACAATGATGAAGTCAGCGTCGTTATAATGCCACACTTGTGTACATTTCTGAACTTCGATTTTAATTTAAGGTTACCTATTTACAGCCGGTGTTGGAGACGTATGATGAAATCTAATCTACATAACTAGACGTTCTATCTGAGGCAAAGTAATAAATTATTAGGACCTACACTAAATTGAGAAACCACGGACCCAAACGCTACACATCATCATATCAATGCATAAAATCATAGATCTCTTTATCAACCGATCAAATCCAAACATGAACGTATGGATGTGGCATCGTCTGAAAAGTCAAAAGGCAGCGAACACATTCTGAAGATGATATAAAACATAGACCTGTTTCACAACCATACCATTAATACACACACCCGTCACAAATATTGTATGTCAATCAGACTAGATCGTGACTTTCATCGCCAAAACAGAGAACATAAATTCGTGTGAATTACGCTTTGCTGATTGGTCGCAATGCCGTACGAGAGAACATTCTATTGGTCCTGGATCGTTCTTTGAAGGAATTTGATTGGCTTTCGGGCGATTGAACCATTCGTTCTTTATAGAAGAATTAATATTTACACGAGCGTATGTAGTTCGTCATTTATCGTAATAATATTAAGGATGAAAATAAAGTTGTGAATTTCTTTTTGGGATATCTACTTTTAAAAAATCATGGTGTCACAGTTATACTAGCTTCCTAACGCAGAACTACCATATATAAACACCAGCTTATTATACACATTCAATTCTAGTATGGAAACTTTCCATAAACAAGTAAAGTATAATAACATATATTTCATCTACTGTTTGAAATATTGGAAAATGATTATATACATTACGATAAATTGATAGGACGTAAATATTGTTATTAATAATGTAAGTTTTTGGAAGATAGTCTGAAATGCATTGTGGGTAATTAAGCAAGGGACAAGTAATGTTGCCGAAGAGGTGTCGTAATTTGCTGTGAAAATATTATGGCAACAGAAGCAAATGTAAGCCATGTATTCGGTCAGCATCGACTAAATCGAAATATTTAGTTTACAATTGAACTATTGTAAAGGAAATAACACAACCAAACTCGTTTTTTTACCATAAATTTCGATCGTGAAGTGAGGAAGTAAACTCACGTTTACCACCACACTAAAGACACGACACACTGGATCACTAATGCCAAATAATGTGTTTTGTTTGACATGGATAAATCCTATGCACATCTTGCACCTTTTGATTTGTTATGTCAGTGTTTAACCAAATAATGTTCCATTCAAAACAAGCTGATATATAACGGAGGCATTTTACAAATGGGATAACTCGTAAACATGGACAATCCGCAAAATAGAAACATTTTTTTTTAACTTTCGGAATTTCAATATTTGTCCTTGTCGTTTAATTATGTGTTACTTTTCGTTTATGATTGTTTTAATTGATGCCCCAGTGCTATGTGAACGACAGATAGGAAGTTTGATTCACTAAGGTGATTTCATCCGATTTCAATCACCCTACATTTGGGTACCTACATCAAGGAAGAAACTTCTTGGACAAGGCCTAAACCTCGATCTGTTTTCTCATCTCACTGAACCATTAAGCGTTTAACCATTAATTATAAATTTGGTTGTTTATAGGATAACTTAATTTCCTGGAATATTTGTTTACTTAAATCAGAGTATTTTTAACATGACTAAGCTAAATTATATTTAAAGGGAGGGGAAGGTGCTGCTTTCATTATTAGGACACGGCCTGTTACAAGGAAGTCATACTGAATGTAATCTATATACATAATAGAATTGATCTAGTTGAAACACACCAGAGCTATAATATGGATCAGTTACCTTTGCTCATTGCGTGCCGTCATACCTTCATAGCTTGAATCGCTGCTCATGTTTTCAGGCACTGTTTTGCCTGGTCCAGACTTTAGTATTTTCAGGCCACATTGATACAGCTGGAATATTGCTGATGCCCCATTAAATAACATTCAATTTACTTTGAAAACTACCCGTGAAGATTCCGGGGTAGAACAGGTCTTCAGCAACCCATGCTTGCCATAAAAGGTGACTATGCTTGTCGTAAAAGGCAACTAACGGGATCGGGTGGTCAGGCTCGTTGACTTGGTTGATGCATGTCATCGATCCCAATTGCGTGGATCAATGCTCATGATATCAATCACTGGATTGTCTGGTCTAGACTCGATTATTTACAGACCGCCGTCATATAGCTCGAATATTGCTGAGTGCGGCGTTAAACAACAAACCAACCAACCACTTTGTTAACTACTAACCCGTATCCCTGTCAGGCATCTGGAATAGAATAGGCCAGGTACCCATGCTTGGTGTTAGAGCCAACTATGATGGAGATCAGGTGGGTGCAATGTGCAGCCTCTACCCACTGAATGTTGTTATACCTTGAGGGCTTGGATCATTGCTCATGCTTTTAGCCAATGCTTTGTCTGGTGTTTTCCCAGACTGGAGTGATATAATTGTACAACATTCACTCAACCATTACTGCTTCGTCTCCGTGAAAGCTTGTCTTTTGACATCGATTGTATCTGATTGTATCATGCATTGGACACTTTATACTGAGTTGGAGGAAATTTTGGAAGACTTTGACTAAGTGGCTAAAGTTGAAAGGTATTACGATGCCGAAAATATTTTATCATTGTAGACATTGCTTGATACATCATTCACAATGACATACTTCAGCCACTTATATTTTCGGTGCACAATGGCATGGATTATATTTGTGGAGTTTATTCTTGTCCAATTTTGTATATTTATGGGCCACTGCCGGGTTTTTCGCAATGCACAAATGTGCTTTTAGTACGCACAAATGTAAATAATGGACGCAGAAAAAGAATACACTGTGTCCGAAGGGACACACAGTAATATTCATTGTACCGGTACCTACAGCTCACCAAGAGCAGTTTTGGGCATCTGTCATTTCATCCATCAATTATGAGTCTTTATTGACCTCTGTCTTGTTATGGTGTAAAACATTTTATCAGTCTTTTTTATCCATGTTCTTGCTTAAAATGTAACAAGTCAAAATTAACTAACTACCCATGAAGATCAGGGGTAGAATAGGTCTTCAGCAACCCATGCTTGCTGTAACAGTGTAAGAGGCGACTATGTTTGTCGTAAGAGGCGACTAATGGGATTGGGTGGTCAGCCTTGCTGGCTTGGTATTGCACGTCATCGTATCACGATTGCATGGATCAATGCTTATGAGGTCAGTTACTGGATTTTCTGGTCCAGACTTGATTATTTACAGACTGCTGTCATATATATATATATATATATATACTACTCAAAAGAAGTTAAGGATCACCCAATTCTTTCATATTGGTAATGTTAATCTGTCATGGCATGAGAGATTAACTATTGTAATATGAAAGAATCAGGTGATCCTTAACTTCTTTTGAGTAGTATATATATGTATATGGAGTTACGATCATCTTAGCGCTAAGATTGCTTTGTGCAAGTGGGCCCTGAGACTGTTTTGGTCATAGGAGATTATAATAGATCAGGCTGTTGGTTGTGTCATCGTACCTTGATGGCGTGGCTTATTTCTCATACTATCAATCACTGGATTGTCTGGTCAGGACTAGATTATTTACAGTCTGACATACAGCTGAAATATTGCTGAATGGGACATTCAGCAACAGACGAACATGTTAAAGATGATCTGATTTCTAAGCACTTTTTTGGAAATCTTGAATCTATAGGTCGTAGTAGAACTGTGAAGCATATGAGGACTTTCTCTAACTCCTGGTCTTTCTTTTGCTTCAGAATGACTCTTTTGACCTGTTGTCGGCTGCATTGGATGAGTCTGGAATTACTGGAAATGATTTGGCAGATTTGAGCTGTGAATCCTCCGTGCCATCTACAAGTGACTATGGCAGTTTGCACAATACGGTGAGTTGACAACGACGATTGGTAGCTGTTAGGAGTTGTACTAAATACACTGTTAACGCTGTAAACGGTCAGTAAATGAAACTTTGGCAGTGCCAAGCTATCTGTTGAGGTCAAGATCACTGTGAACAGTCTGAAAGGTTGTTCCTTAGCCATGGCCTCTACACTTAGAAGGGTGTGCTAACATGTAAGGGTATTCGAGATAAGTGCCTGCCCGAAGAGCCCTCTAGGGCTCTTGTGTTGGCTGGTAGTCTGTATGGCCTGCAGTAAGTTTACGTGTCACTTTTGTTTTCACTATAAGCGGCAGTTTTTTAAATGAGGTCCTGGGGAGTTCGGTCAGGGCCTGCAGCTTCTGAAAGATGTGGGTCCTGATGGCAGCCAGACAAGTTCTTTTTACCTGTATTTCAAACATTAAAGGTATAACCTGTATACATATTCTTTCTTTCAAGAACATTTATCACAATATTATTTTTAACCGATTGTTAATTGATATTGTGTAATTTCAAACATCCATGAGATTGGCCTTTGGGGCGTATTCAAGGTTATATGAATGAAAGGCAAGTGCTAGGCATGCTAGAGGGCTGTTTGATTTAATTACAAATACATTCCACCAACAAATAACTCACAGGCCATCATATTTATCTATTGTTACTGCACATGTCTGAAAGTCAAGTGAGTTCATGTTATGGCCCTGCTTGACAGGTGTCCAACTTGGTCTTTGAATATGATATGATTGGGACCTTATGCCCCCAGCCGTACCATTACTCAAATCGCCAATAGGCAGGAGACTTGGACATTTTTTTGAGAAAATTGGACGATTTTGGACGACCATTTCATCACTCAACTTCTGCGTCATGCTTATTGATTTCCGTTATCTGTGACTCCCCAAACTACGTCCAATCCTCTGCACAGACGATATGCTGCCAGCCAACTTCAAGCCCTTTAAGACGCCATCGGTACATTAGTCACAAACCAAGATATAGATCGTCTAGGTCAGTACCCAGGTACCCTGAGATTATATTTGCCGAAAAATTTCGGATGATTTTCAAAATAAAGACATTAAATGTGCAGTTCCTCGAATAGCCACCTCATTTTCAGATTGTATCCATCACACTTCTTCATAAGATCATCCAACGAGGCGATTTCATGGTCAATCTTGACCTACAAGATGCCTATCTTCATGTGCCAATCTATCGGGATCACCACCATTACCTTTGGTTCATATTCCAAGGCAATCACTACCATTGGAAGGGGCTCATGTGCTCCCTGTGGCTTTTCACACATATTACAAAGCCAATCACACAATTCCTTCACCGCAGAGGAATCGTGTTTGAAGTGTACATAGACGATTGCATCTACATGATCTAAGCCCCCGCTGATCATATAACACTTGTGAAGCACCTCAAGTTCACTCAGAAGCTATTTCTGCAGCTAAGTTGGCTAATCAACATAGTGAAATCCAAGCCCACTCCTACGCAATGTCTTCAGTTCATAGCAGCAAGATGTTCTTCCCTCCGTACGGGTGGTCGAAAATAAAGAAACTAGTGCCATTGGCACTCAGACAGTCGTTACATCTTCGACAATGGCAGCAGCACCTGCATCTGTTGACATTTGCACAAGCACTGAACCCAGAGAGGCCACCTTCCCCTATGCAGGACAACAACTGCACTGTCCTGATTCTTATTCTGTGGCTCCAGGAATCAAATGTTTGTGCAGGAGTCTCTTGAGGCCGCCATTTTGATGCACCGTCTATTCGTCAATGCCTCAAGGGTAGGTTTGGGGCCTCACATTCTTGATCTTGATATTGAAGCATCCTTGATCACCAGCTTCCTCATGTACATCTCACAGTTGTAGTCTGATACAGGTGAGGGTATGTGCGTCCCACTGTCCAACTGTGGGATAAATGCATAGTGTGAGATAGGATAAGTTAAAAATTTGCATTTTATGGTTATAAATTGTATATTTATATACTTATCCTATGTCACACACTATATGCCCACCCAGCCACGCCCGCATCGGTTACTCCAGTCTCTACGCTCTAAAAAAGAGAATGAAAGACAGGGTGTGTCATGTGATCAGGTCACTTAAGCTTACCGCACACAGGATTACAGTGCGTGACCCATTGTTTTGGGTGGGCATCATGGTAATGCTGGGATGTTTTCGGGTGTAATGCTTTTTTAAACTGGAAACTTTGTTTCCACTCCAGGATTGAAACTGAAAGAAGGAAGAAATGCATAGTGTGAGATACGATAGGTTTATGAATATACAATTTATTGTTAAAGTTTCAATAATAATAATAATAATACTAATGATAATAGCAGTATGCATGATGATAATTAGTTTGATTAGTAACAGTGAAGAACCGGGGTAGAATAGGTCTTCAGCAACCCATGCTTGCCGTAAAAAGCGACTATGCTTGTTGTAAGAGGCGACTAACGGGATCGGGTGGTCAGGCTTGTTGACTTGGTTGATGTCATCGTATCCCAATTGCTTGGATCGATGCTTATGATGTCAATCACTGGATTGTCTTGTCCAGACTTGATTATTTACAGACAGCCGTCATATAGCTTGATTATTGCTGTGTGCGGCATTAAACAAACAAAAAAACAACCCCCCAAAAACCAGCTATTGTTATAGTTTTAACAATCTAGCACATGGTTGTAGTCACATTATTGCTGAGGGCGGCGTTAAAGAACAAACCAACCAACTAGTATCAGTGAATTTTATGTTGCCAAATGGTTAAAAGTTGTTTTAATTTTTTGCAGGGGTTTCCTGATTCACCCTTGGTAAATGGGACACCAAACAGCAAGCATGGTGACGTGAACCAGGCTGATCTGTTCAACCAGGCCATGGGCCAGCTGACTGCAACCTCTGCACATATCAAACCAAGGAACACCCCGAGCCCAGTAAGTCACACATGTCCAGGAGCAGAAGCTGGGCTGTTTCTACATCACCTGCATCATCAAGGAAGTCCTCCTCGTTGATGCTACTTTTTTCTGTTGTCAATGTTGGAAATGTGGCGTGCCAGTTTGAGACTTGTAACTATGCAAAAGGACCAAACATTCCCCCTTTATCACCATTTTATATTCCCTCCCAAGTGTGGCTACATAATCATGATCTGATGTTTCCATTTGATTTGAACAATTTTTACCGCTGCGACTACCAGGTATCACTCTGGAAAATAATAGGAATCGGCCTGGAGCTCCTATTGCTTACCTACAACATGTACAATGGCCCCTTGTCCCATTATTTTTCAATTTCTACTAGTCCTTATGATACCTTAACTATTGGGCAGTTTGGCAAGGACTTCAGGACTTGTGCCAGTTTCTAACCCTGATATTGGGCCCCAAATGTCAGTAAAAAATTCCACATTAGAATTTAAGGTTTCCCAATTCATGTTAATGTTGGTATAACTAATGTTTTGGATTTTTAAAGGTGACTTACATTTCACTGGAAAACAGGAGCAATAAGGTTCAGTGCCCAGTGTTTAATTATTGCATTGAAATTTTGACTACATTTTTTAAATACTGTTCAAATACCTCTTATCTTGCTTATGTTAGGAAAATCTTCTTTTTTTTAAAAATCTCAATTTTTGAATGAAATAAATTTTCATAATTTCCTGACAAGGGCACCTTTGGATTCCTATTTAAATGTCTAATCAGCCTGTCATACAGAAATGAATAATTGATTTGTTATGCTGCAATGTTGCAGGTACTGGCCGGTGTTCCACAGTCTCTACTACGAGCCAATATAGTCCCTGGACAAAGTCCCACAGTACATGCTCCAAAGATCATCCGTGTTCCAAGTTCATTGTTAAACTCTTCCTCCTCACCACTATCGTCCCTCCCCAGCAGCATCACACGCTCCCTGGTGCAGGGGGTGTCGCCCAATCAGCCCCGTGTCATCACCATCACCCGCATGGGGTCCGGAGGCAATGTGGGGAGCAGGCAAACCATCACCCTCACTCCACAAGTTACCAGTGCAAACAGCCCAAAGATTATTGTAGCAAGTAGTAATAAGAATATGAACTCAATTTCCACAGTGAACGGGCAAATAATGCGGACTAGTTCGCCAATACAGGTTGTCAGCAAAGTGGGGATGTCGGGAGGGAAGCTTTTACCTGGCTCAACTATGACTCCCGCTCAGACATCTTTGTTGAACAGTTTACAAGGAAATCGCTCAGTTACTTCTACGGTTCCAAGCAATGTGGCAACGTCACTTGTGAATGGTAATAACATTAATGCCATCAAAACTAGTCTTTCTAATAAGGATCTCTCAAGGCTGTGGTCTCAAGAGGATGTTCGGCTAAAGAACATTGCTGGAATACAGGTAAGTGGAAAACTGTATTGTATCTCATGATATCCAGGTCAGTGTTATGGTGGTATGAGAGATAAGGATAGAAAATGATTCTCAGTTGCTCAGTTGAACCTTTATGACGTCACAGTGTTTCCTAGTTGAGAAATATTCAATACGACGTCATCCATTGTTCATGACGGCACAGATTTGTGACATTACGTCATCTGAACAGTAGGCTGCCTTCAGTGCAGTTTCTTTGCAGTGTGACATTTCATGTTTTTTTCTCTCGTAAACATTGTTAAAATGTCAGTGAGTAATTTATGGTATAACCAACTTGAAACTCAAATATATGGATTAGCTGTTCCTCGTAAAATGAATGCCATAAGTCCCTAGGCAAAGGCTCTTGATTAACTCTTTATTCACTCGGGACAGATAATCTGTAATTCCCCGTAGCTTGTTGGTTATTTTGTAATTATTTTCCATGAAAAGTTTGACAAGGGCAGCCTTGGTTGTGTACTCCCTAGGGAGCTGAGAATGAAAATTGAGTACACTCTGATCCAATGACCGGGGGATATAATGTTAGCACTTGGAGCCTGGTCACACTTCACTAACAGGACAATGAACATGAAGAGGTTTTAATGTTAAATTTTCCATTTTTGTATTCAATGTTTAATTTAGAATTTTCATTGCAGCTATTTTGACATGGGCTAAGAGAAATGTTGGGTCAGTTACCTGGTTTGGGACCATAACGTGTTAAAATGGGCGGGGGATATAGATGACTTCATCGACTATACGCTTTTTGCATATAGCAACGTTATTGAAACGTCGCTTTATGCAATAAATCTGAAGTTGTTTTTTCGTTTTTACATTTTTCTTACTTATTTGCCAACTTTGAGAATGCCAATCAAACACTAAGAAAATAAGGACTTTTGAAGAAAAGTTCCAATTTTGTACACAATTTTCCCAACTGGTCTGGCAATGGCAGTTAGTTAGGAAGCCTAGATAAATCCTTGTCTGTGTTCTATGCCATGACAGAAAAGTTCTCTGAGTCAGGATGGGTGAGATGACAGGAAAACTCTTGATCAACTTTAATGGTTGGCTGTGTTTCACTTTCAGGTCCATCGCCAACACAGTCAGACAATCATGCGTCCTCCAACAGCCTTGGAGGAGGAGGAAGTGGAAGAGGAAGTGGAGGAGTTGGGACATGCAGAGACCTACTTCGATTACATGCCGGAAAAATGTGAGTAGCACTACTTGAACCAATAGTGGATCATTGCTGATGGAGTGAGTGAGTTGGATTTAACGCCGGTTTTAACAGTATTACAGTTATATTGCGGCGTGTCAGCTTAATGTGGGAGGAAAGCCCGAAGTGATGCAGGTCTCAGACGTTTACCACTTTGGAGAAACCCACGAGCACGGGTATGATGCTGACAAACTTAGAAACATAATTGGGCGAACCGGGATTCGAACCCACAATCATAGGTTTCTGGCACGCCCAAGGGATGCGACTCTGCACAGCGATTCGTGGCACCTTAGACGACGATTGGGCCACCTCTGCCCCCTTCAGTTTTGAAAAAAATAATTTACTTATCTGGACTGGATTTAGTTATGTAAAGCATGCAGAAGTGCAACATAATATTGAAAAGTACCACCTAATATTTGTCTTCATACCCTAAGTGGGGGCACGGGTGGCCCAGTCGTCTAAGGCACCGTGATTCGCTGTGCAGAGTTGCGTCCCTTGGGCACGCCAGACACCTATGATTGTGGGTTGGAATCCCGGTTCGCCCCGATTATGTTTCTAGGTTTGTCAGCACCATACTCGTGTTCCTGAGTTTTACTGAAGTGGTAAACGTCTGAGACCTGCATCACTTCTGGTTTTCCTCCCACATTAAGCTGACACGCCGTGATATAACTGGAATACTGTTAAAAGCGGCATTAAACCAAACTCACTCACTCACTCACTCATACCCCAAGTGCTGTAAAATAAAATAAAATTTGTGTCAGACTAACCCTTACTTTTCCACACAACAATGATCGTTGGACACACTCAAAGCCACTAATCTCCCAGTGTTTAATTTGCCCTTTATTCTTGGCTTGGTTGGGGCGGTAAAATTTATCTTAAAAACTTTAAAACAAATTATGTCAAATCTGTATTCCTCTGTCTTTATCCTCTCCAGTTTAACATTTTGATGAATAAGAAACATAGTTTAAACTGGAGGTTTCTATTATTTTTTTAACCTACCAACCTGTGGGATAAAATATTCATAACCCCCCCCCCCCCCCCAAAGTCTGACCTGATTTGAACTGATCAGACCAAAAGGACTTCTGTTCATGCCAAATAAGGGGCGGTTGGTTAGCCTAGTGGTTAAAGAGTTTGCTCGTCATGCCGAAGCACCAGGTTCGATTCCCAACAAGGATACAATTTGTGAAGCCCATTTCTGGTGTCCCCCACCTTGATATTGCTGGAATATTGCTAAAAGCGACGTAAAACTACACTCACTCACTCACTCACTCACTCACTCACTCACTCACTCACTCACTCACTCACTCACTCACTCACTCACTCACTCGGCTTGGAGTCATCAAACTGTGGGTACTTCAAGATTATGTGCACATGTTCCTACTATGTTTTACAGCAATATGTCATTAATTAATATGAAATCATTACTCAGTCATCAGAGATCTGACATTTTGTTTGTTTAGACGCATTAATGCATCTGTTTTAACTTAATGAATTAAGTGGACCAGTGGTTTTGTCTATGCAGCAAGGATTTCAAATCAACATGCTGCTAATGCAAGTTGAATCAAGTTCCTTAATTCAAGCCCATATTAGACATAACACAGGGAATAAATGGTAATAAACTTCAGAGGTATGGAGTCTGTTCAAAGATTGATTTTGTGTGGACAAGTAAGTGATAGTCAGAAACATACTTGGTGGATGTAGACATAAATATTAAGCCTTTTTCAATTATAGGTTTCACTTGTTTTATGTAGCTAAATCGAGGCCTGTATCACCATCCAAATTTATGTTACAGTAAAGCTTGGAGAAAAGCATCCTGACGCTGTTGTGGAAACAAGCTCAATGGCCAGCGTGGAGCCTCCAGATATCAACTACAAGCTGTGTATACCCGAGTCTGTGATGGACAATTGTCAGTTGTCTGCTCTGCAGCTGGAGGCCATTGTGTACTCCAGTCAGAGACATCAAACAGTCCTGCCCAGTGGCGAACGTGCTGGCTATCTCATAGGTAAGTTAGGGCGTATTGGAGGACTCTGAATCAGTAGGGTGTGTTGATGTAAGTGGATACCCTTATGGTAGGGTAGGCCAAAGAAATTGACAGTTGGCGACTTGGTATATTGGTGTCTAAAAACATATGCATGAGCATAGAAAATTATGGGCATGGAATGATAAATAGGGGGACAGTACATGTTTCTAAAGAGCATTGAGAACGCATTTGCATGCAATGGATTTGCAGAAATCACTGAGGAATTCCATCACCACTCCCTATACCTGAACAGCAAGAAGACGTTTAAACTAATGTTTGGAGCATAGAACTATCAATTAGGACAATGTTATCTTCTCAGACGAAAGTTCAATGTGGCTACTTCCAAACTGCATAAATATGTGGACCAAAGGTACAGACAAACCTATTTACCAGCACCCATAGTCAGAGCTCCAGATAAGCTTTTGGTGTTGTGGGTATTTTACCCATGCATTTTAAAATCATTGGGTATCAGTAATTCTATCTGAGTATTTAAATTTCTATTACCCACTAGTTTTTACACATCTGGGTATTTAAGTTAAATATTTAAAAACACTAATCATCTAGTCCCTGCAAACTGGTGTCGTGTGGGTTTGAGAGCTTTGTAGGACTCAAAAATACCACAATACTTCCTCAAGAAGGTGTGATGGCAAATGATCATGATGTAACTGTCATCTAGGAGTTTGGCAAGGTTGACGGAATGCCCGTTTATAATTTCAAAATAAGTTGCTGATTTGCTAATCGAATACGCAGGGTTATTTCACAATATTTTGATGATACGCACAAGTTATATTTTTGTAGTGTATCTGTAATGTTCGTTGCGTATTTGATACGCTTGGATTTTATTTCACTGCGTATTTCTGCATTTCTGATGTGTATTTTACGCAGATACGCAGCTTATCTGGAGCTCTGCATAGTACAGTCCTAAATTTCATGTGTGGGGTGGGGTGTCTGTGTTCAGTCCCACACCATTATGTGTATTTGAAGGTAACTGACATTCTACAGGGACATCTTCTTCCAACAACACAAGTTTAGTGTCATAACGGGTGGGTATTCCAGCAAGCCAAAGATTCAAAACATAGAGCGAAGCATTCTCAGGAATGGCTTAACAAGAAACCTGAACCCAATTGGGGAATTATGAAGGACCATATCAGTCAAAAAAATCTAAAAATATATGAGACATGAAAGCAGGGGTGGTGAGGTATTGGGACAGTATGACTCATGGTTTTCTAACTTCCTTGATAGGCAGTATGCCTTGCCAAATGAAGCATGAAGTATTACAAGACATGGCCTCACAAACTACAGAACAGTTTCTCTTTAGTAGCTTCAGGTAAACAGTGTCTGTTGGACAAACTTATCTCTTCGTCTATGACTTATTAATTCTAAAATTTACTATGTTGTCATTCTCAATACTGGTGAAACTATAGTAGCTGAGCTTACTAGACCAACAAGATTGTATTTGACTCAGGCGTCCACAAGTGGCTAAAGTCACTAAGTTCACTATGTTGTTTATTAAACACTGCCTGTAATTAAGTACTAGTATGTTCATCAGTATGTGGGGGTTGCTTACTTGCCTCAACTGTTGCAGGTGACGGTGCTGGTGTCGGCAAAGGCAGGACAATTGCTGGTATCATCTATGAGAACTATCTTCAGGGGAGGAAGAGAGCACTATGGTGAGGAAATATGCAAATTTGAAATTGTATGACACAGCTGCATCAATCTGAAGGATATGTTGTATGACAAGGCTACATCTATCTGAAGGATATGTTGTATGGCAAGGCTACATCTATCTGAAGGATATGTTGTATGGCAAGGCTACATCTATCTGAAGGATATGGTGTATGACAAGGACACATATATCTGAAGCTATGTTGTATGACAAGGCTACATCAATCTGAAGGATGTGTTGTATGACAAGGCCACATCTATCTGAAGGATATGGTGTATGACAAGGCCACATCTATCTGAAGCTATGTTGTATGACAAGGCTACATCTATCTGAATGATATGTTGTATGACAAAGCTACATCTATCATGTCTATCTGAAGGATATGCTTTGTTTCAGTCTCATCACTGTAAATAGTATTTAAGGAAACATGAGTTACTACTTAACACCCTTGTTTATATTCTTACATTGTTAAACCACCAAATAACAAAACCTACGACTTTAATAATAATAAACATAATATTAACATCTGTGCCCACTTGCACAAAGCGATCTTAGCTGTACGACTTTTGTAAGCCTATGTTAAAGAATGGGAGTTACGATCATCTTAGCGCCAAGATCACTTTGTGCATAAAGTTGTATGTGTTCTTATCTACTTACCAACTGGGGCGGTCGGGTAGCCTAGTGGTTAAAGCGTTCACTCGTCACGCCGAAGACCCGGGTTCGATTCCCGACATGGGCACAATGTGTGAAGCCCATTTCTGTTGTCCCCGGCCGTGATATTGCTGGAATATTGCTAAAAGCGGCGTAAAACCATACTCACTCACTCACTCACTTGAATGCTGTCAAACAGTTTTAAAGATTTAAGATTAACTGACACGTTTTCTTGTGTCAGTAATTAATCACATGGTTTTAGGTTGAGTGTCTCCAATGATCTGAAAGTTGATGCTGAAAGAGATCTGAGGGATATAGGAGCTGGGAAAATTGACGTCCACCCACTGAATAAGGTAAGTCACTCCAGATAGCAGGCTTCCTTGTCACTCCATGAGTTGAGAGGGGGTGGATAGGTGCATGGAATACAAGTGAGCTTCCTCTATTTTGGAGACCGCCTCCTTGGTCTAATGGCAGAGCGTCCCCCTGGAGAGATGAATGTCCGGGGTTCGATCCCCAGCCGCGTCATACCAAAAGACGTTAAAAGATGGTACTTGTTGTTACCCTGTCTGGCGCTCGGCATTACGGGGCTAAAACAAGGACAAGTCAGTATACTGCGTCTGAGTGGGGTATTCATGTTAAACTGCGGCATGGTATCTCAGTGAGCTAGCACTATAACTCGGCATCAGTCCAAGCAGCCACACACACACATACACGTGCATTAACTTCGCTATATAAGTGCAATAATCTTGGACGTGACGTTAAACCCCATTTCACCTCACCTCACATCTATTTTGGGGTATCCTTGGGCAGAACAGGTCCCCAGGACCCCATGTTTGTTGTCACAGTTGACACACCAGAAACATGATCATGGGTTCCAATTCCTGGTTCGCTGTGCTCGTGGATTTCACTAAAATGGTAAACATGTAAAATCTACTCCACTCAGTAAGAGGAGACTAACGGGATCAGGTTGTCAGGCTCGCTCACTTGGTTGATACAAGTCATCGTATCCCATTTGTGTAGATCGATGCTCATGATGTCAATCACTGGATTGTCTGGTCAGACCGCCGTGATATAGCTGTGATATTTGTGAGTGTGGCATTAAACAGCAAACAAACCAACTGTTTAACATAGTCGCAATTCGAGGCACTAGTTATTTAGGTAACGTCACAATGTTTTAAACTGCAATCCAATAATTTATCTATTTTCAGTTCAAATATGCCAAGATAACTTCCAAAGAGAACGGGAGTGTGAAGAAGGGTGTGATATTCTCCACATACTCGTCACTGATAGGCGAGAGTCAGTCCAGCAGCAAGTACCGCACACGCTTGAAGCAGCTCCTCAAGTGGTGTGGCAAAGATTTTGATGGACTTGTATCCTTGTTTTAGTTCCTTTGTGGGGATTCCTATGTTAATGCCTACCATTGCCATTTTGGTGGAATCATTACAATAGTTTATACCAAATCTGATTAGTGAAGTGTATCAGGAATACTGTCCCAAAACATTGTAATTTGAACTAAACATTGACCTTGATATTGTCACATCCATAACTGATAAATGTTCAGTTGACTGCCCTTCCGAATCTAGATCTGCCCCTCTCCCTCTAGATCTGCCCTTCCCCTCTAGATCTGCCCCTTCCCCTCTAGATCTGCCCCGTCCACTCTAGATCTGCCCCTCCTCCTATAGATCTGTCCTCCTCCAGTAGATCTGCCCCTCCTCCAGTAGAGCTGCCCCTCCTCCAATAGAGCTGCCCCTCCTCCAATAGAGCTGCCCCTCCTCCAATAGATCTTCACCTCCTCCAACAGATCTACCCCTCCTCCAATAGATCTGCCCCTCTCCCTCTAGATCTGCCCCTTCCCCTCTAGATCTGCTCCGCCCACTCTAGATCTGCCCTCCTCCACTAGATCTGCCCTCCTCCACTAGATCTGCCCTCCTCCACTAGATCTGCCCTCCTCCAGTAGATCTGCCCTCCTCCAATAGACCCCCTCTAGGTCTGCCCCTCCTCCAATAGATTTGCCCCTCCTCCAATAGATCTGCACCTCCTCCAATAGATCTGCACCTCCTCCAATAAATCTGTCCCTCTCCCTATGGATCATGAATCTCCCTTATCAATGTCAGGAATGTCTGTTAGTATGTGTGTGATTTTGTCCTTAACTATAAAGATTGTATTTGATGAGTGTCATCGAGCAAAGAATCTGTGCCCGGTGGGGTCAAGCAAGCCCACGAAGACAGGCCAGACTGTGCTGGAGCTACAGAACAGATTGCCCATGGCTCGCGTCATCTACGCCAGTGCCACAGGAGCTTCTGAACCCAAGAACATGGCCTACATGACCAGGCTGGGCTTGTGGGGACCAGGCACGCCTTTCAAGGAGTTCACCGACTTCATCCAGGCAGTTGAACGGAGGTGAGTGATTGACCGCCTCCTTGGTCTAGTGGTAGAGCGTCCGCCCGGAGAGCGGAAGGTCCGGGGTTCGATCCCCAGCCGCGTCATACCAAAAGATGTTAAAAGAAGGTACTTGTTGTTACCCTGTCTGGTGCTCGGCATTACGGGGCTAAAACAAGGACTGGTCGGCTCGGAGTCAGTATACTGTGTCTGAGTGGGGTATTCATGTTAAACTGCGGTATGGTATCCCAGTGGGCTAGCACTATAAATCGGCATCAGTCCGGACTAGTACAAGCAGCCTCACAGACACACACACACGTGCATGCACGTCGCTACACGCCTTTCAAGGAGTTCACCGACTTCATCCAGGCAGTTGAACGGAGGTTAGTGAGTTAGATTTAAAATGTACTGATGATAGATAAGAAATAAATGACGAGTGTGAGTTTATTGTACAATAAAACACTGTATGGAGAATAAACCATGAGGGGGGCATCTATGAATGTTTATTCTCTCTGCAGTGTTTTATTGTACGATAGACGACCACGAATTGTATATTTTGTGTATGAGATATTAACTTTTTGTACAGCCTTTATAAGGATGTCAGTAAATTGTACAAGCTTTAAAAACATTAACCCGTATTTAAATAATGATGACTCCCCGAATACAATCTGACCTCTGCAACTAATGTACAGGGGGTTTGGTATTCTCACAATTTTCATGTCAATTATCTACACCTTTTCTTCAAATATCAGTTGTCATATCTCTCCCACTTTTGGGTGTGGTTGTCGACCATTGCGTTCTTCTGCATTGTCCAGCGACATCTGTGGGGAACACCTCAATAGACACTTCCCTAAAAAAATAACGTCCCATTTACAACGTCATCAAGTTGTGAGCGCTTGTTTCGAATGGCCAGAAATGTCATAGCTATCTTATATGTAAGTATAACATTGTACAAGGGTTTATGAAAGCAATCGATGGTCATTTAATCTCAATTTACATATCCCAAACTTTTGTGATTAAAAAAAAAATCAAACTGAACCAATCAGTCAACAGTGAAATGTATTATTTGGAACAGCACGACTATGTTCATATCACAAGCCTTTTTGTGTTACAGAGGTGTTGGTGCTATGGAACTGGTTGCCATGGATATGAAGCTACGTGGGATGTATATAGCAAGGCAGCTCAGCTTCAAAGGTGTTTCCTTCAAGATTGAGGAGATTCCACTAGCTGACAACTTTGTGGAAATCTACAACAAGTCTGTCAAGCTGGTAAACTATGAATCAATAAACATATGGTTTGCTACATCATTTGTACACTTTAGTCTTCGGTACAGGCTGAACACAGGCCGAATATCAGCATGTACAAAGTTTAGTCCATAAATCTCGGACATGCGTGTTGTCAGGTCTAAAACATATCTTTTTCTGTAGTATTATGGGGGTGGTCGGGTAGCGGTGGTTACAGCGTTAGCTTGTCACTCTGGAGCACCCTGGTTCGATTCCCGGCATGGGTACAATGTGTGAAGCCCATTTCTGGTGTCCCCCGCCATGATATTGCTGGAATATTGCTAAAAGCGGCATAAAATCACTCTCTCTCACTCACTCACTCACTCACTCACTCACTCACTCACTCACTCACTCACTCACTCACTCACTCTCTCTCTCTCTCTCTCACTCACTCACTCACTCACTCACTCACTCACTCACTCACTCACTCACTCACTCACTCACTCACTCACTCACTCACTCACTCACTGTAGTGTTATGTGACCTAGGATTGGTGTCCCTGAGCCTATAGGATTGTGTCCCTTGGTCTTTGCTCACACATTAGATGACATGCTGTGATATTACTCAAATACTGTTCGTCACTATTAACCTCAACTCATAATTAATTGATTAATTAAAAATATAAATAGTCATCTTACCAATGACTCCATTTGGAGACAGTTTGGGATGCCACTATGTGTATGAGAGAGTCGTGAATTCTGTGTTGCAGTGGGTAGATGCCCGTGAGAAGTTCCAGCAGGCTGCAGACTTGATTGATGCAGAGCAGAGGATGAGGAAGAGCATGTGGGGCCAGTTCTGGTCGGCTCACCAGCGCTTCTTCAAGTACCTGTGTATCTCCTCCAAGTGTGCACATTGTGTGCAGCTCGCTAGAGATGCTGTCAAAGGGGGCAAGGTGAGTGGCCTTTAGTTGAAGGGGGCAAGGTGAGAGGCCTGTAGTCGAAGGGGGCAAGGTGAGAAGCCTGTAGTCGAAGGGGGCAAGGTGAGTGGCCTGTAGTCGAAGGGGGCAAGGTGAGAGGCCGGTGGTCGAAGGGGGCAAGGTGAGAAGCCTGTAGTCGAAGGGGGCAAGGTGAGTGGCCTGTAGTCGAAGGGGGCAAGGCGAGAGGCCTGTAGTCGAAGGGGGCAAGGCGAGAGGCCTGTAGTCGAAGGGGGCAAGGCGAGAGGCCTTTAGTCGAAGGGGGCAAGGCGAGAGGCCTGTAGTCGAAGGGGACAAGGTGAGTGGCCTGTAGTCGAAGGGGGCAAGGCGAGAGGCCTTTAGTCGAAGGGGGCAAGGCGAGAGGCCTGTGCTCTTAGTTGGCTGCTTTCAAAAAACAATAGCGAGACTACTAAGTTTTATGAAGCCCTATTTTCAAATTAACTTTTATTACTTAACTCATCTTTTGATTGGGAAAGCTTCTCGGATCCTGCACTTTCTGTAGACATTTTGTGCACTTCTTATGAATGTCCTAACATACTCACTCAGGATTCTGTGATTGAATTGTGACTCTCTTGAAAAACATGATAATTTTATGTCCATTTTTTTAGGTCTTGATTAAGCAGAGTCTTTTATTCCTTATACAAAAAAGGAAAATCCAGGAATTTCAAACACCGACTTACACCACATGTACATGGCAGTGTGTTTGCTGATAGATAACGGAGAATCTGTCTCACTGTCCTCGACAAGCAAACTCTGCTGACTCTGCGATGTCCTTGTTTTAGTGTGTTGTGATAGGTCTGCAGTCTACAGGGGAGGCACGGACCCTGGAGCAGTTGGAGGAGATGGGAGGTGAACTCAATGACTTTGTCTCCACAGCCAAGTAAGTCTGCCTCACAAGACCTGTGAACATCCGGGGTAGAATAGGTCTTCAGCAACCCATGCTTGCTGTAAAAGGCGACTATGCTTGTCGTAAGAGGCAACTAACGGGATCAGGTGGTCAGGCTCGCTGACTTGGTTGATGCATGTCATAGTATCCCAATTGCGTGGACCGATGCTCATGATGTCAATCACTGGATTGTCTGATTAGACGCAATTATTTACAGACCGCCGTCATATAGCTGGAATATTGCTGTGTGCGGCAACAAACAAACAAACAAACAAACAAAAAAACCATCACAATATCTTGGAGCTTTGTTTGCAGATATTTAGAATGGGTTGTTTGGTGTTTTCTACTCTAGATGTAGTTTCAGACAGAAAATTGCTCAGTTTTGTCAGGTGTATGATGTTATATGCCCATATTTTGTCAAGTATATGACACCATATGCCCATGTTTTGTCAAGAATATGACATCATATGCCCATGTTTTGTCAAGTATATGACATCATATGCCCATGTTTTGTCAAGTATATGACATCACATGCCCATGTTTTGTCAAGTTTATGACGTTATATGCCCATATTTTGTCAAGTATATGACGTTATATGCTCATGTTTTGTCAAGTATATGGCGTTATATGCCCATGTTTTGTCAAGTATATGATGATATCCCATGTTGTTTTGTCAAGTATATGATGTTATATGCCCTTTTTTTGTCAAGTATATGACGTTATATGCCCATATTTTGTCAAGTAAATGACGTTATATGCCCATGTTTTGTCAAGTATATGACGTTATATGCCCATGTTTTGTCAAGTATATGACGTTATATGCCCATGTTTTGTCAAGTATATGACGTTATATGCCCATATTTTGTCAAGTATATGATGATATCCCATGTTGTTTTGTCAAGTATATGATGATATTCCCATGGTTTGTTTGTAGAGGTGTGATCCAGACACTGGTGGAGAAACACTTCCCTTGCTCAGACCGAAGGAAGACCTTTGACATGTTCAACCTCGGGGGACATTCCAACAACAGAACCAATGGATTCTTCAACAACAACAAGAGAAAGAAGGGTGGGATATCTTATTTTCATAGTTTAAGAATAATGAGTTATGCTTGAAAATATTGCCTTGCAATCAATTTATATTTATTCAGCCATTATAAGAATACCATGTGGGATTAGAATATCTGTTTGGCCTTTTTCCTGGAGGGTTCTTTTTATCCTGAATCTGCTTACAGACTTGAGGGAAAGTATGTAAGAACCTGAAATTTGATTTTGTTCCACATTCGTAAGGGGCTGTCGGGTAGCCTAGTGGTTAAAGCCATTGCTCGTCACGCCGAAGACCCGGGTTCGATTCCCGACATGGGTACAATGTGTGAAGCCATTTCTGGTGTCCCCCGCCATGATATTGCTGGAATATTGCTAAAAGCGGCGTTAAACCATACTCACTCACTCACTCACTCCACATTCGTGAAGTTCGGGTGTGAACATTCTTAAGGATTTGTTTTGAATATACTACCCAACTTTTGATGGGGCTTGGAAGTACCAAGGTGGGATCTGTGTGTGGCTGATTGCCTAGATATGTTGTCAGTTGAATAGTATTCTATATTGCCATGGATCTTCATTTCATCTGTATGAAATACCTCAATATCCCTATCATTTGAATTCAGGCTCGCTGACTTGGTTGATGCACGTCTTCGATCCCAATTGCGTGGATCGATGCTCATGTTGTCAATCACTGGATTGTCTGATCCAGACTCAATTACTTAAAGACCGCCGTCATATAGCTGGAATATTGATACTGCTGAGTGCAGCATTAAACAACAAACAAACAATATAAAAAAAGAATTGTCAGTTCAAGTGTAGAGTTCGACTGGACACTTCATTCTTATTGCAACTCCTCTGTTTACTGTGTAAATGTTGTATGTTGACAGATACGGTGAACAACAACAATGCCAAGAAGCCCCGCAATGACAGTGATGTGGATAGCTCAAGTGACTCGGATGACTCTGGCAAGGAGCAGAGTGACTTTGACCTCAGCCTCAGCAGTTTCTCTGACTCGGACTCCGAGAGTGGAGATGACAATATCAACCCCTTCGGGAGTGGGTCTGACAGTGATGATGGTAGGTTTTACAGCGCTTGATAGTGTATTCTAGACCAAGTGCCCTTTTCAACTGAGAAAAAAGCTTTGTTTTATTAAAATTGGGATTTTTTTTCTCTTATTTTCCTAAATTCTTAGGTATTTTAACATTGTATTCAGTGCAATAATGTAAGACTAAGCATTAGAGCCTTCACCTCCTTATTACTATGGGGGCCGTCGGGTAGACTAGTCAAGACAAAGACCGGGGTTCGATTCCCAACATGGGTACAATGTGTGAAGCTCATTTCTGGTGTTCCCCGCTGTGATATTGCTGGAATATTGCTAAAAGGGTGTAAAACCAAACTCTCACTTTATTGGATTTGTTATGCGCTACCACAATGAAGTTGGCTGTATTGTACTGTAGACGGTTCATATGGTCGAGTTTTGGTGTCCTGACCAGAAGATTGTAACAAATTACTACCGTACTTTCTTGAGTATACTGCACACTTTTTTTCCAAAAACACACAGCTGTGTAGAAGGGGGTGCGCATTATACACGCAATAATGAGTTTTGATCACACCATAATGAGTTTTGATGTTTTTTCCCCCCATGGAAAGACATTACCGTGAGCATGTAACACCGGAAATACCATGTCAACAAATCCATACCGAAGTACGCAAATTAATTAATCATGTAATTACACAGTCTGGCCATAAAAAGTGTTCTATGTATATCTGGACTTATGTTTGTATCTTTTTTCATAAATTGTATTAAAAATTCCTTTTAATATTGTTTTGATTAGTTTCGGCGAAATCGTGTGTGAAGCGACCGGAAAATAGCACAACTCACCGTTGTTAACAGCAACCACGGTCAGATTACTGCTATTGACGCCTTGAAACAAACTTTAGTTGACAGAGAATGGATACATATATCATAAATGCCATACTTGACTCGTTACAATTCATATTTGTTATAGTTTGACGATTCTGGGTAGTTCTCGCGATCATGTGCGCAGAAGCTTTGACGGTGACTGGTCCAACTGGTTCCATGTGAAAAATAAAAACCGTAAATTGCGATCAGCTGCTTCGATCGGGTTATAATTATTTTAAATATGCTTAGTAAAAGCTGCAACTAACATGACTAAAATAACAAGATATTGGAATATAGTATTCCCGATAACCAAATAGTTTCAGATACAATTTTTCCCCATCCTTGCATTAAAATCCTGTAAAGTTATGTCTTTGGGTGTGTCTTGACCGAATCACCGGTACATTCCAAGAAAACGTGTGTACAGCTGATTGCTGTTTCCGACTTAGTTTACGAGAAAATACACAAGGTAATCTTAATCCCTGGATTTAAAATAATGCCTAGCAGAACCAAAATTACAATTTAAGCGGTAAATCAACATGTCTGGTGATTTATTTATCTCAAATTTCAAATTTGTACTGACCAAGTTTCTCATCACCTGTTCGTTTACTGTGGTGTAATATTTTCTGCGCATAATATTCAATTTTCTTTTTTTGTCAAAATACTGAATCCGCTGAGGGGGTGCTCATTATACTTGGGTGCGCACTATACTCAAGAAAATACGGTAATTGTAATTTGAGAAAGTTGCAACTATGGTCGAGCTACAATCAGTGGTTCACGCAATGCTTTGTCTCTTGTCCACAGACCCATGGTTGAAACGGGGGACCAAGAAGAAGAAGTCAGGGAGTAAAAAAGTGAAGAAAGAGAAGAAGAAAAAGAAGAAGAAGGAAAAGAAGAAGAAGAAGGATCGCAACGAGGATGCAGAGTTTGACAAGATGTTAGGAGCTGCAGGCCTTCTGTCGAAAAACAGCAGCTGGGGAACGTCGTCCAACAATCAGAATGGATCTACTAGTCTACGGAGCAATTTATTTAGCAGTGAGTGTGCAGCTAGTCAGCTTTTTTCGATAGTAATCATAAGCAGTAAAAGCTCAAGTCTTGGAAATATGTTTTTGAGTAAGTTAAGCAAATATAACTCAGTATTTTAATTTAAATCTACTGAATAAAAAAGGCAGCACCTATTGATGTTAAAATGTGTTTTGCATGGATGACTGTATGACTATCCTATGATATTTACCATGTGGCGATTCAGAGTTAGAATTGGTCTCTAGCAACCTATGCTTGTTGAAAGAGTCGATTTAATGGATTGAGTTGGTTGACAGCGTGTTATCGTACCCTGATGGTATGGATTGTTGCTCTCGGTTGAACAACAAGTAAACAATCATGATATTTTGTGGAGTGGGATTCGATCCCTTGCCGCATCATACCAAAAGACGTAAAAAGATGTTACTTGTTGTTACCCTGCATGACACTCAGCATTATGGGGCTAAAATAGGACTGGTTGGCTCGAAGTCAGTATGCTGTGTGTGAGTGGGGTATCCTTGTCTTATTCTTAGTTTTTCTAGCTGTTTATACTGCCAGTACCTGTTGGTTACAAGTTCCAGTCCCTTGGGCACGCCAGAAACCTATGATTGTGGGTTCGAATCCTGGTTCGCCCCGATTATGTTTCTAGCACCATACCCGTCCTCGTGGGTTTCACTGAAGTGGTAAACGTCTGAAACCTGCATCACTTCGGGCTTTCCTCCCACTTTAAGCTGACACGCTGTGATACAACTGGAATACTGTCAAAAGCGGCACTAAACCCAACTCACTCACTCAAGTTCAAGTCCCAGATTTGCCCAAGTTGTCATCATGAGTTAATCAGCACTACACCAAACTATTGGTGTGACCAAAGTTGTAAACTCTGCCACCAGATTGTATTTGGATACAAATTGTTGTGATTTAGATGAGGATGGCTGGGATAAGGCAATGTCAATGAAGTCCGATCTGCTGGTGAAGATTGAGAAGCTCGGAGATGACCTTCCTCCGAACACACTGGATTACCTCATTGATGAGCTGGGTGGACCAGAGAGCGTAGCAGAGGTAAGACTCAAGAATCTGGGGGACAGTAACTCTGCTCGGGGGGGGGGGGGGAAGAGAATGTCAGGGTGGGATAGGCAGTCTGGGAAACAATACATCACTGCTCTGGTGCACCCTAACTTTTCATGCAGCGATTCGATACACAATACAATTCTTACTGACCCGTGAAGATCCGGGGTAGAATAGGTCTTCAGCAACTCAGTCTTGCCGTAAAAGGTGACTATGCTTGTCGTAAGAAGCGACTTACGGAACAGGTGGTCACGATCACGGAGTTTTTTGATGCATGTCATCGTATCCCATTTGCGTGGATCGATGCTCATGATGTCAATTACTTGATTGTCTGGTCCAGCCTCGATTATTTAAGGACCACTGTCATATAGGTGTAATATTGCCGAGTGCGGGGTAAACAATAAACAAACGAACTATGCTTTTTGTGCTAGATGACTTAATGAATCGGGAACTGTCAGTAATATCAGTCGCTGATTTTAATTGTACTTATGGATTCAAAGTTAGAATTGGCTCATAATCATGATAATATCAGCACCCTGTGTTTGGTGTACTAGGTGACTTGATTGATCAGGTGTTCACAGGCTTGATGACTTGTTTGAGTGCCTCGATCGTTATTGCCATGCGTTCGGTCAGTAAATTGAGTGATCTCCACGAATGGTTGATTATTGTTCTGCAGATGACAGGAAGGAAAGGAAGAGTTGTCAGTAACGATGACGGTGGCGTGAGTTACGAGTCTCGAAGTGAGGTCGATGTTCCCCTGGAGGTCCTCAACCTCACAGAAAAACAGAGGTTCATGGACGGAGAAAAGGTATGCCATGACAGTGTATCACAGAAAACGATCACTTTTTTATGCCCTCGCCAAAATATGTAGGCGCAATATGAAAAAAAATGGTGCTTGATTTTAGAAGTGTGTGGCTTTACCAATTAGTCTGAAGTCTGAGAGGTAAATGGTAATCCTGTGACATTTTGGGCTTTGAACCGCTTTTGACACATGGAGTTAACAGGCTGTGATATAACTGAAATATTAACCTCTGGGGATTCTCAGGTTACTAGTCCCCAGCTTGTCGAAAGAGGCGAATTGGTGGATCGGTTGGTCCTCAATGGCTGGTTGATTGATCTCTTGATGATTTGCTTGATTCATGTCATTGTAACCTGATCGCACAGATCATTGCTCATATTATCAATCACTGGTCCAAACTTGATCCATTACAGGCCGCTGTGATGCTGTCATATACAGTATTTGACATAACAAGTGCCCAGGGTGCTCTCAAAATTAGAAATAGGGGGCTCTTAATAGAATATTATTTTGGTGATAAAAAAAAGGCTGTTGAAAGATCGTAAATTTCGTGGTTTATGCTGACAGCCTGAAATGTTTATTTACGACAGATATATTTTTCCAGAATTTAATTGCCCATAATTAAGGATGCATATAACATACGTATTATACACAAATTAATAAGCCTTAAGTACATTGATCTATCGGAAGGGGTGCAAAATTGGATCGTTCACTAGCCAATATATTAGCAAATGTCCCTGTGGTTGCCTATTAGAGCGGGGCGCTTATTACATCGATTACGGTAGCTTTAATATTGCTGAGTCGGGTTTTTACATGTAAATAAAACCAACTGGCTTCCTCTATGTCCACAGTTTATAGCTATCATATCAGAAGCAGCCAGCTCGGGTATCTCCCTACAAGCTGATCGCCGCGTCAACAACCAGCGGCGGAGAGTGCACATCACGCTGGAGCTTCCCTGGAGTGCTGATAGGGCTATACAGCAGTTCGGTGAGTGACTATGAACAAGACCCAAGAAGATCCGGACTAGAATAGGTCTTCAGCAACCGGGGAGGGGGCGGTCGGTTAGCCAAGTGGCTAAAGCGTTCGCTCATCACGCCAAAGATCAGGGTTCGATTCTTGACATGGGTACAATGTGTGAAGTCCATTTCTGGTGTCCCCCGCCGTGATATTGCTGTAATATTGCTAAAAGCTGCGTAAAACCATACTCACTCACGCACTCACTCTTCAGCAACCCATTCTTGCCATAAAAAGCGACTATGCTGTCGTAAGAAGAGACTAAAGGAGTTGGGTGGTCAGGCTTGCCGACTTGGTTGATGCATGTCATTGTATTCCAATTTCCTAGATCGATGCTCATGATGTCAATCACTGGATTTTCTGGACTTGATCATTTACAGACAGCAGTCACATAGCTGGAATATTGCTGAATGGTGTTAAACAACAAAGAAACACAAAGACTATGCAAAGACTGTAAACAAAGAAACACACAAAGACTATGCACAGACTAAACTGAAATACTTGGACGGGCAGGCATGGCCAGTCATCTCCGGCATCACAATTGGCTGTGCAGAGTTGTGGCCCTTAGGGATGTCAGAATACTGTGACTTGATTGTGCTCTTGTGCGGAAATGCTGCGATATGACTGAAATACTGTTCAATGTGGTATTAAACCAAATTCACTCACTGACTTTAAATACTTGGAAAGATTTGTTAAACAGCAATAATGAAGGTAATGTTATGCACAGAACATAACATTTGCATGTCCAATGTTTGCTTTCTTTGTTTACATTAGGAACTGCTAGCTCAAAACACATACACACATAGATGCTCACTACATGCATATGGGGGCGGTCGGGTAGCCTAGTGGTTAAAGCGTTCGCTCGTCACGCAGAAGACCCGGGTTCGATTCCCGACATGGGTACAATGTGTGAAGATCATTTCTGGTGTCCCCCGCCGTGATATTGCTGGAATATTGCTAAAAGCGGCGTAAAACCATACTCAATCAATCAATCACTACATGCATATATGTTCTTGTCCAGGTCGTACACACAGATCGAACCAGGTCACAGCACCCGAGTATGTCTTCATGATCTCTGAGCTCGCTGGAGAGAGAAGGTTCGCTTCTACTGTAGCAAAACGACTGGAGAGTCTGGTGAGTTTACTTGTGGAAACGGTGTGGCGCAATAGGTTGCTAGTACCTCAGGCTTGTCCCCTGTGAAATAATTATAATAATAGCCGATACAATCACACTAATCTTGACTGAAAATGATGCTTAGAGCCAAATCCCAGTCAAAACTAAAAAAAACCTGAAAAATTATATTATACAGAAGTTTGATTCTCTTTTCATGATCCTCTGTTTTCCCAAATGGGCAATCAGCATGTCAGTTTTCCGTTTCCGGAGCAGAACTCCTAAACCATTGACTATATATATGTTAAAACTTTCTATACATATCAGTCTTGTGGTGAACTTGTGCCTTTTGATGATTTAAGATTTTTATTTTTGATGTTTTTTCATGACATGGTAGACTTTTACTGAAAACGAGGGTAGTGCTCTTTTCCAGATCAGAACTCCAAGACCGTTGAATATTTCTTAATGAAACTTGCTATACAGATCAATCTAGTGGTGAAATGTTGCCTTTTGATAATTTGGGATATTGCAAAATACTGAACAGCATTATTTTTTTCTTCATTGAACAGAAGGTATCACATGGCAAAGAACCAGAAGTGGGGTATATATAGCAAAATCATCATGTGTTGAATATTACTTGATGAAACTTGCTATAGTCTCGGGGGTGGTCGGGTAGCCTGGTGGTTAAAGCGTTCGCTCGTCACGCCGAAGACCCGGGTTCGATTCCCGACATGGGTACAATGTGTGAAGCCCATTTCTGGTGTCCCCTGCCGTGATATTGCTGTAATATTCCTAAAAGCGGCGTAAAACCATACTCACTCACTCACTGCTAGTCTCATGGTGAACTTGAGCCTTTTGATAATTTGGGATAATTAAAAATTACTGAACAGCATTATCATTTTCTTCACTGAACAGAATGTATCGCATGGCAGAGAATCAGAAGTGGGTATATATAGCCAAACTCCATTTCCAACTTTCACCAGACAGGAGGGACATGTCATCTCCTGATGACTCATGTTTTGAGTCTGTGTCATTTCGTTAGAAAGTCAAACTTTGAGACCAATCTGCCAACACCCTCTGAGTGAGATCACATGACAATGTCTCTGTTTGCAGGGTGCGCTAACTCACGGTGACCGACGTGCAACGGAGTCGAGGGATCTCAGCAGGTTCAATATAGACAACAAGGTGAGAACTAGTCTTATGTCTCGGGTTTACACACAAGGCTGGAGTTTGTCTGATGACATGTTGTCGGGAATACAGGTACACCACATGCACAATACGATGTGTATCACAACACTACATGTAGCAGGACAGATCCGGGGTAGAATAGGTCTTCAGCAACCCATGCTTGCTGTAAAAGGCGACTATGCTTATCGTAAGAGGCGACTAACGGATTCGGGTGGTCAGGCTCGCCGACTTGGTGATGCATGTCATCGTACAGCGTTAGAAACTAACAGTTTTAGTCCACTAGTCCTTATAATGATAACATATAGCAAAACCCTTAAAAAGGGCTAATGTCTACTGGTCCTTATGATACCTAACTATTGGGCAGTTTTGCAAGGACTATAGGACTAGTGCCTTAGGCACGCCAGAAACCTATGATTGTGGGCTCGAATATCGGATGTTTCTTGGTTTGTTCAGCACCGTACCTGTGCTCATGGGTTTCACCGAAGTGGTAAACGTCCGACACCTGCATCACCTCAGGCTTTCCTCCCACATTAAGCTGACACGCCGTGATATGACTGGAATATTGTTAAAATTTTCATTAAAACAAACTCACTCACGTGATATAATCACCATGAATATCAGTGCCAGTTTGTCATCTTTCGGGCACTGTTGTGTACTGTTGTGTAGCTACCAAGGTGCTGTCGTGCAGCTATTGAAGGATCATGTGTATGTTTCAGTATGGTCGTGCAGCTATTGAAGGATCATGTGTATGTTTCAGTATGGTCGTGCAGCTATTGAAGGATCATGTGTATGTTTCAGTATGGTCGTGCAGCTATTGAAGGATCATGTGTATGTTTCAGTATGGTCGTGCAGCTATTGAAGGATCATGTGTATGTTTCAGTATGGTCGTGCTGCTTTGGAGGCTGTGATGAAGTGTGTGCTCAACCTGACGGTGGACGCACCGCTTGTGCCACCCCCACAGACATACAAGGGAGACTTCTTCCCCGGTAGGCAATACTGACTGTCATGTTTAATGTATCACCCAATGTTGTCTTTGTTCCTAGACGTCCAATTCCCTCAGGGAGTCACCGAGAGTGATTATTGGTTACACGTAATACAGCATCAGCAATTTTGCAGCAATTTGCAATGAACACCCAACTCACAGTTGTAATGCCCTTGCTGATCATCTTGTTTAGTTTACAAACTGCAGCTATTATCATTTATGACTAGCTACATAAGTAGTTCCAGAGGAATATTTCAGGAAAATAATAAAAATTCTTTGTTTTTGCTGCAATTCTGCGATAAGAGCCATTTTCTGCAAATCTTGTGCAATCGCCTGAATTTGTCTGGGACTGCATAACGATCTTTACTTGGTCTGTCCTAAGTGGGATCTGCAAAAATAGAGCAAGAAAAGATGGGCAAACAAATTTTCCTGTGAAGCACCCTATGCTTGTAGCAAGAAACGACTATATGATCAGATGGCCTGGCTTGGTGACTTGTTTGATTGTGTGTCATTGTACCCCAATGGTGCCGATCATTGCTCACAATATCGATCAAGCAATTATCTTGTCTAGACATGATTATCAACAGGCTACTGACATATAGCTCGAATCTTGCTGAGCGCTGCATTGACCAACAGACAAATAAATGTTTCTACATTATTTTTCTATCACAACTAAAAATAGTTCCGATATCAATTGGCTTTTGAAGCTATTTCAATTGGAACAGTCTATTTACCCGAGAGTGATTATTGGTTACACGTAATACAGCATCAGCAATTTTGCAGCAATTTGCAATGAACACCCAACTCACAGTTGTAATGCCCTTGCTGATCATCTTGTTTAGTTTACAAACTGCAGCTATTATCATTTATGACTAGCTACATAAGTAGTTCCAGAGGAATATTTCAGGAAAATAATAAAAATTCTTTGTTTTTGCTGCAATTCTGCGATAAGAGCCATTTTCTGCAAATCTTGTGCAATCGCCTGAATTTGTCTGGGACTGCATAACGATCTTTACTTGGTCTGTCCTAAGTGGGATCTGCAAAAATAGAGCAAGAAAAGATGGGCAAACAAATTTTCCTGTGAAGCACCCTATGCTTGTAGCAAGAAACGACTATATGATCAGATGGCCTGGCTTGGTGACTTGTTTGATTGTGTGTCATTGTACCCCAATGGTGCCGATCATTGCTCACAATATCGATCAAGCAATTATCTTGTCTAGACATGATTATCAACAGGCTACTGACATATAGCTCGAATCTTGCTGAGCGCTGCATTGACCAACAGACAAATAAATGTTTCTACATTATTTTTCTATCACAACTAAAAATAGTTCCGATATCAATTGGCTTTTGAAGCTATTTCAATTGGAACAGTCTATTTACCCGAGAGTGATTATTGGTTACACGTAATACAGCATCAGCAATTTTGCAGCAATTTGCAATGAACACCCAACTCACAGTTGTAATGCCCTTGCTGATCATCTTGTTTAGTTTACAAACTGCAGCTATTATCATTTATGACTAGCTACATAAGTAGTTCCAGAGGAATATTTCAGGAAAATAATAAAAATTCTTTGTTTTTGCTGCAATTCTGCGATAAGAGCCATTTTCTGCAAATCTTGTGCAATCGCCTGAATTTGTCTGGGACTGCATAACGATCTTTACTTGGTCTGTCCTAAGTGGGATCTGCAAAAATAGAGCAAGAAAAGATGGGCAAACAAATTTTCCTGTGAAGCACCCTATGCTTGTAGCAAGAAACGACTATATGATCAGATGGCCTGGCTTGGTGACTTGTTTGATTGTGTGTCATTGTACCCCAATGGTGCCGATCATTGCTCACAATATCGATCAAGCAATTATCTTGTCTAGACATGATTATCAACAGGCTACTGACATATAGCTCGAATCTTGCTGAGCGCTGCATTGACCAACAGACAAATAAATGTTTCTACATTATTTTTCTATCACAACTAAAAATAGTTCCGATATCAATTGGCTTTTGAAGCTATTTCAATTGGAACAGTCTATTTACCCGAGAGTGATTATTGGTTACACGTAATACAGCATCAGCAATTTTGCAGCAATTTGCAATGAACACCCAACTCACAGTTGTAATGCCCTTGCTGATCATCTTGTTTAGTTTACAAACTGCAGCTATTATCATTTATGACTAGCTACATAAGTAGTTCCAGAGGAATATTTCAGGAAAATAATAAAAATTCTTTGTTTTTGCTGCAATTCTGCGATAAGAGCCATTTTCTGCAAATCTTGTGCAATCGCCTGAATTTGTCTGGGACTGCATAACGATCTTTACTTGGTCTGTCCTAAGTGGGATCTGCAAAAATAGAGCAAGAAAAGATGGGCAAACAAATTTTCCTGTGAAGCACCCTATGCTTGTAGCAAGAAACGACTATATGATCAGATGGCCTGGCTTGGTGACTTGTTTGATTGTGTGTCATTGTACCCCAATGGTGCCGATCATTGCTCACAATATCGATCAAGCAATTATCTTGTCTAGACATGATTATCAACAGGCTACTGACATATAGCTCGAATCTTGCTGAGCGCTGCATTGACCAACAGACAAATAAATGTTTCTACATTATTTTTCTATCACAACTAAAAATAGTTCCGATATCAATTGGCTTTTGAAGCTATTTCAATTGGAACAGTCTATTTACCCGAGAGTGATTATTGGTTACACGTAATACAGCATCAGCAATTTTGCAGCAATTTGCAATGAACACCCAACTCACAGTTGTAATGCCCTTGCTGATCATCTTGTTTAGTTTACAAACTGCAGCTATTATCATTTATGACTAGCTACATAAGTAGTTCCAGAGGAATATTTCAGGAAAATAATAAAAATTCTTTGTTTTTGCTGCAATTCTGCGATAAGAGCCATTTTCTGCAAATCTTGTGCAATCGCCTGAATTTGTCTGGGACTGCATAACGATCTTTACTTGGTCTGTCCTAAGTGGGATCTGCAAAAATAGAGCAAGAAAAGATGGGCAAACAAATTTTCCTGTGAAGCACCCTATGCTTGTAGCAAGAAACGACTATATGATCAGATGGCCTGGCTTGGTGACTTGTTTGATTGTGTGTCATTGTACCCCAATGGTGCCGATCATTGCTCACAATATCGATCAAGCAATTATCTTGTCTAGACATGATTATCAACAGGCTACTGACATATAGCTCGAATCTTGCTGAGCGCTGCATTGACCAACAGACAAATAAATGTTTCTACATTATTTTTCTATCACAACTAAAAATAGTTCCGATATCAATTGGCTTTTGAAGCTATTTCAATTGGAACAGTCTATTTACCTGGAGGGGGGAAAGGGAACTAAGAAATAGACAAGTTTGTTGTAAGCACATATAAACCAGGCAGACAGTGATGTACATGAACTGTTGCATACTTTCAGATGTGAAGAGAGGCCTTGTTGGCGTGGGAATGATCAGCATCGATGAGAGATCAGGCTTCCCGAGTCTGGAAAAGGGTATGTTGAACTGCTGCTGTATGATGCTGCCTGGCATTCTGGGATTCTGCAGAGACAGTACCCTTTAAGTGGGTTATTCATGTTAAACTGCGGCATGGTGTCTCAGTGGGCTAGCACTATAAAATCGTACTTAGTCTGGACTAGTACAAGCAGCCACACACACACCAATGCACGCACTCATCACTGTATAAGTGCAATAATCTTGGACACATGTTTAACGCCATTTCAACTCGCCTAACCTGTATATTTCTTGTCAAGAATTTGTTACAATGAATACTATTGTGCATCCCTTGGAATGCATACTTCTTTTTCCTCTGAGGCCATACAATAGCTTTGTGTGTACTTGACACATATTTGTGTGTGATATAAAACCCTGTGATGCTATCCCTGTTTTTTAAGCCACTCTATACCTTTGTATGTACTTGACACACATTTGTGTGTGATATAAAACTCTGTGATGCTATCCCTGTTTTTTAAGCCACTCTATACCTTTGTGTGTACTTGACACACATTTGTGCGTGATATAAACCCCTGTGATGCTATCCCTGTTTTTTAAGCCACTCTATACCTTTGTGTGTACTTGACACACATTTGTGTGTGATATAAACCCCTGTGATGCTATACCTGTTTTTTAAGCCACTCTTTACCTTTGTGTGTACTTGACACACATTTGTGTGTGATATAAAACTCTGTGATGCTATCCCTGTTTTTTAAGCCACTCTATACCTTTGTGTGTACTTGACACACATTTGTGTGTGATATAAACCCCTGTGATGCTATACCTGTTTTTTAAGCCACTCTTTACCTTTGTGTGTACTTGACACACATTTGTGTGTGATATAAACCCCTGTGATGCTATACCTGTTTTTAAGCCACTCTATACCTTTGTGTGTACTTGACACACATTTGTGTGTGATATAAACCCCTGTGATGCTATACCTGTTTTTAAGCCACTCTATACCTTTGTGTGTACTTGACACACATTTGTGCGTGATGTAAACCCCTGTGATGCTATACCTGTTTTTTAAGCCACTCTATACCTTTGTGTGTACTTGACACACATTTGTGCGTGATATAAACCCCTGTGATGCTATACCTGTTTTTTAAGCCACTCTTTACCTTTGTGTGTACTTGACACACATTTGTGCGTGATATAAACCCCTGTGATGCTATACCTGTTTTTTAAGCCACTCTTTACCTTTGTGTGTACTTGACACACATTTGTGCGTGATATAAACCCCTGTGATGCTATCCCTGTTTTTTAAGCCACTCTATACCTTTGTGTGTACTTGACACACATTTGTGTGTGATATAAACCCCTGTGATGCTATACCTGTTTTTTAAGCCACTCTTTACCTTTGTGTGTACTTGACACACATTTGTGCGTGATATAAACCCCTGTGATGCTATCCCTGTGTTCTCCACCAGACTACAACAACATCAGCAAGTACTTGAACAGGATCCTGGGTATGGAGGTGGAGCTCCAGAACTCCCTCTTCAAGTATTTCACAGACACACTCACTGCCATCATCCTCGAGGCCAAGCGGAATGGACGCTGGGACATGGGAATTCTGGGTAAGTCCACGCCACAGACTTCTGTTGTGATGTCGTTGACTAAAGTTCTTGTGGGTATTCGTGATCAGAATACGTACCTGATGCTTGTTGTGTATCTCGAGATTGATGAATGCTACTAAAAACATGTTTAACAATACCTGATTTTTTTCTCATTACTAAAGTTAATGTGTCATGGTATGATAGATTAACTATTGTAGTATGAAAGATTCGAGTGTTATTTAACTTCTTTTGAGTAGTGTGTATAGTGTACAAGCTTTAAAGTATTTACCCATATTTTAATAATGATGACTCGCTCACTAGAATCAGACTTCGGCATTGCCAGACAAGTCAATTTTATGCACAGGTGGATATTTGGCTCAAATTCCTACAATCTTTACATCTTTTCTCCCGATACTGATTGTCATATCTCTCCCGCTTTTGGATGCGATTGTTCGGCCATCACATTCTTCTGTGTTGCCCAGGTACATCTATGGGGGAACAACTCACTTGACACTCCCCCCTCAAAAATAACGTTGTCCAATATCATCAACGTCATCAAGTTACGAGTGCATGTTTGAATCTCCAGAAATGACTTCATGGTAGAACAGTGTTTTATTGGAAAATAAACCACACATCGCTCTTCATTGTTCTTTGCAATTTATCACATAGCTATCTTATATATCAAGATAATGATCATTTCTCATCTGCCCTCACTTCAAGGGATCATTCTGTAGTGGACCCATGAAGATTCCAAGGTAGAATAGGTCTTCAGCAACCCATGCTTGCCGTAAAAGGCGACTATGCTTGTTGTAAAAGGCGACTAACGGGATCGAGTTGTCAGGCTCGCTGACTTTGTTGATGCATGCCATCGATCCCAACTGCGTGGATCAATGCTCATGATATCAATCACTGGATTGTCTCGTCCAGACTCAATTATTTTACAGACCGCCGTCATATAGCTGGAATATTGCTGAGTGCGGCATTAAACAACAAACCAACCAACCAATCATTCTGTAGTGTACTTCTTTAGAGAGGTTAAAGAACACCTGATTTTTTTTCCTATGACAATGGCTGAATCTGTCATGGCAGGTGGGTATTGCACTACACAGCCTTCCAATTGTTGGTGTTCTTTCACTTGTTTTGAGTAAAATACAATGAATGGTGCAGTGGTGTATGATAACATATCACTGACTTCACAATGTAGATCTGGGTTCTGGAGGCGAGAAGGTCCACAAGGTGGAGACACTGACATTCCTTGGCAACACTGCCACCAACACGGCCAAGACAGAACTGACCACAGTGAGTAGGACCTGATTGAACATATGTCACTTGTTTCCGTAGTTGAATATGGTTTATGCGATTCCGCAGAGATGCCAACCATTATGCTTTTTGCATAATAATTACGCTTTTGCGCCTAAACTTACGCTGTTACACTTATCCTCCCCAAATTAATTTTTTCTTCACGAACTATTTACATGTATTAAATATCACAGAGAGCAAATTGTTAGTGCACTGATCACATGAAGCATTCTACAGGGAGCTAATTGCATATACACCGATATTTCTTAGGAACTCGAAACACCACATCGTTCTTCTGTACCCATGCTTCACATACATTTTGGCCTGACAAAAATGTCAGCGAAAACCAGCATCATGGTACGGTACTCTTAACGTTACTGTTTTCTACATGAAATTACACTGTTGTTCCACATTTATTACGCCAAAGCCTCATTAAGGGTTGGCACCTCTGGATTCAGGGATTCAACTTAAATTTACTCATCATTAGTTGTAACTATATTAACACACAATGCCATTTAGGAAGTGGTCAAATGTAACATGTTATAATTTCTCAGTAAAGTACAGATTCAAAGTAAAGTTTACAGACCATAAAGTTAATTTGTCTTAACTTATGTAGCCATTTAATGTACTGTTCTATAATGGGACTATTTCACAATGATATACAAATTATATCCTTTTGATCCGACATAGGGCATGGGTGGCCCAGTTGTCTAAGGTGCCACAATTCGCTGTGCAGAGTTGCATCCCTTGGGCACGCAAGAAACCTATGATTGTGGGTTCGAATCCCGGTTCGCCCCGATTATGTATTTTAGGTTTGTCAGCACCATACCATTGTATACCTGTGCTCGTGGGTTTCACCGAAGTGGTAAACGTCTGAGACCTGCATCGTTTCGGGCTTTCCTCCCACATTAAGCTGACATGCTGCGATATGACTGTAATACTGTTAAAGCGGCGTTAAACCCAACTCACTCACTCACTCACAATGTTATCTTCACCTGAACCTTCTGTAGCGAGTGATGTATGTGTTGTACAGGTGAGTGTAGAGAGAGGCATGGCTTGGAACCAGGCGATTGAACTGTGGAGGAAGTGTGCTGGATCGGAAGAGGGATTCTATCTGGCCTATCAGGTAGGTGTACACACCTGCAACTGTTTGCAATGTTGGAACTTAACCTTGAAAGTCAGGGGGCCTTGCCATAACCCAAATGTTAGTTAAACAATTATGGGGTACCTAGATTCAATTGCTTTAGCTGAAAATCTCGAAGACAGCAGGACTCCTTTTAACCTGGAAGACAGGTTGTGATTTTTGTTGGACAGAGGCATAATATGGCTGTACTAATTCAGTCTGTCGAGGGGGCACGGGTGGCCCAGTTGTCTAAGGCGCCGCGATTCGCTGTGCAGAGTCGCGTTCCTTGGACACGCCAGAAACCTATGATTGTGGGTTTGAATCCCGGTTGCCTCGATTATGTTTCTATGTTTGTCAGCACCATACCCGTGCTCATGGGTTTCACCGAAGTGGTAAACATCTGAGACCTGCATCACTTTGGGCTTTCCTCCTACATTAAGCTGAAACGCCATGATATAACTGTAATACTGTTAAAAGCGGCGTTAAACCCAACTCACTCACTCACTCAGTCTGTCGATGTTAGCCACTAGTGTGAAGGCCGAGTTTAGTACAGCAGCCTCACACTAGTGGAGCATGTTTTGTGGTAGTGTAACCGGGGTTTGTGATGGAAAATACAAGGTCCAACACTGGCTATGGGTGTGATTCTTCAATTTAGTCTTTGAACAAGCCAATGAAAACAAGGCTTGGGTTAGAACAAGAGAAGAAACAATGACACAAACATTGACTAACCCAACCACCCTCTACAGTATAAGTAAACTAATCCAGAAGCCAACAATAGATATTGAACTAAGAAACTACTTTACTAACAACTTAAAATATTACAGACTTAAAGGACCTCAAATAGATAAAAACATATGTACAACAAAACTGTAGGTCAACACTTGTGTCTGCCACAGTAGCCTGATTGGTCGAGTGATGTTTTTTTCATGTCAGCCTGTCCTCCAACAGATGAAACTAATTCAGCGAAAAAAACAAAATAAATTCTCAGCAACATTCAGTATTTAGCTGCACTACACATTATTAATCACTGAAATTATGAAAGTTATAAACATATTTTCAACCTTCATTTAACCTGAGATATGTAGGCAGGTCCCTTTTGGCATATAATTGACTAAATTAGCATCTTGGTGTGGATTTATGTTCATGCTGTCAATAGCTAATCTAGGGCATTTGTTTTGTTTGCTTAACGCCAGACTCAGCAGTATTCAAGCTATGTGACTACAGTCTGTAATTTATCAAGTCTGTACCAGACAATCCAGTGTTTGACATCATGTGCATCGATCCATGCAATTTGGATACGAGGACATGAATCAACCAAGTCATGAGCCTGACCACACGATCCTGTTAGTCGCCTCTTACAAGAAATATCACATCAAAACAAATTTACTGAAGACAATGGAAATGTCCCTGCTATGTAATAAATATTGACCACCTGATCCCATTCGTTGCCTCTTTTGACAAGCATGGGTTGCTGAAAGTGTTCTCGACCCAAAGATACATTTTGATGCTCAACAGCGGTACAATCTGTCCAGCTGAAAACTGCCATTTGTTTCAGGAGCGGAACATGAAGCGGACGTCCATCCTGATCGTGCACCAGGGGAAGAACAAGAAGAAGGAGCGTCTGTACAACGTGTACCGCCCCAACACCGGCCTCCAGCTCCGCTGCGAGACACTGGAGGAGATACGCAAGAAGTACAAGAAGGTCAGACATGCTTCCTCTCTTGAACTTACAATGTGCTGGTATTGTTCTCAAGCCACAATGGCTGTCATATGCTGGACAAAATAAGTTAGGAATCTTGAATATTTTGGGGGATGTTTTTGGAAGTGAAGTCTGAACACACAATTTCAGCAGATTATCCAAAAGGATTCATGATCTCTAAGAATTTTGTCCAGTATACTTGAGGCCATCATAAATTAATAGTCAGATGTTCATTCCCCTCAGCTTCATTACCAAATCAGGGCGGTCGGGTAGCCTAGTGGTTAAAGCGTTCACTCGTCACGCCGAAGACCCGGGTTCGATTCCCGACATGGGTACAATGTGTGAAGCCCATTTCTGGTGTCCCCCGCTGTGATATTGCTGGAATATTGCTAAAAGCGGTGTAAAACCATACTTACTCACTCACTCATTACCAAATCCCTCACTTCATTGTATTGTCCCCAAGTTCCTATAGGTAGAGCATCCGCCCGTATAGCGGAAGGTCTGGGGTTCGATCCCTGACCGCGTCATATCAAAAGACGTTAAAAGATGGTACTTGTTGTTACCCTGTCTGGCGCTCGGCATTAAGGGGCTAAAACAAGGACTGGTCGGCTCGGAGTCAGTATACTGTGTCTGAGTGGGGTATTCATGTTAAACTGCGGCATGGTATCTCAGTGAGCTAGCACTATAAATCGGCATCAGTCCGGACTAGTACAAGCAGCCACACAAAAACACACACGTACATGCACGTCGCTTTATAAGTGCAATAATCTTGGACGCGACGTTAAACCCCATTTCACCTCACCTCACCCAAGTTCCTATAGACAAAGAAAATCGCCATGTGTGTTAATGGTTTTAGTTGTATACCAAAGGCTTAAAAAATACTAATCTTGGTTCTCAGGCACCGCCCGCATCATCCTAAAGTCTGCTGCATGTTTTTATTTTTATTCCCATTTTCAAAAAAAAAGAAAATCCTTAAAAAACAATGCGATCCAATATACTGTGTTCCAGTATTTTATTCAAGGAATACATTAATGAAAGTAGGCCGGCTGGCACTTTATTTGCAAAAGCCATTGCCCGAGAACCATTTCTTTTATTTTTTTAAGCCATATACTTTTTCCTGCCAATCTTTAATGCATCATGTCAATCAACATCTGACAGCAGTTTATTTATACAGATTCCATCAACAGTTTGTTTACAGAAAATTACTATCACTAGAATATCAATGCAATAGGTTTTTCTGAAGTTTTAATAGTAACAAAAACAGTTATGTGTAATCTTCTAGTAAGATAACATAAAATTCACATGTCTCCTTTCTGCTTGAAATATTTTGTCTTCTATGATGTTTGTGAAACTATGAACAAAATGTCGATGGAAAAGGTTTGAGTTGATTTCTGTTATAATACAACGAGGTTCAATCAAAACGGTGAACATGCCCCTGACGTCTAAGCATCTGCAATTCTTAGTGCAGAGGTGCATCTCTTAGGCGAACCGGAAAACCTGTGATCCTGGGCTGGAAAAGGTCAGCTTGATCATGTTTCTAGGTTTGTCAGCACCATACCAGTGCTCGTGGGTTCCACCAAAGTGGTAAATGTGTAAGACCTGCATCACTTCGGACTTTCCTCCCACATCATGCTGACATGCCATGCGTGACATGACTGACATATTGTTCAAAGTGGCGTTAAGCCAAATTCACCTACTCTGAGATGATGTTATGGATGGTAGTTGTTATGTGACTGTGTGTCTGCCTGTTGCAGGTGCTGCCTGACGAGGCACAGAACTGGTGGGATGACCAGTATTATGCATCAGCCAAGTGTTGCAGTCACGCCTACTGGTCAGTACATACATGAATGATCCACCTTGTCCGTTTAATCAGGGCGAGCTAGTACTAGCGCCTTTCCTTCATGCAATCACCCCTGGAAGTAAACAGAACTCAAAATCTAATATTCATGAAATTTAAAATGTTAACTAATTACTTTGACTTTGTATACTGCTCAACATTTGCTGAGGACAAATATAGTCATCATTAGTTAAAGGTTTGTTTAGCAAATCTTGCAGTATATAAGGAGCTGAAATTTAAAAATAATGCTTTTCTGTTTTGTGCGACATTTGTTTGTATGTGAAATAATGAGTTGCTACTGTAGTTACTATTGTTTTTATTATGTTCTTTTGAAAGATTTAATAGAAAGTTGTTGATTGAAGTTAACAAGTACGATAAGATAGAGGTCATTTAATTCACCAGGCGAGGCAACTGTAAGAAGATGTCCCTAGGCCTTCAGTGTGAGATCGGTCTGCGAACTCGGACGTACCACGTGTTGAGTGGCTCCGTACTTAGTGTGTGGAGCAAGGTGGAGGGAGTCCTAGCCTCCATGCCAGGCGGAGCCAGCTCCAAGATGCAGATCATTCGTCTCCGAACTGATGATGGCAAGAGGATTGTGGGTAAGTCAGGGTTCAGTGTATATCCCAGTTGTAGGTATCTAGGAGCATCATGAATTCTTGAAACACAACATTCTTTGTTATGATTGGGGGCACGGGTGCACCAGTCGTCCAAGGCGACGCGTTTTGCTGTGCAGAGTTGCGTCTCTTGGGAACGCCAGAAACCTATGATTGTGGGTTCGAATCCCAGTTCGCCCCGATTATGTTTCTAGGTTTGTCAGCACCGTAACCGTGCTCGTGAAGTGGTAAACGTCTGAGACCTGCATCACTTCAGGCTTTCCTCCCACATTAAGCTGACACGCCGTGATATAACTAGAATACTGTTAAAAGTGGCGTTAAACCCAACTCACTCACTTTGTTATGATTCTCACAATGGTGGTGCCTGCATAGACAATGGACAAAGGTGGCTGAAATTTGTCCTCACAAACTCTGTATTTTGTCCTCCTAGTCCAACCTTTCTTCCCAACACCACCATCACTTCTACCCAAACATACACCAGCACAAACACTAACATCTTCCCGAGGCAAGAGAGTTAACTGGCTGTAAAATTCCACTTTCCACCCTTGCCAAACTTTTTTAGTCTATGAACTCCCTTGCCTTGGGAAGATGAAACACTACCTGACTGAAATGTCATTTTTTATGAATATGTGACATGTCAAGGTCATCCTCAAGGTCATGGCCTGAAAAAAACCTGTTTGCTGCCTAATGTGTTGTATGATATTCATACATGTCTTCTTAGGGCAGGGCCATGATTGTAAAAGGTGTGAGACAAGGTCACACTGAAGGTCATTTATAAAGCATATTTACCACATATATTTCTACACATATTTGTTTTAGCTTTATGCTTGTATCACGTTGAATTCAACCTGGGGACATAATATTTCTATGCTGGATAGCCCTTGGGATTATCAAGGTCAAATGCATTCTCAAAATCATACACAAAAATGTTTTATGTTTACAATAATCCTGCATTGGGCATATGTTTTAAAACTGGCAGTGCTTACTTTAGGATTGCTAGAGGCTACATCATTTGGGGTCATAGATGATTAGATAGATATTGGTGAGGTGAGCTGCCACCTAATGTGGTTAAGTCAGAATGATTCATGTTTCTGGTTGGGAAGTTTGGGGGCATTCTGGAAAAGGTGGGTATGGAACTGCTTCTGTGTTTGCCTGTAATGCACTCCTTGGGGGTTTCTGTGTAAACGTATAGGTCCCCAGCTCCCTATGCTTGTTGTTAGAGGTGACCGCCCCCATGGTATAGTGGTAGAGTGTCTGCCTGGAGAGACGAAGGTCAGTGGTTCGATCCCGGGAAGCTTCATACCAAAAGACGTTATAAGATGGTACTTGTTGTTACCCCAGAGCTACAGATAAGCAGCCTCTTTGCGTAAAATACCCCCAAAAAACATTCAAAACCAAACTACTTTCAATTAACTTGCGTACAGAAACGCATGCATTAAATGAAAAACTCAAATGTATTAAAACAGCAGGTGTAAATACCCAATGAAGCTTTTTAGCATTCGTACAAAGGAGCTAATTTCCGAAACACAATTATGAGCTAATTTACTTTCCGAGTAAAGCCTAAATATTTAGAACAGTTTTATATACATCTAAAACATTATTTCACTTTTTTTAAATCTTAAAATGTTCAGTAATTGTTGGAAAAATCTCAGTGGGCTAGCACTATATATCGGCATCAGTCCGGAATAGTACAAGCAGCCACAGACACTCGTGCATGCTATTCACTATGTGAGTACAATAATCTTGGACACGATGTTAAACTCCATTTCACCTCACCTTGTCGTTAGCGGTGACTACATGGATCGGGTGTTCAGGCTTAGCCTTGTGCATGTTATGTCCCAGTTGTGTGGATCGATGCTCGGGAAGTCAATCACTGGATTGTCTGACCCAGATTTGACATGTAATGCAAACCACTTTCTAGTTTTGATATTGGAAGATGATCTTACCTTTTTTCCTTTTTATTTTCTAGGGAGCTTGATCCCGGGCAACTGCGTGAATCCTCTGACCAACATCCTGTCTCAAGACTCCGCTAAGATGTACTCCGAGAAACATCCGCCTCCCAGGGAAGACGAGGCCAATCTCAGCATGCCTGTGTTTTTCTGAGGATGGTTACTGTTACTTGTGTGTTTGCAATACTGAGACCAAGTCTCCAGAACTGTGCTGTAATCGCCTTGTCAGACTGCTGCTGTCCTGGTGAACAACTGGAATATATCAGCAGTGGTGACTGGACATTGTGACCTGAGGCCACTGGACTTCTTCCCCTGTGTTGGTGAATCCAATGTTATCTGCAGTAAATTCAGGATATTGTCAAGCTGTAAAACTGACTTCAACAATCTTGGTGAATCCAATGTTATCTGCAGTAAATTCAGGATATTGTCAAGCTGTAAAACTGACTTCAACAATCTTGGTGAATCGAATGTCATATGCAGTAAATTCAGGATATTGTCAAGCTGTAAAACTGACTTCAACAATCTTGGTGAATCGGTTGTCATCTGCAGTAATTCAGGATATTGTCAAGCTGTAAAACTGACGTCAACAATCTTGATGAATCGGATGTCATCTGCAGTAAATTCAGGATATTGTCAAGCTGTAAAACTGACTTCAACAATCTTGGTGAACCGGATGTCATCTGCAGTAAATTCAGGATATTGTCAAGCTGTAAAACTGACTTCAACAATCTTGGTGAACCGGATGTCATCTGCAGTAAATTCAGGATATTGTCAAGCTGTAAAACTGACTTCAACAATCTTGGTGAATCGGATGTCATCTGCAGTAAATTCAGGATATTGTCAAGCTGTAAAACTGACTTCAACAATCTTGATGAATCGGATGTCATCTGCAGTAAATTCAGGATATTGTCAAGCCGTAAAACTGACTTCAACAATCTTGATGAATCGGATGTCATCTGCAGTAAATTCAGGATATTGTCAAGCCGTAAAACTGACTTCAACAGTCTTGGTGAATCGGATGTCATCTGCAGTAATTCAGGATATTGTCAAGCTGTAAAACTGACTTCAACAATCTTGTTGAATCGGATGTTATCTGCAGTGAATACAGGATATTGTCAAGTTTTAGAACTGTCTTCAGCAATCTTGATGAATCAGATGTTGGACAGAAGTCTAGACATTGTGAAGCTCTGAAACTGTCCATTCCGGCGTCCCGGATGTAATCTGCAGCATTGTGAAGTTAAATCTGGGAAAATATCGCTGTAGTGGTTCTTTACTCAGGTTGGGATCTTGCAGCATTAAAGCTTGACACACTCAAGCTTCCATCATAGAGCACCAGATACACATCAGAGCACTGTTGCTTTGTCAGGCGGATAAACCTTGAAACACTTTCAATCAGAAGTAGACCTTGTCTTAATTCCATTCATCGACCATCAAGACAATATCGAGCAAGGTACACATGCAGCAGACCAAGGGCCCAACACCATCATCTTAGGGAGTGGACCCATCTCTTTACATACCATGCAGTGTAGCATAGGACCACTTCAGCCATTCAGCATTTGCTCACATTGGCCCATGTTACCAAACTGAAGAATGTTACATATATCTCAGCATCTTTGTTGTACTGGACAAGATACAGTGTCATGTCCATGAAACAAATATATATTTATCAACCTGTAGCAGTATTTTTGTCTTACGAATACAAACTCATGCTTCAACAGAGAGGTGATCCTCTGAAGTCAGTGCTGTTGTGTGCAGGTTGTAATTGGTGTTGTTTCGTGTTAGTTACCGAGGCAGGCTGGCAGGAGATAGGGCGCGACTCGATTGTACCCTCAGTCTTTCATACATTATGGCCATTGCTACATTCCTACAGCCATGACAACGCTACAGCGCCAGTAGTCTAGATCATTTGCCTAGACGTTCAGTACTCTGAAGCTGTCAGATTCTTCAATGAACACTACATAGGACTCCAATCATTGTTTCTGAGGATCAGAATTCATGGAGTGTACAGAGGGAATTGTGCAAATTTAGCAGTTGAGGAGGACCCGCGACTGCCATAATTACTGTGTTTGAGTGAGAGTGGATGCGTGTTTCAGTATATTTTGTGGAAATGGATGACTATTGAAGCCTCACATGTGCCTTGTATATTTGCCTGTCAGTTATCGGTTATGCAATCAAGACTGCTTATTCGAAATACATTGAAAAGTCCATCGATACAAACTTGGGGCATCACGACATGCATTCGGAATAATTTCCCTTTATTTATTTGACACAGTTTCATCTGTATCATTGTGCAGCATCTTACACTTTCCAACGATAGGTTTCTTCAAACAATACATAACTCATGAATGACTTGTAAATATCCCCTTCCAATCAAACCAGACTTAGTTTTCATAAGTGCATTTGCCATTCAAGATACATGCAACGTGCTGTGTAGAGACGTCACGCGAATTTGTGATATATTTCAGTGTGTATATATACTAACTGAGTTTTCCAGTGAAACAATTCCTTCAGGCAGTTTCTGCCACGGCTAGCTAGAGATTGATAATGCTCATGACAATACTTGGTGGATGATGATGAATCACGTATATTCCAAGTCCGATGTTTTGCCAATGTAAATAGAATTCTGTGATTTCTGATCAAATTGTCATGTGCAAAAAACACCTATTTTTTGTATTGGTCTGAGTGAGCCATGCGAGTGTTTGTACAAGATTCTAATGGATGCCCCTCTCAGGATGTTGCTGTATTGCTGTCACTGAGGTGCCAGCTTCACTCCCATTATTCTCAATAGCGATCTCTGTATCATTGGTCTGTCCATAGCAGTTTGTACAGTTCATTTCAATTTAACAAAAGGTGCTTTCAACTCGTGTTCAGTACCCAATCAATGTTACCAGAGAATTATTTATTTGGCTTTGTGTTGTTGTCATGTTACCACAACCGTCTGTATGACAGATCTGTGTGATAGCGTAGAAAGGGTGTTTGATGATCATACCCAACTCATGTTGCTAAACTTTACTGTCACCTCTAGGGTTCCTGTCAAACATATTGCTATTCAAGGAATTATAAGTAAATATAAGAATTATGCAAAAATGAAAGATTTTTTACTTTTTCATGATTTAGTCACACATTGTCAACCGTGACTTTCATTATGCACAAGTAACTTGATATAAAAAATATGGTATCAGATTTAAGATAATACTTCCCTGCAACAATTAAGAGATATTGATGTGGTTTCTATATTTTGTTCGTCCGATATAAGAAACTACTTTCCAGCCCCAAATTAAATTAACAGATCTATTGAAGTGGTCTCTATATTTGGTTCATAAGATATAAGATATTACTTCCCAGCAAAGATTAACAGATATAGTGAAGTTGTTTCTTTATTTGGTTGATCAGGCATAAAATACTACTTTCCAGACCAACAGCTATAGTGAAGTGGTTTCTGTTTGGTTCCTGGAAATTGAAGCAAGATTGTTACATGAAAACTGCAGTTGGACGCTTCTTTAATTTGATTGTTACATGTTGAAAGCAGTTTCTTTTTAATCAGTTTGTATTCAGATATTGTCACTGGTTTATATATTTACAATTTCAGTTTATTGAAGGACATATTTTCTCGGCTGCACGAAGGGAACATTACATGCTATGTGAGACACAGATGCTATTTACTCTGCGAAAAACAAATGATGATTATTATGTCAAGACTTGTAATGTCAAGGTTGGAGAAATCAAATACAGAGTCTCTTGTCTATTGAATGTATCAATTTCTGAAGTATGTGCATGGTATATCTTAAGCATGATAACCGTATTGAAAACAGAGAAATAATAAGAGGATTTCTTTTAAATGTCCAGTAGATCAAGTTTTAAGATCAAATCTTTTTCAAATCATGGGAAATCTTTTATGTTCTGGTGAAAAATTCCAATGTGATCTGATAGGTCGCAGATATGTTTATTTTCTCCCACTGTACAGGATACATCAAAGCCTCTAGATTTGAAATTGAAGCCAAAAACACCCTACTGGTTTATACAACCGGTGGTCATCAGGATCTTGTTATGCAACTGGTGTTTTACATAGAGGCTATATGGTATCCAAAAGAAATGTACTAGATTGGTGCTTTGAGTTATTTCCTACCATGCATAGACCAGACTACCCTGGGTACTTACTGAAGATAAGACCATCTCCATGGTCTCTGCCTGGAGAGCGGGAGTTTGATCCTCAGCCGATTTATGCCAAAAGATGGTACTTGCTGTTACCCTGTCCAACTTGGTATAAGGGGGCTAAAACAAGGACTGGTCGGCTCAGAGTCAGTATACTATGTCTGAGTGGGGTATTCATGTTAAACTGCGGCTTGGTAGCTCAGTGGGCTAGCATGCATTAGAAGGTCTAGTACAAGTGCACACACACCTGCCTGGACATCGTTACATAAGTGCAATAATCTTGATCGTGAAGTTAAACCCCATTTCACCTCACTTCGTCACAGGGATAGATTCTTCCATTGTCCAAGACGGGTGGCCCAGTCATCTAAGGCGCCACAATCACTGTGCAGAGTTGCGTCCCTTGGGCACGCCGCAAACCTATGATTGTGGGTTCGAATCCTGTTTGCCCCGATTATGTTTCTAGGTTTGTCAGCACCATACCCGTGCTCATGGGTTTCACCGAAGTGGTAAATGTCTGAGACCTGCATCACTTCGGTCTTTTTACTCCCACATTAAACTGACAGGCCGTGATATAACTGTAATATTGTTAAAACCGGCGTAGAACCCAACTAACTTACTCACTCCAAGACTAGTGAAAATCTGAAGGCACTAGATGTGTACTCCAAAGTTTTGTTATTTTGCATTACCTGCTGGTCTGAAAGGGGCTGTGGACCAGTAGAATGTGAGCAACGGTGTCTGGCCCTTTAGTCGTAAGGCTGTTCCATGCTCTGTGGCAGGGTCCACCTTCGACTGTAGGGGTTTGCACTTTTGTTAAATTGTAAGATGCCCCTGTGGGGATTATGGGTTAGAAGTGGGGATTATGGGTTAAAATAGGCCCCCTACCAACCTATGCTGGTTGAAAGAGGAGACTCTGTAGATCCGGTGGTCAGGCCTGCTGACCTGGTTGATTGCATGGATTGTTGCTGATGATGTCAATCACTGTATTGTCTGGTCTAGACAAGAAAATGTATCTTGGTCGACAACACTTTCTGCAACCGATGTTTGTCATCAGAGGTGACTACCGGGATCGGGTGGTCAGACTCCGTGACTCAGTTGATGCATGTCCTGTATCCCGATTGGGTATATCAGTGCTCATGATGTCAATCACTAGATTGTCTGGTCTTGACTTGAGTATTTACAGCCCGCTGTCATATAGCTGGAATATTGCTCAGTGTGGCATTAATCAACAATCAAGTAATAGATAATGCAATGTTATTCATGGGCCTGGAGCACACACAAGGAATAAAAATTGTCGTTGCTATGGATATATCTGTATTACTAACCAGAACCTTGTTTAACTCTTGGTTCTCAGGAACCGTTGGCATCTTGAAAACATTTTCCCCTCATATGGATTCCGTGTTAGAATAGGTCTCCAGTAACTGATGCAGGTTGTATGAGGCAACTAAATGAATCGGATCAGTAGAAATCCTGAAGTTACGACTTTATTTCAATTATTTTTTTTTATTTCAAGTGTTTTGAAAGATTTATTAAACACATTCATTTTGTTTTTAAATAACATTTCAAAAGTCAGTTATGTATATAAATTTATGGTTGTATAGATCTGACATAGGTTATTTATATAAATTTTATTTATAATGTATGATGGCTATGCTTGTCGTAAGAGGCAACTGGCGGGATCAGGTAGTCAGGCTCGCTGACTTGGTTGATGCATGTCATCGTATCCCAATTGGGTGAATCGATGCTCATTATGTCACTCACTGGATTGTCTGGTCCAGATTCGATTATTTACAGACTGCCGTCATATAGCTGGAATATTGCTGAGTGTGGCGTTATACAACAAACAAAGGAAACAAAATTTATCATGAGTGGGTTGTCCCTCTCATAACAAATTAATTTGAATACAGATAGGATTGGATAGCGATTGGTAGGATGTCCCTCTCGTAAATAATGTATTTCAATACAGATATTATCTGATAGTGATTAGTAGTTTGTGCCTCCTGTGACACGCCATGATATAACTGGAATACTGTTAAAAGCGGCGTTAAACCAAACTCGCTCACTCTGGTAGTGATTGGTAGTTTGTGCCTCTTATGAGTAATTTTTCAATAAAGATGGAAACGGACAGTGCCTGGTAGGTTGTCCCTCTCATCGATAATGTATTTGTATACAGATAGGATCAGATAGTTACAGGTAGGTTGTCCCTCTCATCGATAATGTAGTTGTATACAGATAGGATCAGATAGTTACAGGTAGGTTGTCCCTCTCATCGATAATGTATTTGTATACAGATAGGATCAGATAGTTACAGGTAGGTTGTCCCTCTCATCGATAATGTATTTGTATACAGATAGGATCAGATAGTTACAGGTAGGTTGTCCTTCTCATCAATAATGTATTTGTATACAGATAGGATCAGATATTTACAGGTAGGTTGTCCCTCTCATCAATAATGTATTTGTATACAGATAGGATCAGATAGTTACAGGTAGGTTGTCCTTCTCATCAATAATGTATTTGTATACAGATAGGATCAGATTATGCCTGTGGTAGGTTGTGAAGTGTAATGTTCCCTGACTGCGCTGACGAAGGAGGAGGAGGGAAATGTGACTGAAGGCTGGAGCGATGAATGTACAGTTAGATGTCAGGAGCTGACCACAGTGGCTAAGGGGACACTATTGATACTGACGACTGGGCCAGTAGCCATCGCGCTTGTCACAGTTCACTAACAAATACAACAACATTTGTTTATGTTCATTTCTATCATCTCATATGTTAATTAGAAAATGTCAATCCTAAGTAAGATAATTGTGTTCCATGTCCACAATGTGAGTTACTGATTTGATGTTTCTGGCAGTCAGTGATGTGAGAAATTTATTATCTGCCTTAAGTACTTCCAAGTATTTGCCTTTTCTCAAATTGATAAATTGATAGTGTTCCTTTAAAGTTGTTCTGTTGAATATGTCCTGAAATATGTTTGTAATAAACACGTCAACAATAGCATGTATTTTGTTGTGGGAGAATCGTGGTTGTTCATTTAACAACTGCCAAGGTTTCTACATCTGGGCAAAATATCACATGTTTCCGGTAACATTGAAAACGTGGATCGGAATTCTATGAATAAAGATCATGCATAGTTAGCATTGGTGACCATGCAGTCTTGTTGATGCCCGAAGCAGATATGCATCTTGGACACCCAGTAAGGATGCATGGTTGTGATCAGGGACAGAGTTTTAGTATGTTTTATTGTGTATAGTCCCATCCAGGAATCGAACCCACACTGAGTGAGGCAGCTTATCTCCAGCACACAAAATCAGCGATCTAACTCACATTTTGAGGCATCCACCAAAATGGAAGTTTGACAACTGGTAGTCCAGATCACATACATTGTGTACCCCTGTAAGAGTAAACAGCAATGGCTTCCCTAGTCGAAGCTATGAATCCAAGATGGGACTCCACCCAAAAAAGTACTTGAACTTGTACTTTACTAAGAAAGTGTGATTCCAAATATAACACACATATCTGAGACCTTGCCGCTGTAGTATTTCTGGCTTTGTTTTTTATCTGTTTCATCAATATTTTTCAAAACTTGAGACAATATTGTTGACACTAATTTCAGCGAGGAAGTGTGTGAATTTTACTGATTGGCAGATCACACCAACTCACCCTATTGACAGCAACCTTGATCAGATTACAGCTTTGGATGCTTTGATGCAGGGTAGTTCAAAGATGTATAATTGTGGATCGAAATGTCCCATGTTTTGATTGGTCCAAACTCTGCGCGCTGATTGGTCCAAACTCTGCACGCTGATTGGTCTGTTTCGGTGGCGCCCCATGTTTTGATTGGCCAGCCCAAACTCTGCACGCTGATTGGTCCATTTCGGTGGCACCCTATGTTTTGATTGGCCCAAACTATGCACGCTGATTGGTCCGTTTCGGTGTCGGCCCATGTTTTGATTGGTCCAAACTCTGCACACTGATTGGTCCGTTTCATGCCTGGTCTGCGCCCAGGTTTTTCCAAACCGACTCGAGCCTTGTGTTTCTTTTCCATAGTAAAATGCATTTTCAATGGGAGAGAAAGCACAACTCGGGTGCTGTCCCAATGTTTTGATTGGTCCATAACTCTGCACGCTGATTGGTTCTTTTTATTGAGTGGCGATTGGAGGATTTTGACCCATATAAAAAAGCACACGTTCATCTCGTCATCACTTTTCTGCTGCTGTCCAAGAAGCAACATCATGTCCAAGGTCATGGATGTCAAGGCACTGAGGGAAGTGTGCGATGATGTGAGCAGTGAAGTGTACGAAATCATTGATGATCAGTTAGAACTGCATGATCTGATGATGAAATCTAGTGCCTTGTACAAAGGTTACTATGAAATGTTGAGTGCGAAAATAAGGACCGTCGAAGCAAAATTGCTGCCATCTGGGTATGTCATATGGGTGCCCTGCGTGGCACAACTTGTGGCCAACAGACTTGTTGGAAAAAGGAAGAGGAAACCGACTGAACCATCAACAACAACAGCAGCAGCAGCAGTAGCAGCAGCAACAGCAGCAGCAGACAGGAAAACGCAAGTGACAGAATTTTTGAAACCTGCAACACCTGCAAAAAAGGAAAAAAGGCGACCACGGAAGTTGTAAGTACCATGCTATTCTATTGTATGTATATACAGAAGTATATGAATTTAATACCATATACAACGATCCACCTTTAGAATTCAGACGTCCGTTCCACATAATTATCGTAGCGCTAAGGTTATCGCAACTCACATACTTTAACTTAACGACTGTCGTTTTGCGCTACAACACGATCGCCTCGTGGAACGGGGATCTTGTACCTCAAAGTTTACAATCACGTCAAAATACCCGATGACGTAATTTGTAATTTTTTGTGGCGAAACAATGCCATATAATTTATTAATTTGAAGTTTACACGATATACGGCTTTTCCATTGGACAAGAGGTCGGTCACATGACCGCGAAATTGACGTTCATAAGTGTATGAACGACACAATTTGACGTTCATACGTTTTTCACGAGACCGGGTTCTTGAAATGACGTAAACACTGACGGACTACTTCCACATTCCTGGGGAAACCCCTGGGAATTCCCTACCACGAAAACATACACAAGCGTTCTTTCTGATCATTTAGAACCTTTACTCTTGGTCTCAGCGTTTCAGTATACTTTGAGAAATGTCAGAGAGCGTGACTGCATGATTGTTCACGAATATCCTCGCTACCGCCCATCCTAATGAACAAAAGAAGAAATGCACATCTAAACTATCGTAGTATCGACTCGATCCGTGTCTAGGCTGACATTGACCGTCTCTAGCAATCTATGAATTTACCTTAGTGTCTGTTTGACGCATCTTTATTCACCTTTCAATGATCGGCCAGTTGATTAATGATGACTAACACATGTAACCGCCAAAGGTTCATCAACAACTTCGGAAATCTCTCCCGTCACGCGTTTATCGTGTCGGCCATTTTAACGTCTTGTACTTGATGTAAATGTATTACGACGCGCTGTCATTGTGACTGACTTACTGAGGTAGTTCTTTACAGACCTTTCTCATCTAATGAGGATATGATTTGAATACATGTGCTGCGTAAGATCCTTCTGAAGAGCATGTTGTGCATCCATACGCCCATGTCACCTCTCTTTTTTAGGAACTATTTTACTCCGCGATGTAGCTGTTTGTTGTATGGCTGTCAGTATAAACATGAAGTCACACGTACTAAATAAAAATTAAATTGTGTTTACATCTTGGCCTACATCCTTTGGGGTAAGAAATTGTGATAAAAAAATTATAAGAATTGACTTTCACTTTGTGTGAGTTCATTGGAGTATGAACCTTTATAGAGTGAGGGCCAAACATTGTATGAACGTCGTTGCAAGCTCCGACGTTTTCTTGTATGATTGACAGGACACCCACCCTGCTTGATGTTGTGCCACCACCACCATCACCAGTTGATACATTCTATGGCGGCGACGACCGTGGTATGCCGTGCGACGACGATCTTCTTTTTGAAGAAGATCAATTCAGACGTGATGGTAGTAACTGTCGCCATAACGACATGTCGAAATACCTGACCACTACATGTGATGTTTCCTGTCTGTTTCAGGGATTTGAATGGATATACGTGGCCATTAACATGATCAGAACTGTTTGTTTTTGAAGATTGAAGCTTTAGCGTTCTTTGAGGGACATGTTAAGCACCCCCTCCTCAGTTGTCCATTGATTCGTATTTACTATGTATATATGTTGATGTTGTGTTTTTTCATTAAACAGTGATTAATTGAACTGACTCTTTGTCTCTTGACTTATCTCAACTCCAATAGGGTGCCAGACCAAGGGTAGAGGCTGAGTTGAGATGTAAACGCTGTCTGTAATTTCTGTGCTCGTGCTAGTTGTACAAGTTTGAGAGTTCTTTCTTTGCAAAACACTACTTTAATTTGACAAAAATAAAAGATAAAAGAGAAAGGTCATGCTTGAAAGTATCAGTTGCCTTGTGTCAGTCTCCAAGAGCACATTATGTCACGTGATGAAGAGGTCATGACCTCACCTTTGACCCTACGCCATCCTTTTAACTATGCTTAGGTGTCACTCTTGAGTTGGTGCATAGTATGAAAGAAGTTGACAGCGCATTGCCAGAAAAAAGGGGTGGCTCCACATTGGCGTGTCATTGATGATTTGCTGGGCGACCACCCCATCGCATTGTGTGGGTGTACAGTGAATGGCAACCGTTCCATCATGAGTTGGAAGAGATGGCAGACCGCCTAGGTGCCACTCTTGAGTTTGTGCATAGTATGAAAGAAGTTGACAGCGCATTGCCAGAAAAAAGGGGTGGCTCCACATTGGCGTGTCATTGATGATTTGCTGGGCGACCACCCCATCGCATTGTGTGGGTGTACAGTGAATGGCAACCGTTCCATCATGAGTTGGAAGAGATGGCAGACCGCCTAGGTGCCACTCTTGAGTTTGTGCATAGTATGAAAGAAGTTGACAGCGCATTGCCAGAAAAAAGGGGTGGCTCCACATTGGCGTGTCATTGATGATTTGCTGGGCGACCACCCCATCGCATTGTGTGGGTGTACAGTGAATGGCAACCGTTCCATCATGAGTTGGAAGAGATGGCAGACCGCCTAGGTGCCACTCTTGAGTTTGTGCATAGTATGAAAGAAGTTGACAGCGCATTGCCAGAAAAAAGGGGTGGCTCCACATTGGCGTGTCATTGATGATTTGCTGGGCGACCACCCCATCGCATTGTGTGGGTGTACAGTGAATGGCAACCGTTCCATCATGAGTTGGAAGAGATGGCAGACCGCCTAGGTGCCACTCTTGAGTTTGTGCATAGTATGAAAGAAGTTGACAGCGCATTGCCAGAAAAAAGGGGTGGCTCCACATTGGCGTGTCATTGATGATTTGCTGGGCGACCACCCCATCGCATTGTGTGGGTGTACAGTGAATGGCAACCGTTCCATCATGAGTTGGAAGAGATGGCAGACCGCCTAGGTGCCACTCTTGAGTTTGTGCATAGTATGAAAGAAGTTGACAGCGCATTGCCAGAAAAAAGGGGTGGCTCCACATTGGCGTGTCATTGATGATTTGATGGGCGACCACCCCATCGCATTGTGTGGGTGTACAGTGAATGGCAACCGTTCCATCATGAGTTGGAAGAGATGGCAGACCGCCTAGGTGCCACTCTTGAGTTTGTGCATAGTATGAAAGAAGTTGACAGCGCATTGCCAGAAAAAAGGGGTGGCTCCACATTGGCGTGTCATTGATGATTTGCTGGGCGACCACCCCATCGCATTGTGTGGGTGTACAGTGAATGGCAACCGTTCCATCATGAGTTGGAAGAGATGGCAGACCGCCTAGGTGCCACTCTTGAGTTTGTGCATAGTATGAAAGAAGTTGACAGCGCATTGCCAGAAAAAAGGGGTGGCTCCACATTGGCGTGTCATTGATGATTTGCTGGGCGACCACCCCATCGCATTGTGTGGGTGTACAGTGAATGGCAACCGTTCCATCATGAGTTGGAAGAGATGGCAGACCGCCTAGGTGCCACTCTTGAGTTTGTGCATAGTATGAAAGAAGTTGACAGCGCATTGCCAGAAAAAAGGGGTGGCTCCACATTGGCGTGTCATTGATGATTTGATGGGCGACAATACAAAAGAAGAAGAAACGGAAGTGTTGCGATGGTTCACTAAGAAAAGTCATCTCCGAAACACGTCCGTGTTGTATCTCACTCAGAACTTGTTTGCCCAATCACCACAACAGCGTACCATCAGTCTGAATGCTCACTACATGGTCCTATTTATAAATCCGAGATATGAATCACAAATTGACAGTCTGGCTCGCCAGGTGTTTCCATGCAGAGTTCTTTTTATGCGTGAAGCCGATGGAGACGCCACCAAAGAACCTTACACTTACCTGTTCTTGGACTTGAAACCAACCACTTTGCAAGAACATAAGTGTACACTTTGTTGTACTTACTTGTACACTTTGTTGTACTTACTTGTACACGTTGTTGTACTTACTTGTACACGTTGTTGTACTTACTTGTACACGTTATTGTCCTTCCTTGTACACGTGAAGTACTAACTTGTACACTTTGCTGTACTTACTTGTACTTGTTGTACTTCTTTGTATTGATTTGTGCACGTTGTTGTGGAATCTGTTGTAGCTGCCGAGAGCTATCATGGTACCGAGTCCCAGACCATAGGAGAAGAGGATCTGGGACGCCGTATCTATCCACACCTGTAACAATAAGTCGTACTCGTAGTGATGCTTCGGTGACTTCTCCTCCTGCTGCTACTTCTCCTTCTCCAACCCGTGAAGATCCAGGTACAGAAAAGGTCTTCAGTAACCCATGCTTGCCATAAGAGCCGACTATACTTGTCGTAAGAGGCGACTAACGGGATCGGGTGGTCAGGCTCGCTGACTTGGTTGGTGCATGTCATGGTATCCCAATTGCGTGGACCGATGCTCATGATATCAGTCATTGGATTGTCAGGTCCAAACTCGATTATTTATTACTAATGCTGTTGCTATTTCTCCAAATCAAACTTGTAGTCATTTTTGAGGTTGCATATACTTCAGTCTATATCTGCCACTGCTAACGGCAGTCTATGCCACTGTAGTGAAACAACGCTACTCGAATTGCATTACCTTGAGCTCGCTTGTAAGACCATAGGTTCATGGTAGAATGAGAGCCGTAGACAAATCAAAGATCAAAATCAAGTTCGGGGTTCGATCCCACGTTTTGTGGATCCTGACAAGCGCTTGACGTTAGAGGCGACTAACGGGACTGGTGATCAGGAGTGCCGATATAGACACACCGTGTCGGTGAGGGGTATATACAGGGACAACACGTCGCATTGGTTGAATTTCGATCCACTTTTTCTGACCGTTGTTTCTTCCAAGTCTTCACGGATTTGAGTTAACACTTGATGTAACTCTCTCCAAACATGAATTTCTTCAAGATAGAAAAGCTAACAGCCAACACAACGTTAAGAACATAATAAAAAAATCTAGTCTCTTTGCTTGGTGCAGTTCTCACAGTAATATAACAAATGTTATATTTGGGATAACACTTTCTTAGTAAAGTACAGCTTCTCGTACTTTTGGGGGGTTGAGACCCATCCGGGATTTGAACCCATGCTTGCCAGAGGGAGGCACCAAATCGCCAGCAAACAAAGTCAGCGATCTAACCCACTCAGCCACCGAGGCTTCCACACAAATGAAAGTCCGACAACTGGTAGTCTAGATCACGTACTTTGAGTACCCCTCTGACGGGACTCAACCCCCTAAAAAGTACGAGAATCTGTACTTTACGAAGAAAGTGTCATCCCAAATATAACATTTGTTACATTTGACCACTTACTAAATGGCATTGTGTATTCATCTCACAGTAATAGCTAGAACCACAAAAGGATGTCGTGGTAGTGATCACATCAAAGTGTTCATAATGATGATGGTATAAATGCAAAATGGTGGCGCCAGGTGGAGCCTCATCACTCTTGTACAACAGTCTGTTGAAAATATCATGACTGTAGATTTTCAGTTGATAGTTCCATTTGGCCAAGGCACGTCCCACATGTTCTAGGGTGTCAAGGCCCTGACAGCGGCCTTCAGGGATGCCAAGGTGCCGAAACAATTTCGGTGCCAGTTTTCCTTGAACATCAGCTCGATCCGTCTCCTTCTCTGGCTTGACCATATTTTGGTAGGGGGGTTGGTCCTCTGTGCATTATGTTGTGCCACAATAATGGCCCTTTGTCTTTGTTCTTGATCCGTACAATGCACTTTTTGCGTTCTAAAAATGCTTCCAGCCCAGCCATTCTATCTATTCAGAGATAATCCCACTTCCATTGCGTCATCGATTGCAAGGTCTGTGTTGGACTGCTGGACTTTTTCCACAGCATGCAAGATATCTTGGCCATGGAGATCTACAATGCGGCGAAATGGAATCCGTATTGGGGACTCCAAAGCTGGGTGACGGATACAAATAACAATACGGTTACCATCCTGGCCTGTCATCAAGTACACTGTCAAATAAGCGTTGCAGTTCTGTTGACAGGTTGTGTGGTGGAACGTCGTCCAAGTAGCCATGGTTAAATTCCAAAATGTAAGTTTGGTTAGATATTCTTAACTTTCTGGCACGAGACACCTCTATTTTCTTCAAGCTATACGGTTCACTCTGCTTGCCAGCCACCATGATGCAAATGAGAGCCTGACGAACGTGATGAGTCATTTCAGTGTGCTTATTGCCATTCCAAACTGAAGGAAACTTACGTGTCCAGTCAGAAGAAAGATGGCGACCCATCAGTGCCTGTGCTGTACAGCAAATGTGCGGTGAGGTAGTCTCACGATCCAACGGCCCTTTTCAGAGCCACCCAAATCTCCCGAAAGAACACTTTGATCATTGCAAACCCAAAAAACCTAACCAAAAAGAAAACCCACCCTCCCCGCCAGCTTGGATGCACATGCCTCCCGGAACCGGAACTGCCGCCATCTTTTTTAAGTGTCGCCATCTTGGATGGATGCCAGGGTGCCGGTGGTCTCAGGGTAGCGCACCGTACTAGGGTACACCCCTATACTACTGAGGGTGTTACTTTGTGTTCTTAATGCCATCAGTATATTCAAAAGGAAGCATATCTTCAGGTGGTGAAGCCTGGTGGTTAAGCTTTGGCTCTTCACTCACTTCGATACCCCACGGAGTCCCGTGTGTGAAGCCCAATTCTGGTGTCCCACAGCTGGGATACCGTTTATAGTGGTGTAAATCCCAAGTCACTCCCCTTGATTGTCAGGCAACTATCGGTACTGTAAGACCTTAATTATTACGAATACAAAATCTCAGCATGATATCAACCACAGGTTCCGATTATTTACATGCCAGAAATCCGGGATAGAATAGGTCTTCAGCAACCCAGGCTTGTCGCAAGAGGCGACTTAACGGGATTTGGTGGTCAGGCTCACTGACTTGGGTGATGCATGTCATCGTATCCTAACAGCTTAGATTATTTACAGATTGCCGTCAAATAGCTGGAATATAGCTGAGTGCAGCGTTAAAAAACAAACAAACATAACTTGAGTCTTGTTGACTGGAATCGCACAACAATCTCTCGCTGGAAGCTAAATGAAAAAGCACAAGTCGGTTTGATTTTGAAGAGATTTTATTGAGTGATGAGCTTATGGCAGTAGAATGAGACAAATACTAGCACGCATTGTTCACTGGAGGCTCCCAGCATCTGCACAGATCTTAGCCCTGGCTGTTCTCAGCTCCCTGGGGAGAGTACAGTTCACCACAGGCAATAGTACTGTTTAAATGAATATCCATACAACCTTGACCTAATGCTAGGGTTAATGTCAAGATGAGAGCTGAGAATAGCAAGGGTAAAGTTATAAAACAGTTCACACAACATACAACCACACAACATTCGTATATCGTATCAGAATGCAAACTGCACAATTTTCATTGGGAGGTGGTCTTCTCATTACAGCTGATGACCTACTTAAACAAATACACAACAACAAAATTTTCTTTAAAAATATTCGTCACTTTCTGTTTTTCCCCTTTGAACAGTATATCAGTATAAGGTGGGGCAGGGCTTGGTATGGATTTTGTATCTAGATCTACAAAACCAGATATATTCAGAGTCTGAATTTTTAAATATAGAAAAACACCTTGCAACAAAGTAGTTTTTGTGGCAGGCAAATTTTATTTTTCAACAGCCTGAAGAATAATTATTTTTTTCAAGAATTTTCAGGGACAATTTATTTTTTTCCATAAAATCTCCCCCCACAAGAATACCAAATGGTCGATCCCTAAATGACAAATTATGAGAAAGCATTACAAGTTCTGCTGAAAATACAGCCAGACAAGTTTAATTAGGCAGCAAGAATGTGTTCAACCAAGAAGCAAGTGAACACCACCAGAATGACAAGACGACCTCGGTGAGACTTGAAGTTGCATACAGCTGTAAGTTAGGAAGATATTTGCATAATAATTGAGGCACATGTACACCACTTCTTACACTGATCCGAGAATGAATAGAAGCAGGTGCTTGTATGGTGGACACAAAGCTGTAGTGTCTCATAATAAACCAGAATTCTATTTGTTCTTTGGTTACGTGACATCTTACTTGAAGACAATTGGTCCAGTCCTTCTAGACTAACATCTAGTCTCTGAAATTAACATATTTTACGTACAAGAACAGTTGTTATATTATAGTTGTAAAAATATGATAAAAAGGAGTCCAGAGACTCTTGGCAGTAATCTAGACTTGCCTAATATTATAGACTTGCATGGGCTATTTTGGAAATATTTGATTCAGGGTCTGTATGACAGACTACAGGTCTTCCTGCTCACAGTCATACTTCTATAATGGCAATTTTGCTTTGTTAAAATCATTGAACTGTCCCTGAACAAATGAGTTCTGTGATGATCTTATTTCTATACTTTAGGTGAGTGAGTGAGCTTAATTTTACACCGCTATTAGCAATATTCCAGCAATATCACGGCGGGGGGCACCAGAAATGGGCTTCACACATTGTAACCATGTCATGAATCGAACCCGGGTCTTTGGCGTGACGAGCAAACGCTTTAACCTCTAGGCTACCCGACCGCCTGTTGGGCACAATCCTCAAGACTTCACTGCTTTGTATATGCAATGTCTCCATTTCCTGTGAAGACAAATGGCCACTTTGCAGCATAGTCGCTATTTTCAACCAACCAATCAACCAAAGGCCTGGCTCCAGAGAGGGGGAGGCCGACGAGTGCTCCGACCAATCAGCATTCAGATATGAGAATGTTTCCAGGTGGAAAACGTGTGCAATGTTCCATAGCCTTGTGGCATCTGCTCTACACATGGCATGGCATGGAGGTCTTTCATGCACGGAGGAGGACTCATTAATGTCCAGAAGTTCACACAGCCTCAAGTCAGTAGCTTACGAAAAAAAGACACCTCACTACTACACAGCATAGCAGACATATGTACTGACAGGTAGAGGAAGGTCGTGCATACAAGACTGATTGTTGGATGACCCCTGTAGATCCGGGGTAGAATAGGTCTTCAGCAACCCATGCTTGCCGTGAAGATCCGGGGTAGAATAGGTCTGCAGCAACCCATTCTTGCTGTAAAAGACGACTATGTTTGTCATAAGAGACAACTAACGGGATCGGGTGGTCAGGCTCGCTGACTTGGTTGATGCATGTCATCGTATTCCAATTGCGTGGATCGTTGCTTATGTCAATAACTGGATTGCCTGGTCCAGACTCAATTATTTACAGACCATCATCATTTAGCTGGAATATTGCTGAGTGTGGTGTTAAACAACAAACAAACAAACAAGCTGACTGTTAAGACACAGACCCTCAGAGCAGTGATCTATGCAGCACCATACAAGCACCTGCCGACAGCCACGATCCCAGGATACAGCTGGGAGGCTGAGGGGCTGAGGGGCTATATGCATACAATACTTAAATAATAAGATAAGTGCCAGGGCTGACGGTCGGATCGTTTACCCTCAAAACAAAAACAGAATAGCCATAAAGATGTCTGTTTCAAAATATTTAAGACTGCCTTTGAAATGTCAATTTTTAGTTAATTTTGGCCATACCAATTTGTCCTTCTTTTACAGATCTTCTTGTCAGGAAGCAAAATTATAATAGATAGGATATTGTAAGGGTTTACCAGTAAACAGAAAATGGGAAATATAAGTCAAAAAGTCAAAAAGTAGAAATAATGTCTTGGCAATATTTCAGCCATCGACTGAAGGGATGCTACAGGCTTACATGTGCTTCACACACTGTACCCAGGAGGGAGAAGACCTGGAGGTCTCGGCATGAGTGAGTGAGTGAGTATGGTTTTACGCCGCTTTTAGCAATATTCCAGCAATATCACGGCGGGGGACACCAGAAATCGGCTTCACACATTGTACCCATATCGGGATTCAAACCCGGGTCTTCGGCGTTACATTCAGCGCTTTAACCACTAGGCTACCCGACCCCCCAATTCTCGGCATGACAGGTGAACAATTCGTTATCACTGAGCGGTCACACAGATTTTAAAAGTTACATAGAACTTCAAACAAAAATATTTTAAAAATAGTTTTATGTTCAATTAGACAAGGTGTTTAATATTTGAATGATATGTGGCTGACTCCTCTGTAAGACAAGACACAAATTGGCCTGACGCTGGTACTTTTTATTGTTGAAATCGACTGACTAGGTTCTTTGGTATGTAATTCAGAATGTTACTAGAACTATGTAATAGGTTTAAATACCCCATGCATGACACCAGTGGCGATTCAAAGCAAACTGTCACCACAAAATGCAAAGGAGAAATCGTAAAATCTATTCACAGATGAGGTGTTCAAATATCTGTATACGGGGCACTCGTTTTGAGAAATCAGTCCACAATCTACACCTCACAAATGCATTACACATCTGTAATAGCAGACTTAAATATTTTCAACTGTCATAATTATGCAAGAACAGCAACAAGTTTATCACACAACCTCTTGTATTAGCCATGCCACTCTAACAAAACAAACATAGCTCAGCTATTTACAAACAAGTAACGTTTTAACAACAAAGTTTGATCCAACCTATCACAAACTGGCTTTTATTAAACCTGATAGGAGTTCTTGTATACAGTTCTATACATAAAAACAAACTAGGTCATAATTGTCATCTCCATGGATACTGAAATTTGGTGTTTGTGAAGAGATCCCTAATTTACACATCATTGTACTGAAAAAATGTCCTGACAACTTTAAAATAATTTTGTGATAAAATTTAAAAAAAGTAAGAAATACTAAACATGCTTGATCCTAGCAAATACAACATATTGCATGTCAGACAGGTGGGGGTGTCCAATCTCATTAAACTCCGATCTTTTACATTGATGTGAATGCAAACAAATACTGTATTCGACATAATAAGCGCCAAGGGCGCTCTCAAAATTAGAAATAGGAGGCTCTTATAAGAATATTATTTTGGTGATTAAAAAAATGGTGTTGAAAAATCGTAAATTTCCTGGTTTATGCTGACAGCCTAGAATGTTTATATATACGACAGATATATTTTCCAGAATTTAATTGCCCATAATTAAGGATGCATATAACACACGTATTATACACGAATAAATAAGTCTTGTGTACATTGATCAATCGGAAGGGGTGCTTATTGGGATTGTTCACTAGCCAATATATTAGCAAATATCATTAGAGCGGGGGGCTTATTACATTGAATACGGTATAGCCGATCATATTGTGGATATTTTATACATCCTGTATTCCCCGCCATGACTTATGATGATGTCGTCAGATCTTCATGCAGAGAAGTATCATATTGGAGTTAAAGATCTGATTTTAATGTGATTTGTGGAGCGCCCACACTTGGTCATCAATTCATGTTTATATTGTGGCACATTATCTCCTATGTCATGTGACTAACATGACCTCTGACCCACATGGTAAGACAATATGAAAGTCTGGGACATCAATTTTGAAGTAAACTGCAGAAATTTAAAAAAAAGTTTCAATAAAAATATGTATAAAATCATTTTTTTTCCAAAAAAATATGATTGATATTCTTGTTCTAATGAGTTGATGTTCTCTTGGGAAAAACAAGATTGACTTAAATATACTGCATTGAAATGTAATGTCATCAATAAGTTCCCAGGGTGGAATATTTCCCCATTCTGAGCTCAACACGGTCTACAAGACATCTGTTTAGCTAACTGTGGAACATGACATCTCATTTGCATTGTTAACTCTGTTAACTGAAGTATACTAAACTCGGCCATCAGGCTGCCATTTCTTCTCCCATACTACTCCACTTTATACACGGATACCGATTTGTTTGATTTTGTGGAAATATTTGGTAATGTTTATTCTAATTTGAAATAAAGCTCAAATTTGAAGTTTCATGAGAATATCAAATATTATTTGAATGACAACATATCCAATGAGAGACAATCATTCCCGTTTTGGAACACAAGGAATATTCTTATTCAAAGTTGTGAAGCGTATGTTTGATTCACACAAAATATCACCAAATTACACAGAAGAATTCAATTTGGAATTCAAAACAATCTTTCCAAGGCAAAAAGTACTCGTGCTGTTTTCACTTTTTGAGACTTGATGAGACACTGGATTTCACGGATGACTCATTACTTTAGTGGGCTGCAACTGATAACAGCTTTCAGTTGTCTCCCTTAGGATTATACCCACGTGGGAGGGTTTTTCAACCACACCAGACCGGCATGCTTTCATTGATTTTCATAAGAACAAAATTACTGCATGTGGATATATTTCACAACTCATTTCATATACGAGGACACAGGAATTAAGTCATCTTCTCCACTAAACATATCTCTATGCATTGCTGTCTATTCGCCAGATACTAATATTTTAAATAGTCTCATTCATTATTAGTCAGAAAAAATTATCATTACCAAATCAATCATTGTTAATTCTTTATTAATAAAATGGGTCAAAAGTTTCCCAAAAGAATATTCGAATGTGAGATGCTAACATTATTGGTTCATAATGACATGAATCTAAGGCCATGATGACTGTTTCCATGGTAACAGAGAGACACGTAATAACATACTGTTGCATGTAGTGGCAACATTAATCATACAGATTTGGCTCCGAGACGTCTATGGATGACAATCATCAGCTAAAAGAATACAACTGAATAATCTGAAACAGTCCTACACATCTGTACCAGGAGGAAATAGTATACTTTAATGTGGTTCCACTATTAAAAAATATTCTCCCTTCTGTATAACAAAAAATTATTTTTTTCCAAATTGGAGAACTGAAAATCATTTGTAAAACTTTCAGAAATCTGTTTTTCACAAAAAATGAATTCCATTTTACTGTAACCATGGTTACTAAAAATCACAAATGGCTACACCACAACACAAAACAATGCAAGCGTTTTCAGATTTAACACCCTCACTGTCAGACTTGAGTTTGATACAGGTGGAGCATGGCATGATGGTCAATAGCACCAAGTACTAAATAGCTGGCAATTGTTACCTCACATTGTCCTAAATCCACTTCAATGCTATAAAGGAGCTCTCTGAGTGTGAACGCTATAGTACTCAACTATGACAGGAATGCTGGGATATTTAATACAGCTGCAAAACTTTGAGGACAGCTTATCGAAATGTCTACATATGTCACTTCTCATTTGAAACAAGCTGAATATCTTCAGTTCCATGGCAATATCAAATATTCATCATAATTGCATCATACAGACTTCCCAACTGGAATGTCCCAAACATAAATTGAGTAATAATATATATAATACGGTGAGTTTTTACTGCAACATCGCCGATAAATATACAAAAGGTAATAACCACTTTGGCCCCTGATCTGCAGCCAAGTTGCCATGAGTTACCTGCTCTTGGCAACAGCTTCAGACAACAGGGATTGAGTAGACTAACATCTAGTCTCTGAAATGAACATATCGTACAGAAAAAAACTTGTTCAATTATCTTAATAAAAATATAATAAAAGGGAACCCAGAGACTCTTCATTTTCAGATACTGATATATATTTGTATCAGGGTCTGTACGACAGACTTGGGATTGAGGTACTTTAATATGGAACACTGGACGTGTCTGATGACACTCACAGAGCCCCTTTAGCTGGGCCGAGGAAGCCCAACCATTATATATATATATGTCACGCTACAGCGGCTGTTCAAGCACTAGCCTCATGATCAACTGTTTTCTCTTTCCGCCACTATTTCACCTGATGAATCCTACTTTTAGCTTGAACCATACATTCATCATTTTATACCATTAATACACTGCCAGCATCTTTGATATAACACTTCCGACAATGAAGCATCCATCTTTGTTTTTCTCTTGATGATTCTGTTGGGGACAGCACATCACCATGACAGCAACAGGGATGCTATTTTCCTCAATACAAGCGATACCTTCTTGTTCTCGAACAAAACATCCAGGAACAATTCCAAGTTTCAGGATGGGTTGATTCAGGTATGTTATTGATACAAACATGTCTAATTGTACTTTGTAAGAAAATTCAGTGGAATGTTTCTTTCATTATTGTTATTGCACAATATTATTGAAATAATTATCACTACACAGGCAAGATGAGAGAGTTGGCAAACCAAACCATGACTTAAACATGGTTGTAATATTGCAGTCTAAGTAAGTAGAATCACCTGACTATAATACGCACATAATAATAATTGAATACTCGATTAAAAGCATCGACAACAGCTAAAATTACTTGATCATGTCAATACTGATTATTTAATTATCTATCAGCTGAAGTGTACATCATTCATTCAAGAGATCAATATCATGCATGCAGTGTCTGTTTCAAGTAGTCAGTTCGTAAAATTAATTTAAAATTGCATGACATTGTTTATCATGATGCAAAACTTAGTTATAACAATGCCAAGATATGCAGTGTTTGTGTCATGTGAGACACACATCTTTGGCGAGATCAGTACGGAATGTTTTTCCATATCACAATCAGAAAACTAGTTTGAGCTATTTTTAAACGAATTAATGCTGACAATTACCTCACAAAGTGTGCGAAATAGTTCTTGCTTGTCCCTATACATTTGCCTCATCTCCATCAGTTTCATTGAGTATTGATGTCTGGAGTCTGACGAAATGATGTCGTAACCTATTCATGCTCCAAGTTGAAATAGAAAGTCAATCCGTGCAGTAACACCCAGTCACATTTGTAACCAGATTCCATAAGTTGTATTCAGGTTATTTGTGTCAAGGTTCAGAGCTGGGATACTCCCCAGGAAGCTGAGAATACACTGCTTGGTTGACTGTATAATTGTACTATTATTATGATTATGGTTATTAAATTCATTGACATTATTTCAAATAAATTTTTCACACTGTAATTACATGTAAATCTTCCACTCTAAATTGTCTCTCATAAATTTAAAAGATCGTAAATTGTTTATACTGTAATGATTATGAATTAACTTTGTGTTTAGACCTGTAGTTATTTCAATGTTATGTTCTAGCCAATCAGAGTACAGATATGACTGGACAATCAAGCACTTGAATGACATCAGTAGTTAAACAGACAATTATGTCGTACTGTACAACTGGTAAAATATACACAATATACATATACACAGTATAAAAATAAAACATAAACGCATCATATAAAATGTCCATATCTGTATGATTGTAATCATTATACATATCTTATTAATTATACACTTCTACATTTCCATTCCCTGGGTTAAATTAAATGTGTACTCAAACATGGACGAGTATTAAACTAGCTATGGTCCCTACTCCATACAAGAAAAAGCTATAAACTGCTTCTTTCCCAAAATGCAACAGGAGACAGGAAGTTTTGTCGGAGCTCCTGTTCATCTTCTGAATCTGGCTGGTCATCACAGAGGTCGCTTGTATCGAGGTCCCACAGAGGTCATTTTGCGAATGTGGCACTGCGTTGGCGTCGCTGGCCTTGTCTTGGTGATGGTCCATCCCCAAATATAAACCCGAAACTAAAATTAAAAAGATTCATTGAAATAATTAGCAGAGTAAAAATTGGAGAAACACAATCTGATTCTGGAAATTTAATCCAAAGATTTTCAACAAATGATAACAATTATTAGAACATAACGAAGTAATGAAATCATTCTTTTAACAAGCAAACATGAATTCTTTTGTAGATTAATATTCAAAGATTTTAACCTTGATTTAACCATGATAACATTCAACCCAGTTGAGCTACACACCATTCACACAATTCAACAGTTGATAACATTCAGGACTGATAAGTTATCACAAAACGACTGAGGAAAGGTATTAAGGTAATAAGATATATTGTCTGCGAAAGTCAACAGTGAATGTGTGACTGCAGATTAACAGCTGATCCAATCATATCTGAAACAAACACACAACAGTGACAACAGAAAGAAAGCATAGTTTTTGCATCCTGCAATCAACTCCTAATGTGAAAAAAGCTTTGTGGTGTACCACTCGTCAACAGAACCCACTACAGGCCAGACCAAGTTAATAACTTGATCTTTGGATTTTCTTCTCCAAAAAGATGATACTGGGGACAGTTTGTTTTAAAATGATAATACACTGCGATAGATCAAATGAAATTGTGAGTGAGTGAGTGAGTATGGTTTTACTCCGCTTTTAGCAATATTTCAGCAATATCACGGCGGGGGACACCAGAAATGGGATTCATATATCATATCCATTTGGGGAATCAAACCCAAGCCTAAGGTGTGATGAGCAAACGCTTAAACCACTAGGCTATCCCACCAACACATGAAATAAACATTTTTGGTTCATCTGAGTATAATATTTTCAATCAAAGATTTAGATAAGATTTTATTCTTGCTGTTCCCAAAACATTGCATTAGCTACATATTAAGACATTTTCAGTAAATGTTGACAATATGACAAAGCTGAACACAATTTCTGTTCACTGCTATATCTCCTTTGTAAAAGCATGTTATGACTTTACTAAAGACATAATCAACTTGTTGTGGCCTGAATGTATAGTTGTGGGGGGGATGTAGAGGTTGACATCACTATGCACCATAAAGCCTTGTGCACTCTGCTGAGATACAAATGTGAGATCAAATAATTAAGAACAGATAAAAACTATGTTACTTATCAAAACATGACTGTTTGCCCAATCTCATTAAAATAAGATCTTTCACAGACACTTTTCCTCTCTGCATGAAGATCGGACACCTCCATAAAAGATCATGTTGGGTTTACTTTCATATCAGCCAATCAGCATCAAGGTATCTAAATTCTTGGTATGAATGAGCGAATAATTCAGATCAGCATATCTTATTTCTGTATCTTGACGATTAACTTTAACCAGTTGAGAATAATAAAGACTGCACCACATGACTTTGTTGTGGACATTTTACACCATCTCTCATTTCTCAGCATCATGGTGTCCACCAAAACGACGGCAAAAGGGAGTACCATCTAAGGATTATCTTTCTTTTTTTTCTTGTGATGAAATCAAAACTTAGGAATCAACGTGGTAAAAAATGAAGCCAAATATATTTAGAAAGCTGACATTTGATTGGTTCATTTAGATTCAGGTGTCAAAGTTCATCAGGGTTTGCCCGACCTTCACCATGAGGTCTTCATGCAGAGAAGTAGTGTACCAGAGTAAAAAGATATTCTCTTAATGAGACTGAAGCCTGCCATGCATGGCCCATGCATAGCTTTTAAACAAGAGTCTTCACCACTGAATGGTAATCCAACAAGTGTCTGCCATGCGAAGCATCAACAAAATGAGGAAACGGTGCTCATAGAAGTAAATAGTACATCAACACTAAATGTTAGAGTGATCTCCCCTGAATATGAATCTTGCCTCCACTGCCAGATAGCAAAGATACACTTCCTCAATGTGAGTTGATTTGTCGGACATACGCAGACAGGACAGGGACAACAAGCAGCATACTACCGGGTACCCACCATTAGCAGACAGTAAAAACATGAATGAGTGAGTGAGTTTTCTTAACTTTGCTTTGAACAGTACATCATTTATATCACGGTGTGTCAGCTTGATGTGGGAGCCAAAGTCATAGATGTTCATTACTTTGGTAAAACCCAAGAGCATGGGTATGGTGCTGACAAACCTAGAAATATAATCAGGACGAACCAGGATTCGAATCCACGATCACAAGCTTCTGGCTGCCTAAGTGACATACACAGCACAGTGAAATGCATTGACGTATGGGACGCCCATGCCCCAGGAACAATACTAAGTACTGCTCATGATGTGAGACTCGTTGCAATAAAAAATTTGATACACTTTAGGGGGAGCTCTCAATAATATTCCAGCAATATCATGGTGGGGCATGCCAAAAGCTAGCTAAACACATTGTACATTTATGGGAATCGATCACTCCTTCATCCTCGATTGTCCAGTGATTACATCACTGTTCTACTGTGATAAATACCCCGGACCCATTCACCCCCATAGCTTTTTCTGAAAGTGATGTCACCTGGCACGACTCTTCTACCACTAACTAACACACAATTTTTCTCGTTCATGATCTTGAGTGTGAGTGAGTAAGTCTGATTTTATGCAGCTTTTAGCAATATTCCAGCAATATCATGGCCAGAAATGGGCTTCACAAATTGTACCCATGTCGGGAATCGAACCTGGGTCTTCGGCGTTTCGAGCCAACGCTTTAACCACTAGGCTACCTGACCGCCCCTCATGATCTTGAAATCAACAGTCTGTCAAAAATTTCTTTACTAAACGCGAGCCTCACATAGATCTACATTCCAAATTGCAGCCCTGTCCGAGCAAGCCCTTGATACATAATTGAATAAGAAGACTATCATAATGAAATTTCAGCTTTAAAAAATATCACGAGGGAAGTATATGCTACAAGATGTTCTGGTCGTATTTGAGACGGCACACAAAAGTCAAGTCTAGTATGGCTGCTTGCATCAAACATGATTTCTTTGTTGTTTGTTTGTTTAACACCGCACTCAGCAATATTACAGCTATATGGCGGCGGCTCTGTAAAAATGTCTGGACCACACAATCCCGTGATTGGCATCATGAGCATCATCCTCACAATGGGGATACGATGACCAATTCTAACCTGGATTTTCCCAGGGGGTTCCCAGCATGACAGAACAGTGTTATTTGAATGGAGTAAAATTTAGCGACATTTCATTTGACCCCTGGATTCCCTGGATAACCGAAGATGTCTTCAGTTACTGTATAGCGTCGAAAGTGGACACACTACGAATTCAGCCAGCAACTGGTCAGACATTCACATTCAATCAAACTGAAAGATACCAAATGTTTTCCTTGATAATATTGATTTTGAAAATATATCTTTTACAAAAATAACTAAAGTACTTTCATGTTGGGCCCTGGAAGAGGCTCTCTAGTACTAAATAAGGTATTTTTACCTCTTAAAACCTTCACAAACTCGCCATAATAAATCCCAGAAGACCAGTGCTACTGATTATTTAGCTACTGATAACTGAATTTAACCATCCGGCCTGGAAATTTACAGATTACCATATGAGTACAATATGTGAACCCCATTTCTAGTGTTAGAACATTGCTAAAATCAGCGTAACACCACACTCACTCACTCACAATTATTAATGATGACAACTATTTCAGGCCAAATATTCAGGGGAGATAACTGCAGTTAAAAGCAAACAAAGCAGCAAAGACCAGAACTGGACAGTGACTGACGTGTGTAACTAATACATACATTACAAATCCAGTTGTGGAAGGCTCAAGTTATCCAATAAAGTCTGAAAGCTAAGAGGAGACAACAAGCTATCAATGTTTCTCATCTGCTAAAAAAAATTGCAGAATATTTTTAGTATTTGTTTGTTTGTTTAACGCCGCACTCAGCATTATTCCAGCTATATGACACGGTCTGTAAATAATCGAGTCTGGACCAGATAATCCAGTGACTGACATCATGAGCATCAATTCACGCAAGGGGGATACGATGACATGTATCAACCAAGTCAGTGAGCCTGACCACCCGATCCTGTTAGTCGCCAGTAGGATATATAACCAGCTGATGCGTGTTTCTATATATACTACTCACCATCTGATAAGGGTATTCTGAGTGTCCAGTTGGAAGAATAAATCTGACTGGTTGTTAATGTTGTATGAATAGGGAGTGATTCGGGCATGATAGTGACTCATGTTAGTGAGTGAGTGAGTGAGTGAGTGAGTGAGTGAGTGAGTTGGGTTTAACGCCGCTTTTAACAGTATTCCAGTTATATCACAGCATGTCAGCTTAATGTGGGAGGAAAGCCCGAAGTGATGCAGGTCTCAGACGTTTAACACTTCGGTGAAACCCACGGGCACGGGTATGGTGCTGACAAACCTAGAAACATAATCGGGGCGAACCGGGATTCGAACCCACAATCATAGGTTTCTTGTGTGCCCAAGGGACGAAACTCTGTACAGCGAATCGCGTCACCTTAGACGACTGGGCCACCCGTGCCCCAACTCATGTTAAACTTTATTCAAGTTATAACAAACAAAAGTTAACATTTATATACAGTGTTCCCTCGTTATTTCGCCCTTCAATATAGCGCTAACTCGGTTATAACACGCTGTACATCATGGCTCCCAAAATTTACTAACATTTTTAATAAACTCAAGTTTTCAAATGACACAATGTTTTCCCCCATCTCAGAAAACATTATCAGCTGATCACCGCGATCACGTAACACCGGAAATACCAGTCAACTAATCCGAACTGAAGTACGCAATTTAATCCTAGTTATGATTATTATGATGTCAGGTAGATCTAATAAAAAAAAAGTTCATTCTTTATCTGGACTAATGTTTGCAATATTTTTTTAAAATTTTATTCAAAATTTCATTTAATAATTATATTAATGTTTACAATAATTTGGGCGAAATCGTATGCGAAGTGATTGGTAGATCGCACAACTCACCGTTATTTACAGCAACCACGGTCAGATTACCGCCATTGACGCCTTGAAACGAACTTTAGTTGCAAGAGAATGGATACAGATATCATAAATGCCATACCACGACTCGCTAAAAGTCATATTTGAGGCAGTTTGACTATCAAATGTCAACAAAATGTTTTCGCAATCGAAATACATGAAGCGCGCAAAGTCCCTACGGTGACTGGTCAAAATCGTTCCATACGTCAAAAAATATCCTGCATACAATCTGTACCAAAGTGCTATGTTTATGGTTCTTATAATTTTAAGTAAGTAAATATGATGGAAGCTCCAACTAAAATAATACGATACTGGAATATATTATTCCTGATAAAATAATATTTTCAGATACAATTTCTTCCAACAATCCTGCATCAAAATTCTTTGAGGTTGTATCATTGGGTGCATTTTACCTGAATCACCGGTACATACAGAGGAAACGTGTGCACAGCTGATTGCTATTTCCGGCTTCGTTTACGAGAAAATACACACGGTGATCTTAATCTCTGCATATAAAACAATGCCTTGAGAGCAGGAAATGCATTTTAAATGGTAAATCATCATGTCTAGTGATGTTTTATATCAAATTTCATACTTTTATTGACCAAGTTTGTTATACCTGTTATTCACCTGAATTTGCTGAAGGGATACGACGTGTTTGGGTTTTTTTGAAAGCGCATATAAAAATACTCGATAAATCTTTTTTTTTACACTGTCAGACTATGAATCATAAATAACTTCTATTCTAATCTTTTTTTGAAACTCTGAAACCTGCAACATAGATTATGTTACGTAGGCAGAGCATGTACTATTTGGTTGATCATCTACCACCAACGACTCGACCTTCATTAAACCGCTGATCATCTATAACGCTCATCAATTATTTGGACCCCGAAGGTAGCGTTTTAGCGAGGGATCACTGTATGTGTCTCCTGACTTTCGTAAGCATGTGAGCTAGCATAGTATCCTTATCAGGAGTTGAGCAGTATATACCACATCCTATAGTACTACCTCATCTTTCATCATTGTGACTATTAGAGACATTACAGGGAAGGTCATGGGACCGAGCCAACAGTGTCGACTTTCACGGACTTCTAATTGTGTAACGCCGCACTCAGCAATATTCCAGCTACATGATGGCTGCCTGTAAATAATTGTGTCTTGATCAGACAATCCAGTGATTGATTGTACAAGATAAGATCCACGACACACAAGAACCAAGTCCCCAGGCCTGATCACCCGATCCACTCTAATGACCAACATAAGTGCCTGGGGACAAATTTTAACCCCGAATATCAACGGGATTTAAGGGCCTAGAAAATGTTCTAATTATCAGGAAACTACTTAAACAACACTAGTTGTGATATGATGAATATAGATTGACTCAGACAGGGCCATACACATGTATCTAGTTCCCTGGTGTTCCTTTGTGATGAAGGAAGCGTCAACACGAGAGAGGAATGAATACAGAATTTTTAATTTGTTACACATCACAGATTGAAATATATTGAAACTGACCTGTAATGCTTGTTTTATATATACTACTCAAAAGAAGTTAAAGAACACCCGATTATTTCATGCATGACAGATTAACTATAGTAATATGAACAAAATCGGTCGTCTTTAACTTCTTTTGAGTTGTATATTTAGAGCCAGACACAATATGACACAAACATTGTTAGTCAGAACATCATGATGTCATCTCTAATCTGGACAACTTAAATCAATCAAACCCTTGTCACGATGCCAACAATAGAAACATACATGTGATAAAAACATATAACCACACCACCCGCCATCTATCAAACATTACGGACAAAGGTTATATGACGATGATAACTATCACAATTTCAAAATGCACGACAAACACAGACCAGAGTGAGACTTACACAACAGAACACTGGGACTTAACTAGCACTGATAGACCAGAAGATATGACTTGTGGAAAGGGAGACAACTCATATGGAATATATACAGATTACCACAAGAAAATAACTGAAACTGGCAATGGAGGCAATTCATGTCCTATTCAACATGCAATGATCCCAACAGTGGGCATAAATGAACAGATACATGTGCATATAATGATTGTAATGAGATTATATTAGGGTATCAGTGCAAAATGATATTTAATATATAGGTGTTTGAACTGTAAAACTCTGACAAGAAATAAAAGGTGCACACATTTAAACTTTCAAGAGCAAACCATTCATGAAGCATCTTATGGAGAAAATATTAGTCACTGACTACTAAATATATAAAGTCTATAATGCTTTTGGTCAAATATGATGTATATCTCATCCAGTGAAATCTGAAAACCATACTTTCTGTGTAATTTTAGGACAGGAAAATGTGACTTTTGATGAAAATAAGACTTTTACTCTTTTCATATCATTTCAGAGTCACAGTTATGCTGTTGGTTGTTGTTTTGTTGTTTACCGCCGCACTCAGCAATATTCCAGCTATATGACAGCGGTCTGTAAATAATCGAGTCTCGAGACAATCCAGTGATTGATATCATGAGCATATGTACACCATGTACATACTACACTATCATCTCATTTGGGCCAGTAAATATTATGTCCTATTAATTGCATATTAATTAACATTTCAAACTGTTTGAACTATAAAAAAAGAAATTATTCTTGTTAGCCAGTATTAGTGAACCAATATTATTGTACTATTGTGCCTGAAATCTACTTGGCAGCAACTATCAAAATTCAACTGAAGTTCTCTGTTTGACTAAAACAGAAGTTAAATTACACCCTTTTTTTTCTTATGACACAGTTAATCTGTCAGGTCAGGCCATATTAACTTCAGTCACATAAAAACATGATGATCTTCTTTAACTTCTTTTGTTTTATTTACTACTCAAAAGAAGTAAAAGAACACTCAATTCTTTCATGGCATGACAGATTAACAGATTCAGTAGTATATAGTAATAGCGCAATCTACAGACAGACTGTACATAAAAAATTTCTTGTAACAAATATATTCAATAAAATGATTCAAACTATAAAAACTGATACTTTGTCATCATTTACATTACTAAAAAATTATCTCCATTTAATTTTTGTTTTAATTAAGGCCACACATTTTTTATTTTTCATTTCACAGGCCCACCTCCCCTATTGAAAAGCAGAAAAAGAAAAAATATAACACATACAATACAGTCTCCCACTAGTAATATAGACCCTCTTATACAACATAAATGTTATATATTCATTCCATGTCTACATCACTATCAGTGATTCAAGACGCCAGCTGCAGTTTTAACTCCAGAATGACTTTTATATGTATTAATAAATGATTGACATGGCTATTCATTTATATTTTGACCGACTTTGTGTAGAAAGGCTGGAATAAAACGAAAAAAGTGTGGCCTAACTGCTATATTGTCACGGTGAGTAGACTATGAGTAGACTGTACGTCATATCAGCCGACCTCATCCACATCAACTTGAGACACCACGCCAGCAGCTGATGAAGGTCACAACGCAAGCAAAGGTCACCCTGGCAACAGGTCAGATAAGGGCCAGAGCTCCGTTCCATGATCTTAGCTCTAAACCTATCATCAGTCTCATTCTTACGACAGTCGTAAGCATAAGATTGTTTTGTGGAATGGAGCGAAAGGACGGTTTCTTAACGCGATCTTAGGGCTAAGAACTTACCTCCCATAGTTTGATTTTTAAAATACACTTTCAAACACATAGAAATTACATGGAAGTGTGGAATTGAAGGCCCCAGTTCCCCAACGTAATCCTAGTGTTAAGACAATCATAACTCTCGTAGTTTAACATAGACTTATGACAGTCGTAGGGCTCACATTGCTTTATAAAACTGGGCTTGAGCACCCGGGCCCACTTGCACAAAGCGATCTTAGCGCTAAGACTATTGTAAGCCTATGTTAAAGTATGGGAGTTATGATCATCTTAGCGCTAAGATCGCTTTGTGCAAGTGGGTCCTGTTCCACAAAGTGATCTTAGTGATAAGATGATCATAACTCCCATAGTTTAACATAGACTTTGAGAGTCATAGGACCAGGACTGCATTGTTGAATTACAGGCGCGTTCCACAATGCAATCTTAGTGCTAAGACAATGTTAACTCCCATAGTTTAACATGGACTTTGAGAGTCATAGGGCTTTGTCAAATGCGGCCTAGACTCAACCCAATATACACAAGACTGTCTTCTTGTTCTTGGCATGTCCTAATTTATTTTCTGAATTTCAAGGAATCCCATATGACATTAATGACATTATTTAGGGTCACCATTTTTACGAAAGCAAATAATGTTTGTTTTGCTATTGTTACTGTGAGTCAGACAGACCAGTATTAGTGTGTTCTGCAGGGCAGTCAATAATGAAGGCCACATTCAAAATGTCACTCGGCAAAAACAAGGTGTTAACAAATGAAGATGAGTCATGGGAGATAACAGACTGTTTACAGGTGCTAGATGTACATAGTACTGTTATATAACAGCTATATATACTCAGAGGTATTTTAACATTGTTTTCTTATGTTGTATTTGTTGCAATAAGATAAAACTAAGCATTAAAACCACTTCCTACTTATTGGTCCTGTTATCAGTGAAATACAGGCAACCTCTACAAAGCTAAACATTAGTCATTAGTGACATACATTGACATGAATTCAGAAAATTTTAAGGCTGCGGCCTTGGGCCTAAATATCAGGTCTTTATTAAAAACTGCATGGTAATCTTATTTGATGCAATTTTCAAAATACTGCTATTTCTATTTACGATGAGTCATTTTTAACACAACATATTTTTGTTCAACATGCCTAGTTTGTACAGTAACATGCAATTGATTGTTTTTAATAACATGTGTTTCAGCCAACGTAGTATTTTATCTCCCTACCAGAGTCTTGGTGACTAAACCCATACAAGATATGTGATTTTTTTTATTTACTTCACTTTATTCATTACTTGTAGGCCTTTTAGTACAGACGAAATACAATTTAGGTGCAAACAGTATAAGATGTAATACATTTCCTTGCTTTTTTAAAACAAAAGCTGAGTGAGTTTTAACATAATTGCATATTATGCATGTTGGAGTATTTGTGTTCTTACAGCATTGGCATAAAACAAGTACTTTGCTGTATTCATATTGATAATAGGGTCTTGCGATGACAGTAGTGTATTAAACTCTAGAATATTTGGAAAGATGTAAAATTTAGATTCTATGCAACTTTGCCTAAGATGGCTAAAAGCTGGACAAATTAACAAAAAGTGATATTCATTTTCAATATGGTTTAAGTAACAAACTTAACATTTTCTAAATTCACGAGGAATATTATAATGTCATCACATTTAATTTCTAAATTGTGAGAATTAAGCCGAAAATGAGTTAATATGGTTCTGAATTTATTCACAGTAATACTACTCCAATAGTAGCATGTGGTCATGTGATCTCCTGGTACTGTTCCAGCCTGAATACTGGCTTTGGAAAAGATGGCTGTGCACTTGACATCATGCTCCACGAAAGGAAATAATAAACAAATAATTTGTTTGGTAGTCTCGTGTTGAAAACACATCACCATTAGTTTTGGTTATATGTTGCTTTTTCACCTTTGGCATGTTTGGCATATGAAGGGCAGACAAGTTTTTTTTCTTGTATCACAGATTCTTTGGACCAAAATTTTGAAGAAGGAAACTAAAAATAAAATAAAGACATCATGAATCAAGATCTTTGGGGGTGTTGTAAATATTTCCTACATGTTTCGAAGAAGGATAAAAAAGAAGAAGCCGTAAATCAGACCAGATGGGCCATGTGGTCATGACATTCAATGACAAATCCCCATCTGTGTCAGTAAGCTTCATTTCAGCTGTTTCCTAGGTAGACAGCTGTTCTGTTTAGTGAACGTTACGCTAATGTTCTTTGTAGACCGCCCTAGAAACGCCCTAAGCAACAGATTCCCAAAACTGCCGCCATTTCCAGTGATGTACAAATGTACATACAACAGTAATCAACAAGAAGTGATTTGATGGGTAGAGACACAGCAGTCGTCCATTGAAATGTATTCACACGTCTGCTAATGGCAAGTGTCCATTGCAGAAGACATCCCTTTCATTGAGAAACCGATCAACATTTTAATGATGGCGGTATAATAGTTAAAAAAAAAAAGAAAGAAAAAAAATCAAGCAAAATTCATTTAGACAAATCCATAATACAAGAACAAAAAATTGTCTGACCTTTTGAAGAAAATATAAGGAGGGAGCGTTCAACCCTGCTCCTCCCTTCCGGACCCATCAGTGTGTATAACAGTTTATAGGATGTCAGCATTGGAATGGAAATACTAGCTATCATCATATCTTATCTACGTCTATAGTAAAGTGCAAGGCGAAAAAAACATACTGCAAACATGTCATGCAAAGAGGAGTTACCAACAAAATGCTCAAAATTCATACACCTATTTGTCATAGTGACATTTGTTTGAAATGGTCAAGGTCGAACTTTTAGAGATATTCAACTTACAATTTGCGAATGCCTCCTTCCCGCTTGGCACCTGGCACCTTCTCTTCCGGCTCTCTGTTGATTGGTCCGTACACAAGCACCTCCTCCCCCCGATATGAAGACGTCCTGCAGGCAGCAACAAGTCACATGTAGCTCGGCAATAAAGAGTGAATCAATGAGTTTAACGCCTCTTTGAAAAGTATTTCAGTTACCGTATTTCCTCTAATAAGCACCCTGGGATTTTTCTTTGAACAAACTTAAACAGGCGCTCAATATTTCTAATACGGTGTTACATACAATAGAATTTTATGCTCTTGATACAGAATACTGCCACTTATTGTGTTGTACGCTGCTTTGTATGAACCGCTTATTGAAGGCTGGTGCCTATTAGAGACCCGGCAAGTATTAGAGTAAATATGGTATGTCACTGGGTATCAGCTTGACATGGGAGGAAAACCTGGAGTGATAATCATGAGTATGGTACTGACGGACCTAGAAACATAATCAGTTGCATCTGGGATTCAAATCCTAGGGGATGCATCTCTGCATGCCGATTTGTGGCGCCTTAGATGAGTGTGCCCCCCCTGGCCCCAAGTTAAAAGTCATGCATCTGCTACATAAATTTCAAAGTTGACACCTCTTGAAAATGGGATTTAATAATCTAGCTTCACTGAAACCTTGTTGACACAAAGTCGTTGACACCAATAAGAATACATTGATTATCATTAACTGGAGACAAGGGGTGACGATATCAGACCACTGTGCTAATACGGATTTCCGTACATTGTGAACATGTGTAACAATTAATTGGAATATTAGTTAAGGAAAATGTATCATGGTACATTCTATTTTTAGTACCATAGGAGGGTCTGCAGGGGTGGGTGATTGTGTTTTAATAATACACTAATTGAGGATATATCAGAGGGTTTGGAGGGGAGGGTATGGCAGAACAATACAAAGGCTGGTTATATTGTAACAATGGACACTTTAGGAGGGTCTGGAGGGGTGGGTGCAGGTGTTGCAGTATAATACTGATTAAGGCTAGTATATGACAGAGGACACTTTAGAAAGATCTGGATGGGTGGTGATGCAGTTTAATACTATTATGTCAGGATATAACAGAGGACAATTTATGAGGGTCTAGAGGGGTGGGTAATAGTGGGTGCAGTAGCATAATACAAGATGACAATGATACAAAGACACTTTAGGGGCATCTGGAGGATGGGTGATTGGGGATGTTGCAGTATACTACTGCCACTTCGAGCCCTGACAGAGGAAAAGTAGAAAGCATTTTGTTCTCCATCACTGAGACACACAACACCCACTCCCATGTCATACTCCCGCCTCATTCTACATCCGTATACAGCACAACCAAACAACAACACCGAAAGTGAAACTCTCCAGGAGGAAAGAGAACAATGAAAGAAACTAAGTATTAGTCGTGGATGTCAGGGGTCCAACAACAGTGTTTGAGTTGAAATTTGATTAAATGTTCTGACAAATCAACATCAAAAGGTCAGTGTATCAGTTGAAAGCTGTTTGTTCACACAGCAAACAGAATAGATCAATAGATTACAGCACAGACTCGGATTGATGTCAATTTTAAAAGTATGGGCCAGAATTCAGTAATACAAGGCTAGGGGACCTGTATTACCAAGAAAAGGAGTGAGTGAGTGAGTATGGTTTTACGCCGCTTTCAGCAATATTCCAGCAATATCACGGGCGGGGGACACCAGAAATGGGGTTCACACATTGTACCCATGTGGGGAATCGAACCCAGGTCTTCGGAGTGACGAGCAAACGCTTTAACCACAAGGTTACCCCATCCCCCCACCCCCCCCCACCCCCCAGAAAAGGAGGATCAAGGAGGGGAGATAACTCACATCTTCACTTCTCTAACCTGCTTGTTGCAGACATGGAAGAGAAATGGTTCAGCGTCTGGACGCATTTTGACTAAGACGATGCCAAGAAGAGACTTTGAAATATCCACTGTGGCATTTAACCTATGAAAGGTCTGGGTTGGGTTTTCATAAACAGGTAGTTAGGTCCTTATTCATCTACCCGATAAAGCCCAACTAGATCATAAACTCTTCAGGTTCTGAGAGTGAAAGTCGAACACATACTGATCCATTGATTGTAATAATGTAGCACTTCTAGCTTGCCCCTGTCTGGTGTGGAAATATAGCGCTACATAAAGGGAGTTACCGTATTCGACGTAATAAGCACCCCACTCTAATAAGCGCCTACGGCGATATTTGCATATATATTGGCTAGTGAACAATCCGAATTAGCAAACCTTCCAACTAATCAATGTACACAAGACTTATTATTTGTGTATACTACGCACTCATGTGTTATATGCACCCTTAATTATGGGCAATTAAATTCTTGAAAAATATATCTGTCGTATATAAACATCTCACGCTGTCAGCATAAACCATGAAATTTACGATCTGTTTTTTTCACCAAAATAATATTCTAATAAGAGCCCCCTGTTTCTAAGTTTGAGAGCGCTTGGGCACTTATCACGTCGAATACGGTATTATGAATATTATCATATGGAGTAAGTGCGCACAAACAAGAGCTGAATGAGAACCAACATAATCACCGCTTCAACACAACTGATTCCATAACAGATCACAACCGCTTGGGTAAAAGAAGAGTGGAAATGATCTGTCTAACCCAGTGTGCAAGACTTTGAAATATTAGAAATTAAACCAAATACATTTGTGATGAACTTCAGACATGATGAACAGGAACAAGACCTATGCATCTTGAAGGGTCAATCAGCGATAGTAATATTCCTCAAAAGAAGAACAACTAATGATTATTTGTTGGACTCAGGTTACCCCAGTGTGTAGCTTTGTACACTGACTATTACTAATTTAATTCATACATCATATAGAAGAAATACAAGTACCGTATTCACTGTATTAAGGGCACTAGTCCAATATATGCCCCCTGACAAACATCTCGTCCAGTCTCTATATATTCCCTATAAGTAACCCCTTCTAAGACTGAAAATTGACATGACAGTCCATATTATTTTGTGTATATTAAACTATTTGACAGAAAACAGTGCAGAAAGGATATAAAATCGCCTAGAAACTATTGTAAAAACAGTTTCAGTTTCAACTAAACTAAGTTTGTTCCTTACCACTCGATCTCTGAAAACAAATTTAACTCATTGTGTATGGTTGTAATAAGTGCTTCCTTTAGTAAAGTTCCTAAGTACCCTGGCACTTATTACAGCAAATATGGTATGCCTGAGTGACCTTTACTACTCTAAACAGTTCAGAAATAACCCAATAACTAAAAAGATAAACAGATAAAATTAACAACTTACCTACTTGGACACAAAGAGCAAGTTATATTTGTGAAACATATATTAACCAGTAGGGGTGACTATTGGTCTGGAAATCACTATTGCGATAACTATTGTTATTGCAAGCAACTATTGCGATAAATATCGATAGTTTTTAGATGGATTTTAGAGTTGAATTAAACCTTTGAACTGAAGTTTCCTTTGAATGTGATAACCATAAGACTTCCAAACACTCGATTTTCCACCCAAGTTTATCACAAACTCCACTTGACTCACCCTCCACCATTTTACCTTAAGAAAGATCGGTTGCTAAGCATCAAGGGCAGTTAACTCCTTACTCGGCTGCATTCGCGAGCGTGTTTCGGTGACTCAATCGCATGATACCGTAAATACAATCGAAACTATTGATATTCCTAACTGAAATCTATACTATTGATCGGAAACTGATTTAACAATCGATTTATTGACTTTAAATGCCAACCAATAGCAATATATGGATATTTTGATTTATCGTGACACCTCTATTAACCAGTAAATGTCATGTGTTTTCATTCTTATAAGGTATATAAGGTACTGCTTTTTAAGTCATCACAAGTGCAGCAACATATTTTAATCACTCTCTGACTGACCCTTCAAAATAACTGGCAAGTATAGTTCTAACACAGCTCTGAGGATCAGAAAAGGGAGGTTACTCACGCATCTCCTCTACCGTCGCTCGCCTCTCTTCAGGGAAAGAGATAAAGAAGTTAATACCAGCCACATGCAACATGCAAACAGTACAGGCCACTAAAGATGCATGATTCTCAACATGATAGGCAGAATAGCCATGCCAACAGGCGAGGGTACTTTATATTCAATAAACATAAATATCTCTTCAAAGGATCCCTTTCAATCCTGAGAAATTCTGACACTAAAGAAAATATCAATCAGGCATTTTCTATTAATGAATAAGTTTACAGATTCACTGATTAAAATTTCACAAATTTTGATATATATATTGTTTTCAATATTGAGAAGTCATATCGATAATCGTTGATATTTTTCTCATTGACATTAATTCCAATTATCAACCTTTTAGCCGGCCCTACTTGTCAGAATAAAACTTTCATTATTTTTCTTTATTGCACCCAACCAAAATTCTTTTCACATGAATTCTGTAAACCATTTTTTTAAATGTATTCCCTATCATGTTGAGACAAGAGTTACATTACAGACAGATAGACAATCTTCATTAGAATGAGATCTTTTAATCTGACATGATATTTCTCTGCGTGAAAAAATAAAGACTTCATAGAAGGTTGTGTCAGGTGAACTTTCCAAAAGTTAAACAACAACCAGTTCCGAATAAAGATAATTAAGGCACCACCATTACATAGGCTCTGTCATTAATGATCACCATGGCATCTGAACCCGAAAGGGAGTGCCACCAATCTCATTCAAATCAGATCTTAGTTCTCACTGCCGCTAAACAAAGATCTGAGGACATCCCATTATGGGTCACGTCAGAACAACCTTTAATCCGACCAATCAGAGCATTGCTTATTAGGTTATGAAAGTGACAGTTGGAATGTGATTTTTTTATCATGCAACCTCAAAAAAAAACATACCGGGTATTCCGAATGACAGTTATGGGCTTTATGACTCTATTCATACAGTCTAGACAATCTAAAAGCCATTCCAGAATGTTTTTTTGTTCAGTCTTTAATCAAGTATATGTCAAAATATGTTTCGAAGCGTAGTCGCCAGTTTGAAACTCATGCCATTAGGCTCGATTAAGCTGCCTTCTGATTGGCTAATGGCGACTTCTTGTCGATCATTCCATTGGTCGGTCAAAGTTCGCGAAAGGTCGGTCTGACATGACCCATAATGGGATGTCCTCAGATCTTTGTTTAGCGGTTGCAAGAACTAAGATCTGACTTAAGAGACTGGGAGTACCACTAAAGAAGTACTTGTGTACTGTTTTTGAATGTGTAAAACATCAATCTAATCTTATCAGAGCAAAAGATCTGATCTTAATGAGATTGGAAAGACAGCATGATTCTATACAGATACTACTAAAAAAAAGCTGAGGACCACCCCCTTTTTTGCATATTACTATAGTTAATCTGTCATGACATGAGTGAGTGAGTGAGTTGGGTTTAACGCCGTTTCAACAGTATTCCAGTTATATCACGGCGTGTAAGCTTAATGTGGGAGGAAAGCCCGAAGTGATGCAGGTCTCAGACGTTTACCAGTTCGGTGAAACCCATGAGCACGGGTATGGTGCTGACAAACCTAGAAACATAATCGGGGTGAACCGGGATTCGAACCCTCAATCATAGGTTTTTGGCGTGCCCAAGGGACGCAACTCTGCACAACGAATCGCTGCGCCTTAGACAACTGGGCCACCTGTGGCCCCGTCATGACATGACATTATGTATTATGAAAGAAGCGGGTGATCCTTAATATTTTTTTTTGTAGTATGCAAGCATGAGCTAGTATACAAGGAATACATAGGCGATGTTTTAAGTCTGAGATGAGATTAGCAGTCAAGACACCACTTACAAAACGTTACGAAGCAAGCACTATTACTATTAGCGAGACCTATATTACACTCTCATATTACAGCACTGGAATGGAAGTATAGTTGTTAGGAGCTTGTTTGCATCTGCACATAAAATAAGCAGAGGAATTTGATTGGCTCGTCATTTACAATGTCATTTACCATCCAAGATACCTGGATATTGAATAAATATATCAAAGAGTGTTTTATGTCCAGATAGGGGAGGTAACTCTAGTCAGTTAGCAAGGGATTCAGATATCCAGAAAGTCTTTTAAATGCAAGTGGCCGAATAAGCAAGATTTGACTGAATAAGCAATCTTACAACTGGGTTACATCAATACGTGGCAATTGTGCATTATAGTAGTTACTAGTAGTAGTTTATTTTCAGTCAGGCAAGGAAATGAGGCCGTGCCAAATGATATACTCCATGCGGTGACTTTGTGTGTACACTGCCGTGGCCTCATACTGAAGGTGAGGTGAAATGGGGCACAATTCCAGTTATATGACAGTGATCTGTAAATAATCGAGTGTGGACCAGACAATCCAGTGAGTGACATCATGAGCATCGACCGATGCAATTGGGATATGATGACATGCATCAACCAAGTTCACCCTGACCACCCCATCACAGTAGTCGCCTCTTACGACAAGCAGAGTCACTTTTTACAACAAGCATGAGTTGCTGAAGACCTCTTCAAACCGGATCTTCACGGGTTCATGAATACTATCGCAATTGATGGACAGCCTTACAGATGAGGATGCGCTATTTTGATTGACAGGAATGATAGAACAATGTTACCAAGGATATGTTAGACCACAGGGAGGTAATTTGAGCAGTGTCAACCCGTGACATAGCTCAAACGTGTACTTCATCGCTGGGATGAAGTACTGTAGGCTCGTTTCATTGTTTAGCAAAGCATCTCAGAAACATTCATAACAAATAATTCAACTAACAGTTGAGCTTAGGGCCCCTCGTGCGGTGTAGTGCAGCTGTACCTGGTACCATGATTCAGTGACAGTACAGATCAGCTCATCATGACACAGTTACATGCATAACAGCTGATGGCTACAACACTAAGACCGTGGGAACACTAAGGGTGTGACACTACAGGGGCGTGGCAGGGGCGTGGCAGTACAGATCAGCTCATCACGACAGTTACATGCACAACAGCTGATGGCTACAACACTGGACTGACCGTGGGAACACTAAGGGTGTGACACTACAGGGGCGTGGCAGGGGCGTGGCACAATACTTACATGAGGTCATCATTGAAAGTCCTTGTAGCAAGTAATAGAGATGAGAACAAACACTCACACACAGAGGAATGAAACACACTGGTCAACAGGTAGCAGTAGTAGTAGTAGTGGTAGTAGTAGTAGTAGTAGTAGTAGTAGTAGTAGTAGTAGTAGTAGTAGTAGTGGTAGAAATTAGTAGTTTGTTTGTTTGTTGTTTAACGCCGCACTCAGCAATATTCAAGCTATAGGACGGTGGTCTGTAAAATTCAAGTGTGGACCAGACAATCCAGTGATTGACATCATGAGCATTGATCTACACTATTTGGATACGATGACATGCATCAACCAAGTCAGCGAGCCTGACTACCCGATCCCGTTAGTCACCTCTTATGGCAAGCATGGCTTGCTGAAGACCAGCAGTAGCAGTACAGTAGTAGCAGCAGTAGCAGTAGTAGCAGGTGTAGCAGCAGTAGTAGCAGAAGCAGTAACAGTAGTAGCAGAAGCAGTAACAGTAGTAGCAGCAGCAGTAGCAGTAGGAGTAGGAGTAGCAATAGCCGCAGCAGTAGTAGCAGTAGTAGCAGCAGCAGCAGTACTGCAGTAGTAGCTGTACTGTTGTCACAGCAGTAGCTACTGTTACAAGGCCAATAGTGAGCAAATCCTTTTACACCACAGTCAGCAATATTCCAGATAGGTGACAGCAGGACCTAGACCTAAATCTGGGCCCAGCAAACCTATGCTGTAGTAACATGGAACACCATCACACAATCTAAGCCATCCTCTTCATCTGCACAGCTCACATTTCAGTCAACCTACACTAACCCATGGATCAACTCCCGTCGTTCTCACGATCGCAAATTACTCGCCTCGATAGTAGCAAAGGAGAGTTGTCATCGCAAATTTTAATGGACACGAAGACATCATTTCCACAAAAAGATTTTTGAGGGCTTTCTTTTGTGTGTCAAATTTTAATGGACACGAAGACATCATTTCCACCAAATGATTTTTAAGGGGTTTCTTTTGTGTGTCAGTCAGTTTTTCAATTTTGAATTACGTAGCAAATTAAATTGGCTAATGAAAATCAAGAGCGGGTAATTGGCGATCACGAGAATGGATCCAGGGGTAAGTTCAGCTTTACCAAAACGCGAGCCCTGGAGACAGAACGAATCTGAGCACCCATTTTTCATTTTAATCGGTTTCTGAAACAAGACCAGACCTCCTCTGACTTGGTACCTGATTTGAAGCGAGGGGATTCTTCAACAGCTGTCCAGGCAGCGACTAATGCATGACCAGACACCGAGAGATATATCTTCACACTTACTTTGGCTTGTACACAGACAATTCCTCTTCCACCTCGATGAGCTTAGTCTTGAGCTCATTGCGTTCCATCAGCACCTGTCTGAGTTCCTGCATGGTGAAGCGTGGCCGGTTGGGGTCCGTCAGGTCAATGATCATCTTACCCTGGTTGTTGAGACGGCTTGCAATATCCTCCAGCGTTTCCTGCATCAAATTCATGTATCTGATCAATGCCTGAGCATTTCTCTAGCAAAGTAAATAATATTGAAAAATCAAAATGCTGAATCATGGAAGGCAAAGCCCTAAGTGTCTGTATAAAGGACGAACGTTTCTATACCCTGGTGGTGGGGGGGGGAGGTTTTGTCAAGGACAGGATATGTTTTATGTCACTTCTCCAAAAAACACCATTTTTTTTTTTTGTCCAGTAATTTTTTTTCAAATTCTAAAACCTGAGGTGAGGTTACTTTTTTTCAAATTGGAAATTGAATTATTTATTTTTTCAACGTTTCCCAGGTTCCACCCAGAATATGAAAAGGTTTTATGTTATGAGCAACAATCCACCTCGTTGGGACATGATGCCATGCCCTCTACCAAGTCACTGATCACCTGATCCATCACCCAATGATGCCTCATAAGACAACATAGGTGGCTGGGTACCAACTGTTACAAGGGAGCATCTTATTCCAAGCGGTTGGGTAGCCAAATGGTTAAAGCCTTCACCCGTCACACTGAAGACCCGGGTTCGATTCCCCACATGGGTATAATGTGTGAAGCCCATTTCTGGTGTGCCCTGCTGTAATATTGCTGGAATATTGCTTAAAGCGACGTAAAACCCTCACTCACTCATTCCAAGTGATCACAGATGACAAGAACCTCCTGCTCACCTGTGACGCGGCCTCGTCATCTTCGTCGTCGTCTTCGTCCCCGTGGATGCCGTTCCTCTTCCTGCGCACGTCCCGGGCCAGCTTGAGCTGGTCCATGTTCTCCTGCTCCTTGAGGATCTCCTTGATCTTCTCCACCTCCTCCTCCTTCCCCTTCAGCTGTACCTCGATGTCCGCCCGCTCGTCCAGCAACACCGCCGTCTGCTTCTTGTGCGTCTGGTTCTTCCGACGCAGGTCAGAGTTCATCTTTGCAACTCTCTCTAACTGGTCTCCCAGCTGGATGAAAAATACTAGAATTTTGGTTTGTTGTGTAACGCTGAACTCAGCAAATATTCCATTTATATGAGGGTGGACTGTAGCTAAGCAACAATCAATGCAGTCTGGGTAAGATGCCACATATTTAACCAAGGCACAGAGTCTGACCACCTGGATCCAATTGCACAAAGCGATCTTAGCACCAACATGAACTTAACTCCCATATTTTAACATAGACTTATGAAAGTCGTAGCGATAAGATCACTTAATTCGAGTGGACCCTGATGCATAAGGTTATCTGCTAAATATGAACAAGGCTGATCCATTAAATTTATAAAATCGCATTTTCTGCCTTCATATTATAACCCTCGTAATCCTAACAAATGTAAACGTTTCTATGACCAGAGCTCCAGATAAGCTGCGTATCTGCGTAAAATACGCATCAGAAATTGAGAAATACGCAGTAAAATAAAATCCAAGCGTATCAAATACGCAACGAACATTACAGATACGCTACAAAAATAAAACTTGTGCGTATCATCAAAATATTGTGAAGTAACCCTGCGTATTCGATTAGCAAATCAGCTACTTATTTTGAAATTATACACCAGCATTCTGTCAACCTTGCCAGACTCCACGATGACAGTTACATCATGATCATTTGCCATTACACTTTCTTGTGGAAGTATCGTGGTATTTTTGAGTCCTAAAACGCTCTCGAACCCACACAATACCAGTTTGCAGGGACTAGATGAATAGTGTTTTTAAATATTTAACTTAAATACCCACATGTGTAAAAACTAGTGGGTAACAGAAATTTGAATACCCAGATAGAATTACTGATACCCAATGATTTTAAAATGCATGGGTAAAATACCCACAACACCAAAAGCTTATCTGGAGCTCTGTATGACAGTGAATTACTGATGTAGTATTGAAATTCATACATTTGTATTGATTCAGTATCAACATTAACATTTTATCGATACATCAATATCATGATATACAAAGATATCCCGACTACTTACCGCCTCACAATCAACTCCTTTCTGCTCCATCTCGCGACGCAGTGTGCGGAGTTCCTCCCGCTGTTTGTCTACTGTGTCTTTCAACTTTGTCAGCACTTTGATCTCCTGTTCCTCCGTCTCTGTAGACAGATGCACGCAGTCATTGTCTGATATTCACTGTCTGATAGTCGACAGACATACATACACACATTATCATTGTCCGATGGTGGACATACGAACATATAGACAAAAGCACATATAGTCGTCATCTTTTCAACAGAAAGACAGACACACACACCTAGTCATTGACTGATTATAGACAGACACACACACCTAGTCATTGACTGATTATAGACAGACACACACACCTAGTCATTGACTGATTATAGACAGACACACACACCTAGTCATTGACTGATTATAGACAGACACACACACCTAGTCATTGACTGATTATAGACAGATACACACACCTAGTCATTGACTGATTATAGACAGACACACACACCTAGTCATTGACTGATTATAGACAGACACACACACCTAGTCATTGACTGATTATAGATAGACACACACACCTAGTCATTGACTGATTATAGACAGACACGTTCAAGCACCTGGTCATTGACTGATTATAGACAGACACACACACCTAGTCATTGACTGATTATAGACAGACACGTTCAAGCACCTGGTCATTGACTGATTATAGACAGACACACACACCTAGTCATTGACTGATTATAGACAGACACACACACCTAGTCATTGACTGATTATAGACAGACACACACACCTAGTCATTGACTGATTATAGACAGACACACACACCTAGTCATTGACTGATTATAGACAGACACACACACCTAGTCATTGACTGATTATAGATAGACACACACACCTAGTCATTGACTGATTATAGACAGACACACACACCTAGTCATTGACTGATTATAGACAGACACACACACCTAGTCATTGACTGATTATAGACAGACACACACACCTAGTCATTGACTGATTATAGATAGACACACACACCTAGTCATTGACTGATTATAGACAGACACGTTCAAGCACCTGGTCATTGACTGATTATAGACAGACACACACACCTAGTCATTGACTGATTATAGACAGACACGTTCAAGCACCTGGTCATTGACTGATTATAGACAGACACACACACCTAGTCATTGACTGATTATAGACAGACACACACACCTAGTCATTGACTGATTATAGACAGACACACACACCTAGTCATTGACTGATTATAGACAGACACACACACCTAGTCATTGACTGATTATAGATAGACACACACACCTAGTCATTGACTGATTATAGACAGACACACACACCTAGTCATTGACTGATTATAGACAGACACACACACCTAGTCATTGACTGATTATAGACAGACACACACACCTAGTCATTGACTGATTATAGACAGATACACACACCTAGTCATTGACTGATTATAGACAGACACACACACCTAGTCATTGACTGATTATAGACAGACACACACACCTAGTCATTGACTGATTATAGACAGACACACACACCTAGTCATTGACTGATTATAGACAGACACACACACCTAGTCATTGACTGATTATAGACAGACACACACACCTAGTCATTGACTGATTATAGACAGACACACACACCTAGTCATTGACTGATTATAGACAGACACACACACCTAGTCATTGACTGATTATAGACAGACACACACACCTAGTCATTGACTGATTATAGACAGACACACACACCTAGTCATTGACTGATTATAGACAGACACACACACCTAGTCATTGACTGATTATAGACAGACACACACACCTAGTCATTGACTGATTATAGACAGACACGTTCAAGCACCTAGTCATTGACTGATTATAGACAGACACGTTCAAGCACCTTGTCATTGACTGATTATAGACAGACACACACACCTAGTCATTGACTGATTATAGACAGACACACACACCTAGTCATTGACTGATTATAGACAGACACGTTCAAGCACCTGGTCCATGACAACCTTATTAACTCATGCTTGTGTTGAAGGACCATGTCTTTGTATTTCTAGTCACGTTTGTGCTAAAGAGCAACCTTGTCCATGATGGCTTGACTCTACTAACATTTGTGTTCATGAACAACCTCTGATGGCCTGCTTCCTTTCACATTAGTGTCCAAGGACCGTGTCCATGATGGCTGGTTTCTACTGACGTTTGTGTTCAAGGACAAAGTCTACCATGGCCTGTAAATACTCACATTTGTGTTCAAGGACGACCTTGTCCACGATGGCCTGTATCTACTTACATTTGTGTTCAAGGACGACCTTGACGACGATGGTCTATAAATACTCACGTTTGTGTTCAAGGACGACCTTGTCCACGATGGTCTATAAATACTCACGTTTGTTTTCAAGTACGACCGTGTCCACGATGGCCTGTAAATACTCACGTTTGTTTTCAAGTACGACCGTGTCCACGATGGCCTGTAAATACTCACGTTTGTGTTTAAGAGTATCTACTCACGTTTATGTTCAAGGACGACCTTGTCCACGATGGCCTGTTTCTGGTCCTGGAGGTTGTCCCGGAGACGCCGGTTCTCGTCCTGCAGTCGACTGATATCCCATAATAGTTTCTTTACTTCACTTTGCCAGTTCTCTTCAATCTGCTCTAACTCCTGAAACCATGGTAACAAAGAAGGGATAAACCAAACATCCAACGAAGTCAACACAATCCCAGGGTGGTACCAGAGAATCCTGCTGAAAGTGCTGCAAGGCTTACGGCAAACACCATTGGTCACTGTCAGTTTGTCCACAGCTCATTTCAAGACAAGTGGCTTATACAAAATGACAAATTTTAGTTTAAAACAATTAGTCCCCAAGATTGTGACCAGTTCAAACTAACAGACTAGTAGCGAGTCTATCTCTGAGGCTTCTCGGTCATGGGTGGTTACAGCATTCGCTCATCACATGAAGGCCCAACTCTAATTATCACATGGTACAAGGTGTGAAGCCCATTTCTGGTGTCCCCTGTTGTGATATTGCCGAAATAGTGCTGGAATTAGAATACAACCAAACCCTCCTTTTTCAAATAGACCAATTGTGAAGTCATTCAAAATCAAGTTTGTCTGCTAAATCAATGTTTATCAATCTAGCTGTATCAATAAGCAAATACATGTTTGATTGAGTGAGTTGTGTTTGATCAGTATGAGTGATATATACTTCTTAAAAGAAGTTAAGGAATACTCATTTCTTTCATACTTCTATAGTTAATCTGTCATGGCAAAAAATTGTAAATCAATTATCAGGTGCTTTGATAGACTGCAACAGCTATAATTGTTACAACTTACAACCCTCAGATACAAACTTAAACCCATGTCATCCTTAATTGTCAAATTGATGAGAAGCCTCGCATATGTTCCTTATCACAATCGTCATGGGACATGTTCCATGTTATGATGAAGCTTCAGGGCAGTCCATACGTCACCAGCCATCATGTCAAGGACCTGGCAGATGCTGATTGATGTGGGCGCCAGACATGGTGTAACTAAACTGTAGGTCGCGTAATTGATGATTCACTTTACAATTCACTCCATGTCAGTCAGTGAATCAGGCAACCAAGTAGGAATCCTAATGTCTACTAATCTGTACCTCGGCCTATTGAGCTCAACTGACAGTTTTTCATATGCTCAGACTTATAAAAGCCCCAACTGTTGCGAACCAGTTCTATTCAGTGAGTGAGTGAGTGAGTGAGTATGGTTTTACGCCCGTTTTTAGCAATATTCCAGCAACATCACAGCGGGGGACACCAGAAATGGGCTTCACACATTGTACCCATCTCGGGAATCGAACCCGGGTCCTCGGCGTGACGAGCGAACGCTTTAACCACTAGGCTACCCGACCGCCCCAGTTCTATTCAAAGTGAATATGTTATACAGAGTGAAATCAGAGTCAAAGTCAGAAAAGTGAATTTGATGTGTGACAGTAGTGGGATGATACAGTAATGCAACTTGATTTTTACTTCTCAATACAATCGATCCCGGTCGCACACCAAATAAAAATATCCATTCTCACTTAAACGTTTGTTTTAATAACTGTTACCATGGTTACACCAAACAATAATTAGCAGTGAAAAGTAGGAGTGAAAACATTAATATTCTCATCAACTGCGCTATACATGACATTACCAACTGTAAATCGTCAGTGTGCGAGGTATTTACCCATCAATGAAAAAGATGGCTTACGAACCACAGATAAGAGCACATGCAAGTATCGTGGAACGTATCGGACGTTGGCAAGATATAGTGACACGTATCGGATCGCACAGTTGGTGTATCATCCTAGTCCTACTGTGTAAGTTGGCTGTTTCATGTGATTATCTCGACGTAATTATCTTTTTATAAAACTCATAACGCAAAATTCAACTGAACATAATGGTGAGGGCAAAGTTCAGGCAAGTAGACTGAGGAGAGCATGATACCGACTGCAAACATGGTATGCCATTTTCTGCTACTGAGTGAGTGAGTGAGTGAGTATGGTTTTATGCCGCTTTTAGCAATATTTCAGCAATATCACGGCGGGGGACACCAGAAATGGGCTTCACATATTGTACCAATGTCAGGAACCGAACCCGAGTCTTCGGCGTGACGAGCGAACGCTTTAACCATTAGGCTACCCGACCGCCCCTTTTCTGCTACTGAGTTAACTAGGATGTAGACTAGCCCACGTCCCCCGACAGATTTCCCCACTGTATGGCGCACAATAGGGTTAGGACGGGTAACTTGGGTACTCGGGCCGGGTAGGTACTGAGTAGGACCCGGGTACCCACAAGACTACCCGGACACGTGGTTAGTCACGTGATATATTGTTTAATGACAAAATTATCTAGTCCATGGTTACACTACAAGTCACTAATGTTCGGATTTCTTTCTGACTATGCACACATTCCTTCTGAGTTTCATATGTTTGAATAAAGATAGTTTCAGTCAATTTCACTGCATACATGACCAGATCGTTTTATAGGTGTATCTACAGTCAGTGCATTCTGATAGTACTACGGTCAAACTAGTCCCAATTGCGGACACCCGGATGGGGTAGGGTAATATAAATTTGGACTCGTCCTAGCCCTAGTGCACAACCTGGACGTGTAACAGCTGCATCCTCATTATGACTTTAAGCCTGACAGAACAGACACAAGTCCCATGTACCACTTAGCATGGTCTGTGAACAGCTTGGTTAATCAACTCACAATTCATGTGTGAGACCAATTAGTAGCAGTACCTCTGAGGATGAACTGGGAAATACATACACCATGTTACATGTATGCAGTGTTCCCGTTTAACAGTAAATACCAGTTTTATACTGGCAAAATAAGGCTTGGACCGGTAATTCATGTGACTGCCAGTTCCTGTGGACTGACAAATAAAGTACCTCATAAAGTTTTGTATTTTAACAAAGTAAGTGGCGATATTCAGATAAGTATATTTTCCAAACGAAATCAGCTTGTCTGTAACCATCAGGGTTCCCCCTTGTCTATTTTCAGTTCAAGGAAATAACATTTTGCTTTGCTTTGAGGTTAAATATATATTTGTACTTGTAGAAAAAAGAGAAAATTGCGACAGAACTAAGTTCAAAGCTGTAGGTAAGCATTTGGGTTATTTGGGTATTTTACCAGGGGTTTGATTTTGATTGCGTATCCACAATTTTTAGAGGGTATTCAATTTATTCTTACCCACCTGTTTCTAGAAATTTGGGTATACTAACTTAAAACCTGTTTCGTAAAAATCCCTGTAAATCATTTAAAACTATTTGAATAGTAGTATATCCGTCTGCTTGCCTCTCTGGGAAGCCATTTTTGTTTGCAAAACCTAGCATTGTAAGAAAGGCACTTTTTTAATCACCAATCAGCGACTGTTTAAGAAACAACATGTACATAGACTTTTCAATTGGCATCTATCAGTATGTTTGTATATAGGCAATCTGTTTATCTAATAGTTGTTATATACGCTTTAATCTTATTTCAATAGGGTATTTATAGTTTTTGTTTCGTAGGATTTGATTTATTTGTGTATTTATTTTATTTATTGCAGATTTTACACACATACGCAGCTTATCTTGAGCTCTGAAGTTACCGTACTTCGGAGATGATGTAATGGCATTGAACTTGATGTTGAATGAATTAATGGTTGTTTAATTGTGGAAAGTTGAGATTGACAAAAACTAGGGGGGGTAATTATTAGAGGTGTTAGAGGCGTTAGTCATGTGACACCTCAGTGTGTCTTATCTAAAGTTAGACTTGAGCAAGGTGCTCATCTGGTGCTTTTCCTGGAGTCAGTTTTGGACATCATTTTCAGATAAATAGTTCTCTCTTATAATGAAACAAGCAAAAGTAAAACAAGCAAAAGCAAAACGAGTTGCGATCATGTGCACGCTAGAACAAGGTTGGCGGATATTGGCCCTTGGAGATATCTGGTCGCTAGCCAGTAGTGATTCCTTGTACATGTAGTAATAAAATCTTTGATTCTTTGATTCTTCAAACTATTAAGCAGCAAACAAGATCACCAGAACAGGTACAAGCCTTGATGAACGTGTTTGTTTTAACACATATCAGGAGCTTCAAGAAATTATTATAGCCACACGACACACGTTTTTGAGCCTCACCTCTTTTCGAGCCCCTAAACAATATTGACCACACGCTTAATGACATAATGAAGGTAGACTCTTCAAAGCCCACTAAAGACATCAAAGTGTTTGCCACTTGCTGCTGAAGTTATGTTGCAAATTTAGCTACACGAGGAAAGATATTCAAAAAGGAATGAAAACATACCTCAAAACTTACTTTTTCACTAATGGGCATTTTAATAAAACTTGATCTGATGAAATTTTGTATCAGAACAATCGTATGTACCAGTTGCTGTTTGTGAACTTCCTGTATGTAATGTCATGTGACTGGCCATGTGACTTATGTCATGTGACTGTAAGAAAGTGAGTCTTAATCATGTGACGGTAGCAAGATGGCGGAAAGATTAAATTTAAGGGTATGGAGATTGTTATTAGACACGTAATCAGAAATATTTCTAAGGGGCTAGAAAATCCATAACATGAGGATACAATGGCATACCTTCGGCCATGGTTTAAAATCTGTGTAAAAGTGCATTACACAAAACGCAAAATCACAATGTTGATCACAGTGGAAAACATCTTATCACTACTACATCGATCCAACTTCTACACTTGGGGATTGGGTCTTCAAAACTTGATTCACCCAAACCATTTAGTCGTCTCTCAGTTACGCAAGCATAATGGTTGCTGGGAACCCATATTCACACCCACAATCCCCATGGGCTAAAAAAACCCTGCCTTACCATCCATAAAATAACATGCTTGATGTTTTGACAAGCTCATAATGTAACGTCACTGAGTGAAATATGAACCTTTACCAAAAGCATTTATTAAATCATTTTTTAGTGTGTCTCCTTGTGTGGGGGCTCATGAAATTCAAAAACTTTGGTTGACATTTCCAAGAGTTATGCTTATGCATCTTAAGGACCAAAGCAATTAATTTTAAGATCAGTGTGCAGTACTGTTCACTCAAATTTCATTTTGGCCCCCTGGGGAGTATACAAACCAAGCTGCCATATGAGTTGCTAAGATATTTAGTCTCATCCTACTGGGTACC